ATACCACCCATAGATGTCGACATTGCACTCCTTAAAGAAGCATATACCACATTGTCAAATGCGTCCTCCCGCGTAGCATACGATGATATCCTTAAAACTACTCGAGTGAAGACGTCCACTGGACCTCGTCCTGCGCAGGTCATCTCACTAGAAGATTTTGAGGAGATAGAGGAGGGTGTATGGACACATGCTTGTAGATGTGGTGGGATATACAGGATTATTGAAGAGGACATGGATGCGGGAAGACACCTCGTCGGTTGTGAGAGTTGCTCTGAGGTTGTGTGGGTAGGATATGAGCTCGCCAATGACGAGCATCACGCCACCAACGGCTAATTAGATTGCCAACATAGATGTTGTATAGGTCGGGATTGTGCGGTATGGGGTTTGGATATCTTACATTTACTCGTTAATAATACTTATGTTATGTTTTTCCAGCATTGCACGAACTCAGTCAATCACCATGGCATCCTCACGCTCTTTCGACCACTTCTTCACCAGCACTTTTCGTAACTCGCGGCCGACTGCCATCGCGACTGGCCATGGCACGGCATTACCGATCTGCCTATGCATCTATGTAATTCGATCAGTGTGCTATGTGAGGGCGGGCTGTTTTAGCACACACCGTCACGACACGATCATATTCCGCATGGAACACAAACTTGTCGGGAAAGCCTTGTGATCGAGCGAGTTCGCGCACCGTGACAATGCGTTTGCACTGCGCGATTCGTACTCATTTTGTTAGATGCAAAGTAGCGAATTCAATGACGCACATAAGGGTTGAGCACACGGGATTGCTTTGCACTTGGGTCAACGTTGGTGACAGTAGCTTGAAAATAACTATTCTTGTTGACTCGTCCATAGAGACCTATACACCATAAGTTAGACGTTGTGCATAACTTTTCATCAGGTACCTGGTTTGAAACCCGCGCGTGCAATGGCCGAGGATGGATTTGCAAAGTGCCACTCCCAGAGATGCCCCCCCAGTTCTGACATTATCGTCAACATTGTAAGGACTTGCAGAAAAGGCACGTACCCCTATAGTCTGCACCTGCTCTCATCGGGATACTTACAACTCTACACAGATCAAAAGACATCTACTATGCGAGGACGTGGCTTACCTCTCGACTTTAATGGCCTCATAGGTCCGCGTATATTGTTGCAGATCTTCCGAAGGTTCTTCACGACACCACTTTTGGAACGCTGTGGTTGGCTCATGCTCGTACTCTACATCCGCTCCAGAATATCCGCACCAGGGGCGATCTTTCTTGCATTTCTTAAGTGGGATTATCTGAGCGCGCTCCCGTTCTTCTCGTCGTCTGGCTGGATCCCTGGGCGGTCTTGGGTTTACCCTTTAACCAACAACTAGTGAGCGTGGCACATTTTATATTATAGTAATGCAACTGTACCAATCGAATCGAGGAAGGTCACTGATGGCATCGTCAATACTGACAAAGTGATGAGGCGCGTAGCCAGTCTGTGTCCAAATAGGTTTGATATGGTGTCCAATTGGCAAATCAATTCCCAGCGCGTCCACAGCAGGGAAGGCGTGCGTAGGTTGAGGGAGCTGAGGAAGGGGTTGACCGTACTTTGTCGCGACCATAAAAAATCGCACGCGGGTTTGAGGAGTGCCGTAGTGACCAGCTTGTAGGATTCCATAGCGCACCTGGTAGCTGAGAAGTATGACACTAGACAGATATTTGATGCTTGAGCGATACTTACTTCATGTCACTCATCGCCCGGATCAAAAATTTCAATCCGCCCATAGGAATACCTCCTCTAACTCTATATGGCCCGGCTTGTCGCACCTTTAGCCCGAACGACAGGAACCCACGCACGTTCTCAAAGAAGCAGTATTTTGGCTGCATGAAGTCAACCCATGATAGGACGTTGAGGATGAGGTTGCTCTTGCGGTCATTTGCCTTTACGAACATATTCAGGCGCGAATGGGGCTGGCTAAGGTGCAGGTTCAGTATGATCAAATAGAGTGAAAATACGCCGTAACCGACCAGGGAAACCCAGCAATGACACAATCGATCTCCCCTGGTTTTGGAGGGGCGGGAATGTATGGGTCCTCTGAGATTTCAGATTGTATTTTCTCCAATCGCTGAACGTCGAGATTGTTGTGCGACCTAATCGCTGCTGCAAGTACTAGGTTGCTGCATTGATTATACACTACCGTTTTAGGAGAGTTAGCTCTGTCAACTCCTTGTTAGTATCGCTGAGTCGAGGAGCAAAAGACGCACTTTAAGGTTTTTGCGGCGCTTGGGGAAATTTCGACCGCATGAGTAACTTCGATACAACCAGATTGCTCCAATCCTAACCCGAAGGCTCCGACTCCGGCAAACGGGTCTAGAGCACGAAGGGGCTTTTGCTTCTTCAAAAAATCCCGGATTTGCTTCCATTCAGCGAGGTTCTCTTTAGTACAGTATCCGCACACTAGGAGGTCTCTAGGCAGAAGTGTGCGTTTGTGATCCCAGGAAGTCACATCGAGGCTGGGGAATGAGTAACAAACATAGAAGTGATAGGGCGACATTTCGAGCCATTCTTTGAGCTCTGGTACAGCCGCTCGCACGTAGACATGACACATTCCAATAATACTGGAAATCGGGAAGTTCATCTTATCGTGTGTGATAAAGAGATGACGCTGGGGACCTAGGTTAAAGTGAAGTTTGTGCGTGGGTTGTGTACCCTCACCTCATCCTTGAGTTCTTCCGCGGGTCGGAGGCCCAACTTGCTAATCCTTCCAAACATTTTTACTCGAACACAACCTTCGTCATCTGACTGTCGAATGTGAATACGAGTAATTTGACCGATGTGACACGGTCCCTCCTGAGCCTTGATCATGACAATGTCACGAAGATGATACTTGGTGCCCTTCCATGCAAAGCCGCGGTGAATCTCGCGGGGAACGAGCGCTTCCTCTCTCTCCTCGACCATTGAGCACACATGGCAGTAGTCGTACGGAGGCTCGCCCTGTCTGCGCAGTCTTTCTTGTGGTATCTCAGTGAATGAACCATCAAGGTTGTTATAGATGAACCTGCAGACAGAAATCTTAGCGGGGTTCTCAAAAAGTTGCAGAAGATGTATGACTTGTAGAAAAAGTTATAAGGCCCAACGACAGGCATGTCTTTTGAAGGATTGACGAACTGGGCCGAAACTTTTCCGATGATGTGGTAGAATTCGACAGTGCTGCATGTGTTGGTCAGGAATAATTCTTGGGGGTGTCCAAGCTGCTCCATGGCCGTTTTCGTACTGTGCTCGAACCATTCGACATGAAGATTCTCAAACTCGTCACTGATGTACATAATCTTCCCCAACCTGAAGAAAGGGGTTCGGTCAGCGAAACGAATCAGCGCGAAGAGCGTACCAAAAGTAGTCTGCCAGGGTTGCATATTTGGGTATGTCGTCTGGGTCCGGCAATTCGGGAGGCCTCTTCTGGTCATCGCTCCCGATGGCAACAGCGATCGTATCTCCAACCTACAAGCCACGTAAAGCTAAACACGTTAAGAATTGACAACACCATACTGCATAATTATTGCCATCTATTGTGATGTACTTGAGCCAGCGTGAACCTGGGCGAATGCGTTGTTCCGGGTGGAATCGAATTTCCCTCCGTATAGATACTCGCTGTACAAATTGCTTCACCCTCTTCCAAAGGTCATCATACGGAATCCCGGGATCAACACGAGGTGGTGGACCGACAACCACTAGCCGTTCTTTAAACCACCCGGTCGCCAACTTTGCAATTTGTGGCGTTACATGCGTCGCGTTCTGATTTTCTGGACGAAGGACGGCGAGATCTTTGCTTCCTCTTGTATTAATCACTGCAACTGGCGGAACCTGTAGCCGGGGACGTGGTTCAACAGATCTCAATATCAAAGGCGCAGGCTCTGTCAAAAGGTGTCGGATAATATTCGTGGCACGCAGTTGTTGAGAATTTTCTAGACCCTCGAGGGCATATCTCAGTTCAGCAACCTACGGTACGTTGCAGTGAAATCTAGTAACAACCGAAAAAAATCTCACACTGTCCCAAAGATATTGCTCGTCAAGTCGATTATTGCCAATCTCTATAGCTGAAAATTTTGCCAGAAAGTCGCGATATTGCAGATCCGGCTCTCGTATAGCGGATGATACAATCGCTTGAACGACACGATGCGGTATGAAGAATGCTCTGAACTCGCGTCGGTAATCCTTTGATGGAGCACCCAGACGATACCGAGCATGGCTGGATTCGATGTACATTGGACTGTGCACAATGGCCGTATATTATTGAGTCAATGCAACAAAGAACAACACCTACTCTTCATCTTCAGTGTAATCCATAGAATAGCCCAGGATGTTTTTGATGCGAATAAACTGGGGATCATCGTCTTCAAGATCGTCTTCCTGGCCCTCATCCTCGTCGTTCTCTGGCACCGAAGTAACCTCACCTGCACCCTCAAGGATATGATTATTGTTCTCGCCCTGCTTATCGAGATAAGAAAGGGATATCATAACCAAGTCACGAGTAGGGTCGAAAAACGAAAAGTTATGTAGGATCCGGGTAGGTTTCTGCCCATTGTCTAGCGCGTCTGGATCTTCGCCAATAACAATAAGGTCTTCAGTCTCCAATAGTTCATTGTTTTCCGGCGGTTGATAATTTCTCGCTGGGACGGTACATTGTAAGTTGATCACATTACGGCGGAAAGGGATGCCAACACACGTGCTCGAGGACGTTCGTTTGTCTTCTGGCGTTTTGCGCGCTATGAGAGGGAGAAGACAGTCACTATCAAAAATACGCCTTGCGATCTTCATGACACGCACCAAGTCATGATAATCAGGATGATCCACCTCATCGCGCTGACGCCGGCGATTATTCTCCCCATCTGTACCACTGCCAGATTCGTTTTGCACTTCACCTGGATATGTTACCTCGAATGCGTTCGGTCTACGACGAGGTGGCATCCTTGTCACGCTTTCTTGGTTCTGATTCTGGTGTTCAACTGAAAGAAGCGGGCCGAGTTTGTGACAAACCCAAAAAGGGAACTTGATACTAGTACTACGTGATGCATCACTGTATTGCGACACTTACGCCACATGATATGAAGGGTCGAGGCGTACATTTATAGGATACAGTGGTCAAACTTGCGAAAGTGATGCTGTTCTAAACCAAGGTTGCTCTAGTAATATTCAACAACCACATGTATGACTGCGGTTCACGTTCAAGGACCTGCAACAATACTACGCGAATCCGGAGAACTTCTAAGCGTGCGCGAATTCGAAAAGATATTGGTACATACAATCATGCTTGCTTATTATGTAAAATTGAAGACATTACAAGTGATTGGTCTGAAAGAAATAGTAGTAGTAACGCTCTATGTCCAAAAAAGCGAAGGCGCTCCAAAAACCTGTACTCCTGCAAAAATCACGTCGAAACAGACATCCAACTGAAAATAAATTGGAACTATGTGAAGATTCACTTTGCTGGTGTAGTTCCTGCTGGTGCGTCTGGCCCGGCTAGTGCACCTTCGGGTATACCACTCGCTGATGTGGCCGTGTCTCCAACCTGATGGAAATCTAGAAAGATACCGTGAGCATCGTGGAAATTGAATATGGGAGAAACCCTAACCCAGAATCTCGCTGTACATCATGACCTTCCACGTGTCAACGGGGAGGTCGGCATCATTGAAGCTCCAGTCGAACTTCTCAGAAGCTACGGGCTCATCGGTTGGATCATGATATGGTGCCACATATTCATGGGCAAGTGACTCCGCAGCATCTATGCGTTTCCGAGGGTCAAAGACCAGCATCTTTTCTAGAAGATCCAAAGCTGTGGTGGAGCATTAGCAAAAGTACGTCACCTAGGGCTAGAATAGTGCATTACCATCCGCATCGGTAGTTCGGAGTTTTTGGCTGAAAGGCACGCGCTCGCGTTTAGGCAGACTTTGCACAAAGCGAAGGGTCTACAGTGATCAATCGATGTGAGAATGGGAACACCTAGCTTAGAAATATTACCCACGTTTTCGCTCGCTATAGTTTCAATGACATCATCCGGAGGAGTGCCCAATAGTTCAGTGATTATGGAAAATTGATTGACATCTTCAAATCAAGGCACAATGTCAGAAAGTGAGAACGAAGGCGTGTAAACGCTCACGGTCTTTCCCGGGGAACAAGGGTTTTCCTTCAAGCATCTCTGCAAATATGCAACCTGTACTCCAAATGTCGACCGCAACATCGTACTTTTGCCAGGTTAACATAATTTCGGGAGCGCGGTAATATCGCGTCGAGACATAGCCTGTCATCTGGGGGTCCTGGATCCGAGCCAATCCGAAATCGCATATCTGTAGAAGCAATGACGTCATAAGATATCCCATGTCCATGTGATAAACCTGACAGACTTTCAAGTCACAGTTCTCATTGACAAGAATATTACTAGGTTTCTGTGGGCCTATCTCGAAAACGATCATGGATAGACAAAACAAAATACGCACGAGATCTCGGTGCACGACGCCCGCGGAATGGACATATTTTAGTCCACGCTGGATCAGATCAGACAAAAGGACAAAGAGTTACATCATCATCACGTACCAGAATCTGATATAGGAAGTATTGGACAAACTGTTTCTCCAAAGGTCGCGATGTCAGCAGTCGATGGAGGTCGGTTCCAAGGAGTTCGGTAACAAAATACCTGTAATGATCAACTACGTGAAGGGTTTAGGGTTTGGAGCAGGGACATACAAATCTTCAAGTGGCGAGATAAACACATCGCTAAGGCTAATAATCTACACGTGTAGATGGTACAGATGTGAGCAGCAAATTCTGTGTGGCGCGTCTGAGACGCACATTCTCGTGTTGTATGTGCTTGAGGAGCTTGAGCTCACGGTATGTTCGCTTGCTCAAAACTGGGGTACTGAAAGGCTTCATAATCTTCTTGATGGCAACAGAAGACCCAGTGAGTTGATCCTTGGAAGAGCTACGCCATTCATGAATACATATATTGTTTGTCTCAAACTTGCAACATACCAGACAAGGCCAAACGCCCCTACAAACATCTCAGTTATTCCAGACATCGAGCAGATCGAGATGATAAATAATACTCACCCATTCCAACAGGCTGCAGATCGACATAGCGAGTCGTTACCTATGAAATCAGCAAAATCGTGAACCAATCATTTTCGAGGACATACGCAGGCAACACACCTCGAAAGAGGTACCAAATATACTTAGTTTGACGAAAGACATGGCATAGACTTGGCGTAGAGTTAACCTGAGGTAGATGAAAAGATAAAGATGAATCCGGGGGTGAGCAGAAAGGTCTACGCAAGTGTGCTTGTTGACTCGATGAGCGAGGAGGGAAAGATGTTAGATAGTGATGACGATGTTGACCACCGAATCTTAAGCTAAGATATGACTGGATACGAAATGCTACTGCCAGGGGTCCCGTGACGCCCTAAGCCTTTAATAGAGCCCTCCAGAGTCTCGATTTCCTCGGACTCTTCAGATCTTATAAATATTTGGAGTCAAAAGTCAAAGGATTTAATTATGCAAACAACGTGGATGCTGACTGGTGCAGGTGTCAGTGACCGGGGGACTTCCAGGAGCGATTAGGTTCTTAAGAACAAGTTGAGATCGATCCGTTGAATTCGAAGCAATACACGAGGTGTGAAACGGAAGGAATTGGTCAGTCGCTGCCAGAAATAAGTCACACAGCTTGAGCACACTGCCTGAGGCTAGGCTTTACGACACGCGCGTACGGCGACCGTCTGTGAGCTTGTCTGACAACCGTTAGATTCTCAGGCTCAGACCGAATTTGCCCGAGACACGATCATTTCATCCACCAAACTATGTCCTTCATTCGAGCCGCCCGTTCTGTGGTGAGCAATTATGAAATTATGTTAGTCTCACTCTCATGTGTGTAGGCAACGAGCAGCTTTAGACGTTATTCGACAGAAGCTGGTGCCAAGAAATCATCCAACCTCGGATTTTACCTCGGTGGCGCTGGTCTTGTAGGTCTTGGTACGTATGTGTACATGGGCTTTGGCAGAGGGGAGGCAGTAACTGTCAAGAAGGACCTGAAAAGTCCTCTTGACCCGTCAAAATTCATTGACCTCAAACTGAAGAGGGTGGAACCTTGCAATCACAACACCTCTAAGTAAGACCTCGAGCTTTTTTTTTTTACGTACAACACCACGCTCATATTTGTCCCTCAGGTTTGTGCTTGAGCTCGAAAAGGGCGAGGCTTCGCTTCTTCCAATTGCATCCTGTGTTTACATTGAAACTCCTGACTTTAAGGATGACAAGGGTCAACCTATGTATCGCCCGTATACCCCCATTTCTGCGTCTGATTTGGAGGGAGAGCTCACTTTTATCATCAAAAAATATGAGACGGGCAAGGTCTCCAAACACATTCACTCTCTCAATGCTGGGGACGCTCTCAGAATTAAAGGTCCTTTGGCAAAATTCCCTTGGAAAAGTGAATATGGTTTTTGAAAGACTTTAGAATGCTTGGATTCTGATCCTCTTTCAGTGAATGAGCTGGAAGAAGTTGGGCTTATTGGTGGTGGAAGTGGAATGTAAGAACGCCTGTCTTTAATATTTATGTCGCTGACTTTACTGCGCAATCACAGTGCTCCGCTCTACCAGGTCCTACAACATGCTCTTGCGGACAAGACGAACAAGACGAAGTTCAAGCTTTTGTACGCCAATGTGACTGAGCAAGATATTATACTTCGCGAGGAGTTCGACGCCATGAAGAAAAAATACCCCGAAACTTTTGATGTCGTATATGTCCTCGACAGGGCCGATGCTAACTGGAAGGGTCCCACTGGATATATTGGCGCTGACCTCATTAAGCAGCACATTGCTCCGCCATCACTGGGCGGGAAAGTGAAGGTCTTCATCTGCGGTATGTACAACACATTTGGAATGCGCCAATAACTAATTGCCCCATAGGTCCGCCTGGCCAGGTTACCTCGATTGCAGGTGCAAAGAAAGGCAGGGATCAGGGTGAACTAAACGGTATCCTTAAGGAACTGGGTTACACCAAAGACCAGGTAAGTGACTGTGGTACCCGACAAACTATCATTTCCTTAAAATATTTCTTTGTCAGGTGTTCAAATTCTAAGTAGTAGCGGATATCAAATAGATGCTGTATAGAACTACTGCGACGGATCAAATTCAAAACCTGTTTTTGCGATCATGATCCGTATTGTCCCACCTTTTACAACCAAAATTTTAAAACCACCAGCAAGTAATATTAATGGCAGCAACGGCCTCCTTTATCCAGCATCTCTGCACACCCACGTTACAAAGGGAACGTTTGCACTTAGGGCTTGTATTACATAAGCATACGCGTACTTAGTCCACTCGATTTCATCTCTCGTCACTGAGATCGCAGGTAATTGGGCGTCTGAATCCGTATATGATTCAGATCTGAGCAACCGGTGCGAGTTTTGATTAGCCCGCACAACGACAAAGCTTATCTCATCTTGTCATTCGTGCTCCAGGGCTACTCCTTGACAAGTCGAATCTCGACATTTTAACCATCATATACATATTTCTCGCGCAGCAGTATGGACAATAACAACGGTAGCAGCAGCAGTAATAACAAGCCCGTGCGCCACCAACCGACTGCTCCGGGGACAGTTCCACCAGAAACTTTTTACGCGTCAGCTTCGAAATCGAACGCAGGACTCACGCCTCCACCATTGCCACTGCGCCCGAAGAGCTCTATAGGATCGGCCCACACAAAGGTTAACATCGAACCCCCGCCAACCTATGATACTGTATTTCGCGAGCCCCAGCTCGTTGCAGAAGATACAATTGGTACAGATCAGGTTCCTGCGCTCATCCCAGCTGACGACCATCACAACTGGCCGGCCACCGAGCAAAGGTGGGCCGAAGATGACTGGGGCAGAAATGATACTTGGAATGGGCCGATACCGTGGGACAATTCTTGGGCTGGTGGAACGTCGCAAAAAGTCATGGATATTGATGCGCGGGACCAGGAGGAGGAGACGAACTGGTGGGATGCGGAACTGCGGGGAACGAGAAACCGTCCAGGGCCGGGAATGCTGCCGCCCTTCGTTGCTGAAATGTTGCATAACCCTGAACATTCATTGTTCTCGGTGAGCGTTACCGCACCTGACATAAGGCCGACTGGGGATGTACCCCCTTTCATTCCTCCGAGCCATGATGAACTTCTTCGTGCTGTTCCTCACGCCAATATATACTACTGCAGACGACACCATGGTTGGGTGTTCCTCCAATGGAAAACATCCGTTATTGTCCCTCCCTTCGCAAAATCATTTGACCCTAAAAAGCATTCACCCCTCCCTGACCAAGACCGTCGTAAACGCACCATCTCTTGCACTGATGACTCCTTTGAAAAGTCCAAGAAAACACATCACTTTCACTTCTACCCCAAGGCTGTCGATTCGGGCCAGCTCAATCCGGCATTCCATCGTGCCCCCTGGGAAATCGCTGCGCAGAGGAAGCAGAAGCGTCGGAAAGTCACTTCTGTCAGTCTTGAGGACTATGCATTCAAGGAATCAGATGTCAAGATGAACGAAGATTTGCCCGAGGGACATGTAGAAGGCGAACTGCTTGATCTTTATGTCTGCTGTCAGTGCTCTGTCTTCTGCATTGCATCAGAACCTATGCCCTGTGTCATTGCCCAGAAATACTTGGAGGATTTTACGAAGTATAGATATGAACACCCTACCGTTGGGAGGCAGCCTGACGAGTCTGTTGTCAGTGGATGGGAGACACTGATCACGTACGCCCATCAATTCACTCTGTGATGGTATTTCATTTCTTTATAGAATCATCGAAAACAAATTATGGAAAGGCAAGAATGGTCATCTCCCCATTTTCGGGAAGACATTCCAGAACAAGATCGGGTGGTCCTCAACTACGTCAGGAACTTTCATTGTGTTATTGTACAATGCAACTCACGACTTCATTTGCAGGAGTTATATCTTCAAGCAACTTGGGTTCGAGCTCACTACGCGCACTGAAGCTCCGGGCACGCCTGAGGAGAAGACAGACGAATTTCTGACACCCCCAAATACTGAGCCCAACAGTCCAGAAGGTCAGGAAGCACGTATGAAGCTGTTGCGTTTCTGGGTCGAAACGAATGCGTATCTCGTAGACTACCAACGTCGCTTCGGTAAGAATCACTGTTGGTTTCCTGTATCACTCACTCATGAAGCGCAGCATCTACGCTTAAGCACTATGCGCCGCACCCTTTATACGTCAAAATAGATGGTGCTCGAGAGATGTACCAGCAGGCGATCGGCGCACACCCTGACCAGAGTAAGGCTGAGTTTCTCTGTTTCAGAAGGTAGACCTGAGCTATTTGTACAGTCCCGAGATCGTCCTTGTCGTATCCGTTAGGTTCATTGGCGGAGTATGTACCCCTGCTGCAGACGTGGAAGATTTTAGGAATAACCCCTACAACATGTTCTCCGGGTAAGCAGTTGAGCAATCCACTCATTTAGATCTGCTCGGTGTTAACGCTGCTTAGATATGCTCATCTTCGCTTATTTGGCTCAATGCCGTTGTGACCCTGCCAATACAATACTCTACTTCACCCACTTCTACGCAATCGTCGTCGCAATCCAATCCCTTGATGGCGTCCCGTCTCAGGAATTGCAGACCCTAGTTTTTGACGAGCGCTCTCGTGGGCGATTCACGGAGGAGGAGCTACAAAATGCTGCCGCAGTTCTTGGATTTGGCAAGGACGGCGCACTGCGTTTGGAGCTTGAAGATGATATTGAAGACGACTTTCTTGCAGAAGCATGGCGGACGGCCATCAAAAATGCCTGGCGTGACGCAAAGGACTGCACACAGCTCCAACGCGATGCGAACGAGGCGTTCAGGATGATTGCACAGTCGAGGGGTAGTAAGAAGCTTATGAAACTGTTTACTGAGTCGTCGAAGAGCCAGATGGACCCTTCACGTGCATACTCGGTATTAGAGGTTTCCGCAGATGTGGATGATGAACTTGTGTTAACGGTGTTTATGATGCGGGTATGCGAGGCTCCGTGGCCTCATTTGCGGTTCTGACGAACATCAATAGGTTGAGGAGCAGCCCCATCAATCTGACAAGTGGCGCGAAGCGTTAAGAACAATTGCAGAAGTGAGGGACAGCAGCCGACTGCGTCATTTCCTAGAAGAAGGCAAAGATCGTAAGTACCTGCCCAGGTTTTGATATACCATTTAACCGAGGCGTTTTAGCTGGAGATGTCGTGGCTGCAACGCGTGCTGATCTTCCAAGAGGCCTGAATCAACTTGGAAACACCTGTTATCTGAACTCGCTGCTCCAATACTTCTACACAATTAAGGAGCTTCGTGAGGCTGTTGCTACCATGGCTAACATTGACGTGAAGGCCCTTGAAGATGAGAAGTACTCGGAGGACGACCTGAAACGACATCGGGTTGGTGGACGGCTAATTACGCGGCGCGAGATACTGCGATCGAAAAAATGTATGTATGCTACCCATCCCTTTTACTCCAAGCTAAAATCATTATCAATGTAGTCGTTAGTCAGTTGGCTGATTTATTTTGGCAACTCCAATTCTGTGAGAACCAGGCTGTCACACCGACTATCGATCTTGCGAAGTTAGCACTTGTAACATCAAGAGATGAGGAGGAGGAGGAAGCTGACAGAGGCGGTACCGATTCCTCGAACGACACAGATGCGACGCTTGTTGAGGACGGGCCCGTGCGGTCACCTGACTCAAATGGCTCGGTTCTCGGCAAGCGGCCACGCGACGAGCAACGCATGGATATGGATGTCGACACTCCCATGTCTCCTATCGCAGAAGAGAAGAATGGATACGTCATGATATCCCAGCCATCTCCTCCTCGTGGGTCCAAATCTCCTCGCTTGCATGGGGAAAGCTCGTCAAGCACGATGCCGCTGCCATCTCCGCTTCCAGATGTGGAGATTGTGAACCATGAGAACTCGCAGGTTGAGGAGCAGAAGACGACTCCTCCCTTGCCTACACGTAAGCCCACTCAATCGGATTCGGTTATGATGTTTGGTAAGCCACACCTGTCTTCTGAATGATGTCATATCTAAATAATTGGTTGTAGGAAAGCAGCATGATGTCTCTGAATGCATGGACAATTGCATGTTCCAGATTGAGATCGCGCTCCTGAAATTCGATGGGCTGGGCGACTCAGACAATCAGAATAGCGTTGTGAAGAGGCGAGTACTTTGCTGTCCGTCAGACACATACATGAACTGTGATTGATTTACCAGGCTATTCTATGGGAAATTGCGGCAACGACTTACTCAAGTCCCCGCCCAGCGGCATCCCAGAACTTCGACACACGAGAAAGAGGATATTTTCTCTCATCTTCCTGTGAACGTGGCCGATAATGGCTTTGATATCTACGATGGCTTAAGCGGATACTTTGACGATGTCGTTGATTACGAAGGCGAGAAAGCCAGAATGGAGGTGACACTGGTTGATCTACCGCCGTTATTGCAGATCCAACTTCAAGTAAGTGCCTGCTCAGATAGCTCAGTGATAAATATTAAACAAGTCAATAGCGGGTGCAATTCAACAGAGAGACCCTCCAACCATACAAATCGCAAGCTTATGTCAAGTTTGGCGAGACGATATATATGGACCGGTTCCTTGATACCGCAGATCTAGGCAAGAGGGCTAGATCAAAGGAAGTACAGGCAGAATTGAACATGCGACGTGAACGTCTGCGCCTGCTGACACAAGATAAGGTAAGGCTTCTGTGTATTTCTTGTGGATTAACTACATAAATTGCCTTAGCACGCACCTTTCCCTGCATCGCTCAAAAATACGCTTGATTTCTTGTCAAAGCAAGAAACGCTCGATCTCCCAGATGTCGATGAAGAGCTCGTCGCGAATATCAGCAGCGAACAGGATATGATCGAGGCTGAGATTGTTGAGCTCAAGGACACGATATCAAAGATGAAGGAAGAGCTGGAGAATATCTGGAAAGATGATACCTCAGTCGCATATGAACTGACCTCCGTCTTCATACATCGTGGCTCATCACCCTCATTTGGACACTACTTCTTCTATTCCCGACATCTACCGGAACAGCCCGATAACTGGTTCAAATACAATGATCATCAGGTTACGGAAGTGTCGAAAAACGAGGTCTTGGCTGACACCACAGGGTCCACTGCTAATCCATACTTGGTGAGTGTGCGCATGATACCCTTCTTGATGTAATTGATTGAACTGTTTTCTAGCTTGTTTTCGCAAAGAAGGACCGGGACATTGTTCGTACTGTAAATCGTTTTGATCCGATGGCTTTAGAGGATATTGATACATGATCATAACGCTGATATCCCATGATTCCTCATGCACTAGCTGTGTCACTCTACTCCCCGGAGGATTTGAACGCATGCCACTGCGATAGTGTATGCTCACATAAATGACATTTCAAATTTTCAATATTACCATATAACCCACAGCCTGGATCTCCTATAGACAGTGTGCGTTATAAGGCTTTGAGTTCGACTGTGCCCGTACGATCAGGGACACCCTACAGCAGTTCCTGACATGAGTACCACTTTGAAGACTGTCGGACCCCGTGGTTATCCCAAGCTCTCCGCACGCCAGGTCAAACAACATCTTTCTCGAGATCAAGTAGGCTCATTTGTAGAGTGATCAGAAACGCAACTAATAACGGCTTCGTCATGTGTCATGACCGATGATAGGTATGTTTGAAGAACTTGCTGTGAGGTCGGTTCTGATGTCGGGGCACATTGTGAACGACTGCGGCAAGCAGTACAGAACGGTATCAACAGCAGGTATACAACCAATAAACTGAATTACCACTCACTGCAGTAACCATCTTGCTAACGCGAGAGAGTAGGCCCATCGGTAGTCTTGCTCTCTGTTGAGACGATGACTCGTTCTGCCTCTACTGATACTACTTTCTCCTCAATGCTCGCCTCATCATGGGTCTCGAGGGATGTCAAGAGATTATCCAAGGTTCCCAATATCCCGTCTAATTTCCCCTCAATGCCTTTGGCCACATCATCAGCGCTATCTAGATGTGCCAAGATTTCCATCAGGTCTTCTGTTCCATGACTGCCATTCAATGAGCCGTTTAACAGAAGGGTGCTCAAATGAGCAATGTCAGCTTCAAGATTGCTGTCTAGTTTATTGATCGAAGGACTATGGGTTCCAGTGTCGGCCGCCGTGTTGTTGTTGGACATCATGATGCAGAACGATGAACGATGGACGTGACAGAATTCGGATTTAGCTTGAAGAGAATGGTTATGTAAAGGCTAGACTCAGTACTGACATGTCGACAAACGGCATCTCGGCAAGAACTTTCATTGCAACGACCTCGATGAGCTCACAAACAGAGTGTGTTCAATTGTTGCTCGAATCTTTCCCCCAACGTCCATTCGATCAGAAACTGCTGCATGAACTAGTAGGAAATGAGGTCAAGAAGTTCCAAGGCAAGTCTTCTGCAGACAACGTCAAAAGTCAATGGGAGTTTCTCCTTAAGAATGAGGTGTTCACCTTAGCGGTACGTGCTTTCTTTCTTGCTTTTCATCATTTTCATATCAATGCTTTGGTAGGCAACTGAGGGTAGTGCATTGAAGTGCGACAGTGCATTGTACTATAATGGTCTCCGCGACAGACTCGACTTGGTGTTGACATTCACTGAACACGGTTTGTGGTCTCTGCCCGCACTTTGTATACGAGGTGCTCACTGCATAACAGATGTATGCGAGGCAACGTTCCCTTTTACTGTTCTTCAGGATCTTCTCGAGACACAAACTATCACATCTTGCTCACAAATATTCTCTTGGATCGAGTCAAGTGCCTCTCGGCTCACCAAGGACATGGTCCCGCAAAAGGGCAAGGCACTTATACTACTGCGCACTCTCAATGATCTTCTCCGCCGTCTCTCAAAAATGGGTTCTACCACGATATTTTGCGGTCGTATATTGACCTTTCTGAGTGGCGTTTTCCCTCTGGGTGAAAGAAGTGGTGTCAATTTGCGAGGAGAGTACGGACCTACGTGGGAAGGTGTGAAGGACGTCGAGAAAAAGGATGAACATGTGGAGACAGTCGGGGGCCCTGAAAACAGCCAGAAAATGGAGGTAGACGGTGGAAAGAAGGAACTTGCAGATCCCAAAGACAAGGACGGTAGGTTAGCGCTCTGTCGTGATGTTCTGTGACTCATGTCATTCTCAGGTTTCTACACCACGTTCTGGTCCCTGCAACTGCCTTTCTCCCGACCCCCATTGTTTGCCCTTCCCAATACATTCGGAGAATTCAAGGACGCTGTGGATAAGGTTCTGCCTGTTATCAAGGAGGCGACCACGAAGGAGCGCGCCATGATGGGCAATAGAGGTACCAGTGGTACAAGCAGCAACCTAAAACGCAAACGAGAACCAGAGTTGGGCGATGCAAGCAATAATAGCGAATACTTCTTCGCAAAGTTCTTGACAAGTCCAGACCTTCTTAATTTAGAGGTATCTATCTGCTTTCCTAAACATGCAAGTCACTGAAGTTTTGTAGATTGCAGACACCCATTTTCGTCGACAAGTCCTGTTCCAACTCCTCATCCTCCTTCACCATCTGTTATCGTTCACTAAAGTCACAAAGGCTGTGTGGTCCACGCCAAGGAACAGATCTCTCCAAATGGACTTCACGCTTGAATCTACAGATGCCCAGTGGGTCCATGACACCATCGCAAAGGTATCCGCAGAGCTGCGGTCCACTGCTCCAAACGGTCCTACATTTGCGGACACTGTGAATGTTATTCTTGATCGGGAAAAGAACTGGGTGAAGTGGAAGAATGACCTTTGCGCACCTTTTGATAGGGAACCATGGTCAGCTGAAGCAGATGGCAGAAAGTTAGGGATGGAGGAGGCTACCAGGGAAGCTCGATCAAATAGAAAGAAGGCTCCCGAGCCGTGGAAGTGGAACCTAGGATCTGAGTCGCTGACTGAGATATGGGAGATGGGGTACAGGGATTTGTCTGACCTGCAGAATCCATTTCAGTTAAGGATCTCATATCTATTCGATGACTACATGCTGACTGAATGGGCAGGCCGGGTGATGTTAAGGATTTCGTGAAGAAAGTCAAGCAAGAAGACGCTCGTATTGAAATGCGGAGAAAGCAGCTTGCGAAGAATGCTGAACGCTTAGCTCAGGCGCGAGCCAAGGCAGCTGCTTCGCAAGAGTCCACTGCACGGCAAGAGACACCAGCTCCCGCATCCGCACCAACAGAACCACCCAAAGTGGAGCCACCAGTAGCTTCGTTCCCTGCTTTGTTATCGGCACCCAGTATCTCCAGCTCGCCCTTGCATCCATCTCTACCCCCAAAACCTGGTTCATCACCAGTAAAGTCATTCCTAGAAACAGGCGCATCAAGTCCTGCCCGTCCTCCAATCACTCTCGCACCACCGTCCTCGACGATAGCAGCACCCACACCAATTCCTCCAGCTGTGGCCTCGGTCTCAGAAACGTCCTCCGTCATTGTTCCACCACTTGCCTCTTCTCTTACTGATGATCAGATTGCTCGATATGAAGAGGTACAGAATACAGTCATTCTTCCATGATTTTACTAATAAGTTTGAATAGAACAGACAACGTTGGTCATGGCTTGCATTGCGTACAGCACGAGATCAATATCTGCAGCATTTTGGCAAGATCGGTACGGGAGACGTTGTTTTACTTGCCAATGAGATAGAGATAGAGAAGGAACGAGAAAAGAATCAAAAGACGCAGAAGGCCGAAGAGATGGTACCTACTCTGTCGACCACGCAAGGACAAGAGGACCGCAAAGCCGGTAAGGCAGGTGATGCCACGGGGACTGCAGGGATTCCATTGGATGCTGAAGGAGATGTGAAGATGGAAGATCGCTGATGGGCCAGAAGAGAATTCGAAATTTCGGAATTCGCTTCGTAGTACGAATTGGGAGGATGCATGCAAAGCTCGATTGTGCTATTTCGTTGTCAGAGACTTTCTCAATACCTACTATCTTTTTCATGTTGTACTTAGCCCATGATGCGCTCAGAAAAGTCTAACCTGTGCTTGCCGAAGCGCAGTGAGACACTCGTGATCACGGCGTCCGCCAAACTTCGGGATGAATTCACATTGCAAGTCGGTTGCCAACATTCCGTAAATTCTGCCTTCTTCAACCTTCGACAATGTCCACATCCACCGGTTTGCGAGTGCGTACTCAAACTGCATACCTCGTACTTCGAATAGGCTCATATTTTGTCATTACAGCGTGTCCTGGTGACTGGTGGAGCTGGCTACATTGGTAATTACCTCGGGGCCGACTTGTTCAGCTTGCGTTTTGACTGAAGTTTCCAGGCTCACATGTAATCTACGCTCTACAGCAGACAAGAAGATACAAAGTCATCTCTCTCGACAACTACCACAACTCATTCCCTGCATCGCTCACTCATGTAGCCCAGATTGCGCGAGACACACTTCCCGAAAACCCGTCGGAGGCAGACAAGGAGAGCACAGAAATTGATGTATTCCAGTGCGACTTGACTAGCCCACAGCAAATAAAAGACATCTTTGAACGCTATGGCAAGGGTGGAATATGGGGTGTCGTTCACATTGCTGTTAGTATTGGTTTTTTCATGCATGGGTTGGAATCGATCTGAATGAAATTTTTTAGGCGTACAAAGCGGTCGGCGAGTCTGTTGAGATTCCCTTGACATACTACGCAAACAACGTTGCTGCTACCGTGTCGTTGCTGCAGACCATGTCAGATTTCGACTGCACTCGCATTGTCTATTCATCTTCTGCTACTGTCTACGGCACGCCCCCTGTGATCCCAATTCCCGAGACGACGCGTCTCAAAGCAGACAGCCCTTACGGCAAAACAAAAGTCATGTCTGAGATGGTTATCGATGATTTGTGCCACGGTAAGCGTCCCTTGCTGTACCTAAGGTCCCACTAACACCCCTTCAACAGCTGAACCGAATAGATGGCGTGCCATCTCGCTTCGCTACTTCAAGTGATGATTTCTTCCTGTCCATTGATATGTACTGACGCTAACTTGCATACAGTCCTGCAGGCGCGCATCCCTCGGGATTGATAGGCGAGGACCCACGCGGTCGGCCAGGGAACTTGTTGCCTTTGCTAGCACATATGGCCATTGGGCGCGTAGACGCTGCCACTCTGAAAGTGTTCGGAAATGATTACCCCACTCCGTGAGTTTATCTAATACCACTCGTTGACGTTCAGGGTTCATGTAGGATTGTAGGGATGGTACCTGCGTTAGAGACTACCTCCACGTGCTTGATTTGGCTTCTGGACACTTGCTTGCTCTCGACGCACTCGAGCCTGCATCTACTATCTTCGATAACTGCCCTGACGATGCGCGCTACAAGGCTTACAATTTAGGGAAAGGAAAGGGTATGAGTGTTCTTCAAATTGTTGAGGCGATGCGCAAGGCTACAGGATTCGATTTCAAATATGAGGTCATTGGGAGACGGTAAGTTTATTTATCGCCTATAGTAATCATCCATTGTTTACCGATTCTTAACAGCCGCGGTGATGTTCCTGATCTTACTGCGGATCCTGCGCTGGCCGAAAGGGAACTGGGCTTCAAGGCACCGCAGCCTCTGGAGGTTATGTGCCGAGATTTATGGAACTGGCAGTCGATGAACCCTCAAGGATATACCCAACAGTAATTTAGTGGTACAAGAGTCTATCTACACCCTTCTAATAATGGACATATAGAAGATCAAGAGCGAGCTTATTAGGATACCTGTCGTTGTAGCTTACCTGATAATCAGCTGTTGCATGGAATATTGAAGCGCTGCACGTCATTCAACACCGACAACCTAGTTCGTTCCTTCACCATACTGTTTCTATACTTCACCGCTTCATCCATATCCATGACTCCGTCCACTTCATCGAGCACTTTATCAACTAGCTCCACTGCAAAGATTCCACGAGTTCCCTTCTCGAGGCCTAACCTTGTCCACGTCTTCTGTTGGGGTGGGACTCTCTGTGTGGACGCCAGCGGCGCAATACTTGGATCAACCAAGTACAGCCCGATGATGCGTTGGTGCCCTTCCTTTGACGGATCAGCCAATGAGAATGGTGTAATATGATATTGATAGATATTAGGATACGCGATGCATAGTCCTTCCTGAATCGGGACAGCGCCAATATACTGATGACAAGGTTTTCTTGTCTGTAAACCCCAGGTCTTCATTGTTACGTCCTGGTATCCTTTCTTGGGAAATGCAGGTGGTGTCTTAACAGCCATGCGAAATTCGATCGAGTTAGGGGTAATGTTCTCCTAAAAATGGGTTGAGGTTTTGGATAACAAATTAAGAGATGCCATACACTCGACGAATTATAGAGGACACAGGCGACGATGCGTTCGTTCTTCATGCCCTCTACACGCCATGGAGAACCCTGAAATGCAGGGCCGCCTGGTTTCTACATGAACTCGCTTTTAGGGAATGGTGGCCGTGCGAAAAATGAACCATACAATGCAAATATCGTACACGTCATGTATGACTTGAAGGGTCTTCCCCCTGAGTTGCACAACACTTCGGCGTTCTTCAAGCCCACCTGGGTAACCGGTACTCGGGACATCAGGTACAATCGACCTGTGCATGATCCACTGTCGCTTCTTGCTCTCAAACACAGACCAATCCACGGAGCTGCCCGAGAAATCCGGAGGCTCTGGCTCGTCCCACTCCGACGGCAAAGGTTCTTGTATTCGCGCTCTGACCGGGTTGTCCACATGCAAGTCCGTGAGGACGTGCTCAAACATAGGAACACATTTCGAGAGCAACTCCTCAAGGTGGCGATAGAGCGTAGAGTAGCAAGGGTGGAGGTTGTTTATGTAGGAGAGCGCCTTTGTTGTACCGTCCTGAGCTGAGATAAGGAAGTCACAAGGCAAACATGCAAATTTTTGCGAGAGAAAATCTGTGGTGGTCGTGTCCGTAATGTTGGGCACTAGCTCAGGACGAAGAAACCCTTCTTTAGCTGAGTCGTAAGCAAGCGTCCGATCATAAATGAAAGGGTAAAGGTATGGATCTATAATGCGACGCGTTAGTTCGTCTCCCTCGCGCCGTGCCAGTTTGTCTGGAAGTGTTTCCAGAAAGCGAGAAAGTTGACAATTGAGGCTTGCGCGCGCTGAGTTGTCAAGTATTGCTTGAGACTCCCAAATGCGCTCAAAGCAAGAAACCTGACTGTTAGCATGTTAGAACGCCAGCGCCTATCCGGAAAAGAGGGCCTACCAATTATTCTCAGCGTCGCGGAGGTTTGCATAGCCCTGCAACTCCTCTAGAACATATTCAACCTACCCGCAGGCGAGACTGTATGATAAACTCTTCACAAAATTCAACCAAGTCCACCAACCTGATTAGGAGTCAGCCACACTTTGAGGTTGCGACCTGGTGCTCGCACGGTCATTGGCTCAACGAGAGCTTCGGCGGCCCACTGAGCGCGGGTTTCCGGGCATTTAAATAGATTCCACCAGTCATCTCGACGTCGTATACATTTAGATAGCTCTGACATGGCCAAGTCTACCACCTATATGCGACTGAGGATCCATTATATGTGAAAATGGCTTAAATGCACTCACCGTTCTGGCAGGATCGACCTCTTGCAGGACCCATGGGTCATTAATGAAAGGGTGAGGCCCAAAAGGCTCACGATCATACTTGGTCCCTCTGGTCATTCGATGACTGCGGTCAAGGTTACAGCTTGCACAATGCCTAAATTCATCCAGTATTAATATTAGTACTAGCTCAGCGCGGAGTGCGCAGCCTTTTTATTCTCTCAGGGAAAAGGCTGATTTGGGACAAAGTCTGGGCCTGGCGGCGGCCCTGTCCCATCGGTACCCAAGCGGAGTATGAAAGTTGATGTGCCCGTTACTGTTTCTCGCGCTTGCTCACTATCTGCAACAGCGCCAAGGACTTACTTCAATGGACGCTAGGAGCCTTTTTTTATTATTGTCATACAGCAACATAATGAGCTCGCTGCTAGGTCATATATTGACCTCGCGATGTGCTAGCCTCCTCAAGGATGACATCATTCAGCCTCAGCCGCGCACTGCCACTAGCACCCTGATATACTAAGGATATGGGCGAGAAGAGTTGAACATGAACATGTAGACGCGGCGGGGCGTGTTGGTATTGGGATGGCCGTTTGAAATATCGAGCAGGATTTAATCTCCGTAGGAGTCTTGTTCCAGACTTTGGCCCAGAAGACCAGTCAAAATCTCTCTCCAAGACTTCCCAGAGTCTAATCCTGAGACACAGGGGCCCATCTACTTTGTTTATACAAAATTACAAATACAGAAATTCTAAAACGGTGCATTACATAATGCTACAATGAGCTCAGTTTCACTCGTCACAACGAACCACGAGCACAACGAAAGCCACATCTTCCTCACATCATATAAATCTAGTGATGGTAAGTCACCGCGGGTTACCACGTTTAACCGCGATTATGTCTTACATCGCTTCCCACCCAGTCATCTGGATGGGAAATTCGCATGTCCAACTCGAAGGGCATACCATACTACTTCAACGCTTCCAGCAAGCAATCAAGTTGGGATGCTCCCTCAGAGCTATCGGATGATCAGATCAAGTCTCTTCCCGGTTCACAGTACCTGAGCGGTGGTAGCAGTGGAGGGTCTGGGACAATCACGGCGAGTCATCTGTTGGTGAAGCACAAAGACAGTCGGCGACCGTCAAGTTGGAAGGAGGTGTGCATGCATCTGCCTTCCAAAAAGGGACATATTTTAACGCTGCATGCTCCCAGGCGAATATTACACGCACAAAGGAAGAGGCCACTGAAATTCTCCGGGGATATCAGACTCAAGTTGGCAACTCGCGCGAGAAGTTCGAAGAACTGGCGAGTATGCACTCTGATTGTTCATCGCATTCCCAGAAGGGAAATCTCGGACCCTTCTCGAAGGGTCAGATGCAGAAGCCGTTTGAGGACGCCGCGTTTGCCCTGCAGGTCGGAGAGTTCAGCGACATCATCAGCACAGACAGCGGTGTGCACATCATTTTGAGAACGGCATAGCACAAATTGAATGAGTAGTGGGGAAGTTTATGCAGACAAAGGTGTTGTACGTCCATCAGATTGTAACATTGAGCATGATATTACGTTTGAAGTATATGCGACTATGTCGCCGACTCTGATTTTTGAAACTTCAGGAATCAAATATATATGTCATGACAATGGCCCAGGCGCCAGCACACCAGTCTACTACCGCATTATTTTCACGAAGACACGGCCGCAATTTCATTTCATTATGAAGCTCTGATATTTTGAACGTTGGCGCTACATGACATGGTGCTATGAGAGCAAGTGTACTTCTTCACAAATTATTAAGATGCCTTGGTCGGTATCTTTTCATGGTTCGGCTATAGTATCTCCCATGATGTGTCAGACAATGACTTCTTGTAAGAAATGGAAGACTGCCATTCCCCCTTTATTATGGGCCCCCTGTAGGATAGCTGCGCTGTGAGGCAGCCCTTTGAGAGTTTTTCGACTTATTCCCACCAATAGTATCATTTTCAATTTTCAATCACGTACACCAGCGAGTCGGAGTCTTTGGCTAAGTTTACTATTTAGTTCCCAACGTTGTTTCTCACCTCTTGATACAACTTTCACCCGAATCCCTAGCCAATCCAACATCGTAGAGCCTCACAGGATCAGCAGCTGCGGTGTAACGAGGACGATAGCATCCAAGAGTTAACCCCATAAACAGTCATGGAACACATGGCGGAGTTGGCAACAAATTTGGAACACGGTTTTACCACGTTTCAAACCTTGTGGATTTCGACCGTCTGTCTCCTTGCGCCCTTTGCCTATCTGGTGCTATCTCAGATATCAAAATCAGTAGGTACGCCATATTGTTCCTGATGCCTTTAGCATATTTTTGGAAAAGTTTTTGGAACTTTACTTGGAACCTGGTGCCTTCAGTCGCTCGAATTAATATCTGATCTGTCTTGGAGGATTAGGTGGTCGATCAGACAAGGGAGAAGCCGAATCCGATACCCCAGATCACTCGAAGTTTGATACGTCAAATATACGTGTAACAAAGATCTTAATCCACCCCATCAAGGTATGTGATCACGCTGTTTTCCGCTTTGCTGGCAGTATTGATTTTGTAGAGTTGCAAAGGCACTTCCGTTTCAGAGGCAAAGTACACTCTTCATGGACTCGATGTCAGTGTATTCAATATGTTTCTAATAATATTGATATTGATTGCGCTGCAGAATGATCGCAGATGGAGCATAATAAGGGCGGATAATAATGCAGTCGTGACTGCCCGAGATGTGGCTAAGGTACGTCCTATGTCGTCAGTAGCACCCGTGGTCCAGTAGAGACTGACATAATTTTGTACAGATGGTTCTTATAGTTCCTCGTATCATTCCTGACCCCTCATCTCCCGATGGCGGCCGGCTCGAGGTGTCTTTCCCAAAGGAGTCAGGCTGTGAGGCCTTCTCCGTGCCATTAAACCCCACTGAGGAAGAGCTTCAGGGTTGGCAGAAGTGAGTGGAGCTATGTGTCACTACGGCCCGACGTCTTTGATCTTTACACATGTGTTCTCTAGTGTTGATATATCTTTGTGGGGCAAGAATGACATCGAGGGGTACGTATGTCAAACCAATACAGGAAGGTCACCCTCGGAGATACTTTCGCAATATATGGGGTTGTCAGTACACTTGGCTGTGAAAGGCCCGCGTCCGCGGACCTGTCCACCGACTGTTCGGTTTCCCGACTTAGATGCACCCTCATATTTTCAGGATTCGTACCCTTTGTTGGTAGTGTCCGAAGAAAGTGTCGCGGCCGTGGAGAAGCTGATCCAAGGGATGGTGGGCATGCAGGGCATAGAGGAAAAGTGGTCCAGCGACACTTTACAGGTGGAAAGGTAAACCTATTTTTTTTTTCAGTCCGAATGTTGAGGCTTGTGCTACTTTGAATTGTTGCTCATCTTGCTTGCAGATTCCGCCCCAACATAGTGATTAAAGGAGCTGGCGCACCTTTCTTCGAGGATACGATGACTGAATTCACTATCCATCCTCATCATGAGAGTGTAGACGGGGCATCTTCGATCATCCAGCTTGTGCGCAAATGTACTCGTTGCGTGGTGCGAATCTGGTCGATCTCCTTTGAAAAATAGGTGCTGATTATTTGCTTTTGCAGCTGCCAAATGTACATCCCGAGACGGGTATACGTGACAAGGCGGTGCCATTGAAAATTTTAATGAAGCATAGAAGAGGTCTGGATCCCGGGAGACCCAGACTACCCTGTATGGGGTGCAATGGGGTTTTCACCGCGAATGGTGTAGTGAAAGTGGGGGATTGGATCCACGTACGTAAGACAGGATTCGTGTGACTTGCGTGGTTCATTTTTAACAGCGTACTGTATAAAATCTGGCTTCAACGCCAAATAGGGATTTTGTATTGAATTGATTTGTATCATGATGAAATGCTCTTTGGGCTTAGTGCAAGGTTGTCAAAGCATTGACAAATTAATTGAAGGGTCTGATGAGCAGGCGTGGGGGGCGATGAACACACCTAAGACTACGAGTCTCCAGCAAATATTTCATTAGAATAAATGGCTCAAAGCCCTAGGTTACGGATTACAATTGGGTTATGAAAGTCAAAGGGTACCTTGAACTCGTTTTGGAAACCAAGCCAAAATAAAAAATGGGGGCCGCGTCGGCATGCCACACCGGCCGGTAGTAGATGACATGAAATCCGCGCATGCCAGCCATCAGGAGTAGCTGGCCAGTGAGCGCTTGCGCTGGTTGCAATATGCTGCACCACATGTGAACTGCGCCTCTGCAGTGCCTTGGTCCGCCACGCAAAAATTTACCTTTTTAAGAACCGGACCAAGGGGGCCGGCTTGTCGGTTGAGCTGGAAATTCATGTCAGTAACCTGTTTGATGTACTCATACTAAACGAGCTTTCCTTGTCGTACCAATCTTCCCTCAATCCCGAGTTTCAACCGCCATCATCCTCTATCGCAGAGCTCGTCACCCGAGCTCTGAACTATGGCTATAGGGAAATGGAACCCTTTTGGTCAACCTGTGCTACAAACCACTAGCGACCATCCTGTCCTGCAACCGTTACCAATCCCTTGTGCTGATGGAAAGCAATTTGGTCTAGAGAATGTATGTCATCTAACTACTCCATCTCCACTAATGATCTTCATTCCCATCATTCCTATAGTTTGGCAACACCTGGTACGACTCACTTCGTTCCCACACTCCAACCGCCCGCTGATGACTTAAAAGTTATGCCAACTCTGTTCTACAAGCTCTATATTTTTGCAGTCCCTTTCGAGATCTCGTAATTCAGCATGCAGATCCGTGCATCACTATCCAAGCAGCCATATCCTCGCAGTTCACTCCTAGTGCCGCTCCCGCTTCACCAGCCGCTGCTACCCGTTGGAAGCAAACAGAACGCCAGTCCATACCAGAATCTCCCCAAAATACCGGTATTGTAAACCCTCCAACACCACCGATCCCCTCATCACCACGGACCTTGATGTCTGCACTTCGCTCCTTGTACATTCACATCTCTCAGAACCCAGCCGACAAAGGCACCGTTGCCCCCCGAGCGTTCATAGACAAACTCAAAGAATTAAATGAAGCATTTAGAAATACAATGCACCAGGATGCTCACGAATTTTTAAACTACCTCCTCAACAAGATCGTTGAGGAAATAGAAGAAGAAAAGAAGCTACTGCAGGTTCCTCTCGATGATTGTATGTGGAAAAATCAGAATTTAGAACACTCATTGTTTCCACTGACACCTCTATTTCACCTCTGTTTTCTAGCCGCTCATTCAGTCAAATCGTCATCTACAACCTCGCAACCGCTGGTAATGACAGCAAGCACGTCGAGCTCAGGTAATCCGTCGACGGGAGCTACATTCATTCACCAGATATTTGAAGGTATACTGACTAGTGAAACTCGATGTCTGACATGCGAAAACGTACGTTGTCGTAATACTTACTGCTGCGCTTACTGATCGCGCACAGGTATCTTCACGTGACGAATCGTTTTTGGACCTTTCCATAGACATTGAACAGAACTCGAGCGTGACAGCATGTCTTCGACAATTCAGCGCTAGTGAAATGCTCTGCCAGAGAAACAAGTTTTTCTGCGATGGTTGCTGCGACCTCCAGGAAGCGGAAAAGAGGTAACCAATATCTGCTCATCCAGTTTTGATACTGAGGCCAAACCAGGATGAAGATAAAGCGATTACCCAATGTTCTCGCTCTACATCTCAAGCGCTTCAAGTATCAAGAAGATGTACAAAAGTACATCAAGTTGGCTTATCGCGTTGCATTTCCCTTCGAGCTCCGCTTGTTCAATACTGTTGATGATGCTGAGAACCCTGATCGACTGTATGAACTATTTGCCATAGTTGTTCACATCGGAAAGTACGTCCACTGTTGCGTGTGACGCTCGTTATCTGTAATCGCCGCTGACACGCTTTTCTTCCCTCGTTTGTCCCTGGTAAATATAGCGGACCAAACCATGGCCACTATGTCAGCATCATCAAGACATTGGGTGCCTGGCTCGTATTCGACGATGAAACAGTGGAGTCAATCAAAGAATCCGACATACCCAAGTACTTTGGCGAATCCAATTCGGGCTCCGCCTATGTGCTATACTACCAAGCTGTGGATATAGACCTTGTCGCCCTTGATCTGCGTCCGGCAAGTCCACGTGCTCCTGAGGAGCATATACAACTTCCTACAGATTCTCCTGCATCACTCTCAGAACCTATACCATTGCCGCCCGGGTTGTCCGCAGAACCCCCAGAGGCAGAAACTGCTGAGACTGTGCCTGTACTACCCCCTCCATCTTTACCCACGAGTATCCCCGTTCCTCCTGAGAGATCATTGCGCAAAATCCCTTCGGAATTTATGAAACTCAGTCCTCCCTCGGTACCTCCGTATCAAGCAACAGTTGGTCGTGGCTTGTCACTGAAGCCGTCCTTACCAGCTCGTAATAGCATACTCAAACATGTCCCTTCGCTGAAGATCGGTGTAGACAAACGGGACTTGGCTGCAAAATCCACTGCTCCCTTCCCCATGGTCGAGCCATCAGATCTGCTGCCACCTGTTTTACCTATCCCTGCTCTACGAAGTCCGAACGGCAAGGAAAAGGAAACAGAGAAGAAGAGCACCAATTGGTTCCGAAGGAAAAGTCTTAAATCGGGAGGGAAATTGCGTCCAAGCTTGGAAACTGAGTTAAAGAAGACTCCGTCGCCTCCTGTCGTGCCCCTGGATGCGTCATCAAGGTTCCACACTACTGAATTGACATCGAAGCATTCCAAGGATGATGGTTCTGGACATCCTTCAGAGCCGGCAGATCTTGATCGTCCTATAGCGCCTTTCATGGTCCATCGCCGCCCTTCATCTGCTTCCGGCCTTGTTCAGACATCATCGCATAGTACGAGCAGTCGACGAGATACTTCGAGTTCGCCTTCCGTCTCGGCCACTACGTCATATTCTTCACACACTACAAGCACTTCATCATCAATGTCTCCTGACCATCACCCACAAACCATTCGTCCCTTGCCAACGATACCTGCTTCTCCGCAAAACTCAAGGATAGTACAATCACCTCATTCAGCTTATTCTCGCGGCCACTCATCTGATCATCCACGACCACACAAACGGCCAGCAGTGGCACCCCACGACTTTGAACCACCAAGACCACCTAAATCCCCAGCTCGACCGACGACTGCAGGTGCTACGCTTGGTTCACGCCCCTCTGCAACTATATCTCGGGATCATAATCTTCCTCCATTGCCGGCTGCTATGGGTGATCTATCTAATGGGACGTATGGTCACATGCCCATGACATTGCCTTGTCCAGACAATGACAAGACGCAGGTGAAAAGTAAGTTGTATGACGAAGGCGTGACAGGGTTGTCTAGACGGCCAAAGTCAGCACATGCACCTACAACCCTGGAGGCGGTTTTACAATCTGGCGCTACTAATACCACTAGTGCCGTGAAGCGGGCGAGTCGAAAGATGAGCTTCACCGCATCATTCTCGTTTGGCCGCAAGGATAAGCACCGCGAGAGGGGGAAAGAGCAGGAATAATTGACCCGGCCCGGTGATTCGATCACACACTTCCCATCTCTCGCTAGTCCAGAGCCTGACACTGTATTCCATGGTAACGATGTGTTTACCTATATCTTGTTTAATGATCTTTTTCCTATTTTCTTGTTTGAGCAGTTGCCTCGTGGAAAGATTTCAGTCACCTATTTTAATTGCAATCGCATACACTGTTTTTATTCCCGCAAAGTGGACAGTTCCTCTATTGCGCTTATTCGTAGCTCTACCTCATTGCGCCTGTATCGATTTCATGTTGTACATTAGAGAAATGACCAGATACAAACAACAATGAAGTTATCGCGGACTGAGTATGTACTGATATACAATCGCTTAATTTTACGATACAAGAAGTAATTAACGCTTTAGCTGTAGTTCTTCATGCGATCAAGTCCAGAATGTCTGTTGTGTGATATAATTCACAATTCGAGCATGCGTTCATCCTCCAGAGGGATTGGATGACGTTGCCCAGTAATCGCTACAGCATGACTTTGAGGGTATGGCCAACTGAACATATGAACTTGAACTCACTTTCCAAGGGCGTTGCTGCCATATCAATAATATGCAACATCGTCTCATGTGGCTTAGAATAAAAGATACGCCCAGTGCCCTCGTCCCAGGCTATCGCTGTCACACCATTGCGAATATGATCAAGAATATATGAAGGCAGATTAAACTGTCCCAGCATATTCTCGCGAGGCGTGGGAACATGTCGGAGGATATTTTGCAGCGTTTCGCGCCGCATGATACTATAAGCATCATCGCCTCGTTTGGACAGAAGATGGCCGGAGAAGTTGCGGACCGAAAGCGTGTCCGATCGATTATCGCGTGGAATGGAGTAGAATAAAGAGCGCAGACAACCTGGGATGACGAATGTTCTGCATACTGTTCTGGATTCGTCGTTTTTGAAGGATAGGCGGTGCATCATGTTGGACTTCAGGTTCGTGATAGCGTAATGGGGCTTCCCTGTAGATCTATATCCCTCTGGTGCGCTCTCTCGTGGGGTTGGCGAGATAATCATGTGGCAGATACGACCCCCGCTTTCATTCCTGTAGAAGATATTGATAGGGGGTGGCATAAAATTGCGACCGTTGTCATTGAACACATGTGGGTCACTTATTTGAAAGTCTTCAATATCTTTCCCGTAAAAGGAGGCAATCGAAAGTGGGTTAAACTCTCCTGCTTCTTCATCCCCGGGGTCAGGCGTGGGAAACATGGCGACAGTGAACATGACATCAGGAATGATAGGTGGACCACCAGGCGAGGGATTGGCTGGTGCTAATCGTGGACGATTCGTGGAGCGCACGACGAGAATTTGCCCTTGCAAAGGTAAGAATCGGAGGTTACAAATAGGTTGCTCCTTTGAGAAATTTAGAGCAATCTTCACAGCAAGAAAAATGATTGTACCTGTTGTGAAAGCGTGACTTCGCGCGCGCATTTAAAAGTAGATATAGCACCATCAGACGTTAGTTCCTTCACCACAATGGTTTCGGGCATCTTGGCAACTACCATGTTCGGAACGCCATCGAGTTCACCAAGATCAATATTTCGAAGCTCTGAGTCGCTGCGAAAGTGTCCAAGAAGGCGAAATGGTGGGGGTTGTGATGCAGCAAAGTCGAAAAACTCTTGGGAACCAGGTACGAGGACAGGATTTCCTAACGCATCTAATGCATCCAGGGAGATCTGCAAACACGTCGCGACATACTCCAGCGGCATTGGAGCATCTATTTGACACCGTGGGTTGTTCAAGTACGGATTGTATATGGAGGGATCGATACTGAGCTGACAGTCAGTGTTGGAAGGTACACTCGGAGACAATTAACTTTCACCTATTAGTACTTTGATGACTTTTCAACGTCTTTCGACGAATATACCCGATGAGAATGCTTGGCGTGCCTTCCACATTCATGTACTTGGCACATATATTGTACGCTTTCCCTCGCACGGGTGTTTCCGCCAGAGGAACAATGCCACAGATACGATGATCAAGAACATATACAACCAAACTGTAGTGAGTTTTGGCAAGATTGCATGCAGATGCGACAAGATATTTTCCACCAGGAAGTACGACCATCGACAATATATGCCTATGTGCCTGTACAGGGAGGTAAGCGGTGGCAAGCGGATTTGGCAGGATCCAGTTCTTGTGGACTGTAATCGCGCGAATGACTAATCGTTCGGCCTCAAACGAGGTCAAGAAATTAGGAGAATAATGCCGAGAAGGTGGTAACGCAGGCACATTGGGTCCAATCCTTCGCAGAAACCGTTTCCATATTATACCATGGTGCGTAAGGTTGTAGAACAGCTTGTTGACCTAAAACGAGGAGCTTAGTAGCAGCAGTTAGATGCAAGGTAGACATTACCATTCGTAGGCACAGGATATCTTCCACCATCAGGTAGTCGAATATATGATCGACCAATATGTCATCAGAAAGCATGCTCAAACTTGGAAGACCATTAAAATCTTGGTGGACTCGCACACCCCATGTTCCCGTTCCTAATCTGTTTCGTTCATTGGTGCCAGAGTAAGAGCAAGAAAAGGCTGGAGAGATGAGGCGAGAAATCAGAGAGAACCGACTATACATGATTGGGAAAAGAAACAGAACGTCTTGAGGTGCCACGAGTGATATTTACTAGTCTATTAGTCTTGTTTTCATGCTCGCGAGACTTTCAACGGAGATGTTGGCTGTTGTATTGATAAGTACAGCCATGGCGACGGCTTAATCGAAAATACAAGGCTAGATTGCAGCTGCAGAAAGTGCAGACGAAGAGGTCGCGGTGAAAATTACGCGAACTACAACGCTTTCCTAAAATGGTTTGTTTACAGTGGCACGTCGCGTGACCAAACGACAACTTGACCTCTGAATCGTATCTTCATGTTGTTACTACCTCTTGGTATTGTCCAATGGAGCCTTCATTAAAAATGACGCCTACACGCAACGCGCCACCGCAAGCTATAAGGCGCACTGGCAGGAGAGGAATACGAAACCAAATGATAAACGAGTTTCACTCATGGTTGAAACTTATTAACCTCGCAGTGGCACCAATGATTGTGACCGGAAATCTTACCTGCTCGACGTTTGGCCGCACTTCGAAAGTCTATACCAATGTGCTTGGTGTACATTGCAAATTTCAAAGAATACCTTCATGTCCTCAGGTACCACTTTTAACCCACCGAGTCCACAAATTTTATAGCCACTTATGTCCTGCGCGTGCTGTCGCTCCATCCGATCAAAACTCCTGGACTCAGGCCGCACCAGGATATGCTGATGTCGTTTTTGCGCTGTGGTAACGAGCCGCAGTAGTGCAAATCAATGCTAGAGACGACTGTTGAACGATGAACCCTTGTCCTCACCCTCTTTCCGTTCTTTGCAGTTGGTATTGTCTTGTTACTTTTTATACAAACACTAAAGAGCAGGTCACAATGTAACGGGAAGGACTCCAAGGGGAGGACAAGGCCATATCTCTATAACGGCAGGCTACGGCGCTGACATCGGACTACGACATGGGCGAGGACTACCGACTACGAGCCAGGAATTTGCCACCGCGCCAGGACACCTGCTACTCCACCCGAACCTGCCTAGGTCTGATGGGACGCCCCGCTCGCCCCAACAGTGGGGTGGCATTTGCAATCGACCAATGTTGCAAGACTTGTAACTTGTGTAGTTTCGAAAACAGGGAGATACAATTACGGTCAATTCTGTGTATTGGTTAGAGAAGTCGCGTTCTGCCAGAGCCTATGACAGGATGTTGTTGATCAGGAAACCGAACATCAGTGTGAGTATTCGGGAGGTGTAATGAGAACATTCTGATCCATGTCGTTCCGCGGTCGAGCCCTCTCGAATCGGATGCTGGTGAACCGTCTCTAAAATCATGCGTTTACAAGGGATACAAATAGGTGTACCATCAAGTTTCGCGTCGTATATCACACCTCGCATAGGTTCGTTCCGTTGTCGACCAGTTCGCCGAGTGGGTTACTTCTCCCGAAGTACCGACATGACTCATCGAGACCTGATGGATCTCATCACTCATGCGAATTGGCCTTGGATCTACGATTATTCATGTATTTGCGGAGACAGAAACATAGGTTGTGCTGCTGCGATCGGATTATTAGCCTAAGGATGGCACAAACATCCACAGCGCGTCCACAACCCACTTCTCGTCTTTGCTTTGCGGACTTACAACAAGAATGAACAACTCAAGCGTGCATGCAAAGCTGAGCACATCGCGCCAAAGGACCATCGTCCTCTTTAGTAAATAATGGTGGTCCACAGGACATCTTCCTTCAAAGGAAGGTCCCTGCAGCGGAAACACACCTCGAGAACCACTTCAAAGCGGCGGCGCTGGACGAGCGTATAAATATTGCTTCTGTGGCCTTCATCCTCTATCCCCAACTCACTGCACTTACTGCCACTGCGAACACGCGCACATCCCCTTAACATTGAAATCAACTATCTGCTCGTCCAGGTACGTGTATCTCCAGCTTCAACACCTACATGTTTAATCAAGTCTACTTATTTCTAGATGAACCAATCCGCCACCCATGCTTCTTCATCGAACGGTTCCAATTACTCCAATGGAGCCCAATACATGCCGAACACCGGCATGTATATGGGTCAATTTCACTGGCCCCAGCCCGCATGCATTCTTCATTCAGGCTATGCCCCTGCACACCCCCACAACCCGTACGGTGTGCCAGTTAATGGGACGCATGGCTCATACGCGCCCGTCACGCGTTCGCCTGGTGTGGGTGCAAGAGTTTCGCATCACGCGTTCCAACCGGGACAGAATGGTTGTCACCCCCCTGCAGTAGCCAATGTCTCGTGTGCCACTCATGTTGGTCCATACCCACAACACCCATCTGCGCCCTTCCTGCACCATCAACCCTTCCCTTCTACTTCTCTTCCAGGAGTCGCGAACCCCTACATTCCACCCATACCGCACCGAGGATGCCACCACCGGCATCACGGGACTGGGATCGCAGCAGGATCTGCTTCCTCGTCTCTCCCTCGAGTACCGAAGCGCACCGCGGAAGACCTAGACCGCGTCATCAAACGAAGAAAAGTAGTCCCCGGCGGGATGAAGAACGACCCGTTGTTTGTGAGTTTTCTTTTCACCTCGTGATGTCGCATTCTCAAACCTTGGTACAGAAACCCGTGTTGGATCAATTTGGTCAACCCAACGGGACATTCACGTGTTCTAGGGACGGCATGGTACTCAACCCTGAAAGCTATCTCAGGCACATCAGGACACAAAAGCATCTAGGCTTCAAGCTAGAGAAATTCAAATGTTCCGATTGTTCCAAAACGTGTGTATCCAAACTCTCAAAACCAGCGTGCCTCGTCATTAATATTGTTGTGATTAGGTATACGAGAAATGATGCGTACAAGAGACACCTCGTCAATGGCAAGTGCGGACGGTCGACAGCTGCAGACGCTCCTCCGTCGTACTCGGCTAGTCAGAACTCGACGAGTTCCGCTTCTGCCACGCCTGCGACAGCAGCACCTACCATGGCGCCGACTCATTCCTATCCATATCCCATGTTCTCCACGTCGATGTCCCAGAACGCTGCAGATCGCACCCCCAGCAACTGATGTTGCGCAGTCGTGTGGAATGCCTGGTTCTGCGAATCCTGTACGTTTCTCCCAATTGCTTGGGAATGACGTGGTCACAGAACCTGCCGAAGAAGTTGACGACGACGCTGATTTTTGGGAGGCCAATGAGATCGAAGACGTTCATGAGACGTAGTTATATTTCACTTCTGTGACCGACTATTCTGTTTTTTATCATCTACTGTCATTCATTCATGTATTGTCTTTTTACCCACTACACACATTCTTTCTATTCTCAATAGTATAGCACACTTTCATTCATTTGCGCTATTAGGATCGTTATTATCGTTATCGTTATTGTTATCATCATCGTGATTTAGTGATTTGTTGGTTATAATACACACGTACTCATAAGAAATGAGCAACACAACGGTAAGGCTGAATGAGTCATCAAAGCATTGCACAGATATACAGATTAGGAGATAAGCGGTGCAAAAACAGGTGATGAGCTAACTTCCGATGTGCACTACGTCAAACTATGTAACTACTCAGCAACAGTAACAAGTGCAACTGGCCACGTCACAAAGCCAATCGAAATAATATTTTTGATTGGGTTCGTCCTCATCTGGCAGTGAAGTATGGACCGTAGCATCCCGCTCCAAAAAACCACCTGGGTCCCATCGGACGAGTCTATCGACAGTATACAGACGAAGATAGCACCGCATCATACTGAAGTAGGCCTTGGCCTTCGGCGAATTCACTGTGCGATACACGGGCCTAAGGACGAAGTTAGTACATTATAATTGCCGATGACGCGATGACAATTACGCCAACTGAACAAAAATGCAGATTGTGCAGAAGCTCATCCCGGAACTCGTATGTTGCACTTGCTTGCCCATAGATCGTTGACCTTTCCCGAATTCGACAACCTGGAGGCCTGCGAAGAAACCGTTCGTGAAGGCTCGGTATGTAGTCCGACTCAAGGGCTCCCTCACTGTCGATGAGGTTTATTGTTGCTTCTGACGCTTTCTTCGTCCAGAGCCAACCCCGTAGTCGAGTCCAGCAGACTATTTGGAAATTTTTGAAAGGCATTACCAAGAAAATCTCTGTAAGTAGACAGCTAGATTTCCTGATGCTGAAAACATGGCTGACATCGTGCAGAAACTTTTCAAGCGTTCCCGCAACCGCGTTCCTGCGGTCCAGAATGTTGACCTTCAAGGTTCTTCATCCAATCAGAATGTCGAGGTATGTACTCGAAAATGAAATCCCAATCGAGTTTTCTTATCAGAGGCGCCCAGGCCACACCACACCCGCATCCTTCCACCGACGACAAGCATCCTGCCTCATCCGAAATTCCGAGTATCTGCATCAACCAAGGGTCATCCGGAGAACCTGCTTCAGAGGTACTTGCACCACGTTATCTGATTTTCGTCTCTAATTTTTGTTGGTCGTGTCAAGGTTCCCGCCGCCCCTCCTGGCGCAGAGAATATCTCTCGTCCCAAATCAACTGATGCTGAACTTCAGGGTGCCCACGAGGCTTTAGAACACATGAGAACACTCCGGGGACCTGTGCAGTCTGTGACATCCGCCGCCAGCAATGCCTCAGCAGATCTCACTACTGCAGGAGATTTCAGCACCACATACCTCCAACCCCTGAAAATTTTCGACACTGCCATTGAGAAGATCGCAAATGTATGGGTTTCTTTCCTTAGTTGGTAGCGGACTAATCGAGTTATAGGTGCATCCATATGCAAAGATGTCGTTGGGCGTACTTTCTGCCGCAGCCAAAGTACGTTCTATGTTGCTCGGAGATTTACATCCGCTCAGAAGATATGGTTCCTTGCAGATTATTCTTGCCCAAGCGGAGCGCGACAAATCAGTACATCGCCTTTGCCAGAAATTGGATCAAGTTTATGGCTTCATTATCCAAGACGATAATCTTTTTAAGGTTGACTCGATGCGCGATGTCATCGGAAAGATCGCTCAGCAGACTCTCGAGTGTGCCCGTTTCATCAGGGAATACTCAGAGACGAAGAGTTTCTGTGAGTTGTCAAGCTATTGCATTCGCACATAAATTCTATACTTACTATGATCATAGGGAAGAGAGTCGGTAAAAACATCATCGCAGAAACGGATGATATCATCACACGGTACAACGGTGCCTTGGATGGCCTTATGGAACAATTCAGAAATCAAGCTGATCGGGACGTAGCCATCTTTGTTCAGTTTGCAGGTAAGGATTCATAAGTGCCTCTTATTTGAGATGTCCTCATACCCTTTAGGCGAAACACTGGATCTCAGCGGCATGACTTATGCAGGGGGCGCAGGACTGGATACCGAGAAGCAATGTCTGCCAGGCACTCGCATGGACATCCTCTCCCAAATCACCAAGTGGATCAACAGCAGTGGAGATTCTGTTCCGCGTGTAATGTGGCTATCCGGCCCTGCAGGCAAGGGCAAATCATCCATCGCCCACACGATTGCCAACTGGTTCGACGAAACGGGGGGGCTTGGTTCATGTTTTTGTTTTGATCGGCGTAGAGAAGCAGACCGTCGACATGAAAAGATTTTCTCCACCATCGCGCGTGACCTTGCTGATCGTGATCCAGGGATGAAACGAGCGTTGGCAGATGCAGTCAAGAATGCTAACTCGCTCAAGAATACGACGGACATCATCCAACAGTGGCGCAAACTTCTCATGGAACCGCTAAAGAAGTTATCTGCGTCAAGTGTAGGGCCCGTCTTGATCGTTCTTGAAGCACTGGATGAGAGTGGTGGAGTGGAGACGCGGCGTAACCTCCTCCGCATCCTTGCCGGTAGACTTCAGGACAAAGGACTCCCCCAAATCACCGAACTCCCTTCCAACTTTCGGATTCTCGTCACCTCTCGTCCGCTTCACGATATAGAACAGGAGTTTGAAGGTGCTCATCATATTTTACGGTTGTCTATGGACGATATTCCGTCGGAAGTTGCGGAGCGCGACATTCACACGTTCGTATCTGAGGAGCTGAAGGGCCTATCGGATTTTCACGACAGAGAATTACAAAACCTCGCTAAGAAAGCTGAAGGACTTTTCGAGTGGGCGCGTCTCGCGTGCGAATACATTAAAAACACCCCTCCGGGTGTACGCCCAATGCCTCGCTTCAATGCTCTTGTGAACCGCAGTGCCGGAAAACAGAAAAACCTATTGCACGATATGTATCTGGTCATTTTGAAAGAAATTATGAAAAGAGATCAATATGATGACGACGAGTACGAAGAAGCACTCGCAGGGTTTCGTTCGGTGATGGGACAGATACTTGGCACAGCTGAACCACTCCCTTTCAATTCTCTCAGTATAATGCGAAACTACTTTCCAGACCAAACCAAGCATGACAACATGGACATTATTAAACGTATGGGGTCCCTCCTCAGCGGCACTACTAACTTATGCACTCCTGTCCGACCTCTTCACGCATCTTTCCATGACTTCCTGACAGACAAGTCATCCAGCGGAGACTTTTCCGTCGAGGTGTCCAGCGTCCAACGCGACCTTGCATTTGCATCACTACGAGTGATGGAACATGACCTTCGCTTCAATATCTGTGATTTGAAGTCGTCGTACCTCCCTAATTCCCAAGACACGGGGTTGCCTCAACGAATCAAAACATCTATTTCCCCACATCTCTCCTATTCCTGTCGATTTTGGGCTGCGCATGTCCGAACAACGGACTTTGACGATGAGCTCGCAAGGGAAATAAGATCACTCTTCGACGATGAACGACTGATGTTCTGGATTGAAGCACTTGGACTTCTCAATGCATTCAGAGGTGCAGCTACCGTACTTCCACTCATTGCCAAGTGGCTGAAGGTGAGCACATACCTGCAATGCGATGCAGGATGAACAGCTTATAGATAAATACAGGGCCACTCTGGATATGAAGATTTGCGGTCCTCCACGATGGATGTACAAAGATTCATCCAAGTGTTTGGTGGCACGATTTTGCACAGCACGCCGCATCTGTATCTATCAGCGCTCCCATTCTCGCCCGTCAACTCCACCATGAGTACCAAATTTACGACAAAGTTTCCAAATAACCTTCGTCTCGCATCCGGCCGCGATTTGAACTGGACAGTTGTTCAGGCCATAATTAATGGGCACACCGACCAAGTCACCTCAGTGTTGTTCTCACCGGATGGTACTCGCATCGCATCTGGTTCTTTGGATAACACTGTGCGGCTGTGGGATGCAGCAACGGGTCAGCCATTGGGTGAGCCCTTGAAGGGGCATACTAGAGGAGTTTGGTCAGTCTCGTTCTCACCGGATGGTACTCGCATCGCGTCTGGTTCGGAGGATAACACTGTGCGGCTGTGGGATGTAGAGACCGGACGGCCATTGGGTGAGCCCTTGCAGGGGCACACTGGAGGAGTTTCGTCAGTCTCGTTCTCACCGGATGGTACTCGCATCGCGTCTGGTTCGGAGGATAACACTGTGCGGCTGTGGGATGCAGAGACTGGACGGCCATTGGGTGAGCTTTTGGAGGGGCACACTGGAGGAGTTTGGTCAGTCTCGTTCTCACCAGATGGTACTCGCATCGCGTCTGGTTCTTGGGATAACACTGTGAGGCTGTGGAATGCAGAGACCGGACAGCTATTGGGTGAGCCCTTGGAGGGGCACACTGAAGGAGTTTTGTCAGTCTCGTTCTCACCGGATGGTACTCGCATCGCGTCTGGTTCGGAGGATAACACTGTGAGGCTGTGGGATGCAGAGACCGGACGGCCATTGGGTGAGCTTTTGGAGGGGCACACTGCAGGAGTTTGGTCAGTCTCGTTCTCACCAGATGGTACTCGCATCGCGTCTGGTTCTTTGGATAACACTGTGCGGCTGTGGGATGCAGAGACCGGACAGCCATTGGGTGAGCCCTTGCAGGGGCATACTCGAGGAGTTTCGTCAGTCTCGTTCTCACCGGATGGTACTCGCATCGCGTCTGGTTCGGAGGATAACACTGTGAGGCTGTGGGATGCAGAGACCGGACGGCCATTGGGTGAGCCCTTGAAGGGGCATACTGGAGGAGTTTGGTCAGTCTCGTTCTCACCGGATGGTACTCGCATCGCGTCTGGTTCTATGGGTAACACTGTGAGGCTGTGGGATGCAGAGACCGGACGGCCATTGGGTGAGCCCTTGAAGGGGCATACTAGAGGAGTTTGGTCAGTCTCGTTCTCACCGGATGGTACTCGCATCGCGTCTGGTTCTTGGGATAACACTGTGAGGCTGTGGAATGCAGAGACCGGACGGCCATTTGGTGAGCCCTTGGAGGGGCACACTAAAGGAGTTTTGTCAGTCTCGTTCTCACCGGATGGTACTCGCATCGCGTCTGGTTCTTGGGATAACACTGTGAGGCTGTGGAATGCAGAGACCGGACGGCCATTTGGTGAGCCCTTGGAGGGGCACACTAAAGGAGTTTTGTCAGTCTCGTTCTCACCGGATGGTACTCGCATCGCGTCTGGTTCTTGGGACAACACTGTGAGGCTGTGGGATGCAGAGACCGGACGGCCATTGGGTGAGCCCTTGGAGGGGCACACTGAAGGAGTTTTGTCAGTCTCGTTCTCACCGGATGGTACTCGCATCGCGTCTGGTTCGGAGGATAACACTGTGCGGCTGTGGGATGTAGAGACCGGACGGCCATTGGGTGAGCCCTTGCAGGGGCACACTGGAGGAGTTTCGTCAGTCTCGTTCTCACCGGATGGTACTCGCATCGCGTCTGGTTCGGAGGATAACACTGTGAGGCTGTGGGATGCAGAGACCGGACGGCCATTGGGTGAGCCCTTGGAGGGGCACACTGAAGGAGTTTTGTCAGTCTCGTTCTCACCGGATGGTACTCGCATCGCGTCTGGTTCGGAGGATATGACTTTGCGGATGTGGAGTGCAGTGAGAACTCAGCCATCCGCCAAGCCCAGAGAGCCAGCTTCCTCCACATCTTCCCTGCATCGAAGTACCACACGTCTCACCCAAGAAAGCCGTATCATGCTGATCAACACTTGTAACGATCACCTCATTTGTTTCTCGTCCAACCTGGAACACGCCCTGTCCAACCTCGCGGACTTGCTCGAACCCACCTCCCATAATTCTAATTCAACCCCTTTCTTGCTGCGGACTGATGGATGGATCATGGGACCCGGTCATCAGCTCCTTTTCTGGGTACCTCCCGCTTCCCGACATGCATTTTATACTCCTTGGACCTCGTTGGTGATACCCAGAGGATACCCAGAACTTGATTTGAGCCGCATGGCACATGGAACACGCTGGTCGAGTTGCCGGGATGTGTGAGTTTTTAATCTTTACCATTCGTCCTTTCAGTTGCTAACATCAATTTTGTTAGCTCCATGTAACAATGCTTTTATTGTTGAAATATCGAGTGTATCATTTGATTCTTTGTCAATTTTATACCTAGCACCGACCCTGAATAACTGTTATCCGACTGAACGATTTGCCGAAAAGCAGGCTAGGTGAGATTCAATTGTTGCCGCTGATTTATGAGAGCACATAAAGACAGTACCAATTCCTCTGAGACGTGGTTGCACCCCAAAAACTTTGGTGTTCCTGTTTTGAGATGCTCATCCGACCATCAAATGCCTGTATGATTGCTTTCAGACTCGAAGTTCTCAAGGCAACTGCAGTCTTTCAATCGAAGTATATGTAATTCGGTGGTGCGACCTCGGGCATCAAGATGTGCAGCCAGACCGACTCATTTCTGAAATCTGGCAAGATCGTCAGCAGTGATGTTCAGCGTGCCTATTGTTGTATGTTGATAGCGTGCAGACCGAGGTATGCTTCCGCGATGGTACTTTACTCATACCGCCAGGCTGGCACGAAAGCTACTACTATTGGTGGTCCTATACATACTCTAGTGTCTACAGCAGTCCTACGTATTTCCCCCGCGTTCCCATTCATCGCAAGTATTTACTATCCAGGCTCCAGAACCTTTCAACCTTCATGACACGCCCTCTATAGCTAGCCTTCGCCGAAGGGACTGAGTGAATTGCGGGTCTGCTCCCTCTTAAATAGATTAGCTCGTGTTGTACCGCCTTATGGAGGCTCGTGCCTATTGCATATTCGGATCTTCACTTAAATCTTGAACAACCCCTCGAGATTTGATGGCGGAAATGTGTCGACGTTTCTGATATTAATCAATACGGATGACCTTGTCAGGTTCGTCTTTAGAAGGGACTGGCCATGGGTGATGACACAATTCGGTTTATCTCACCTGATCGTTCGTTTTTAGTTTAGACCTTCCAGCTAGCATGCAAGAACTGTGTATATTATAACCAACGAATGATCAGGTCACCATAATGATGATAATGATAATGATAACGATAATAGCGATTCTAATAGTGCAAATGAATGCAAAGTGTGCTATACCATGAGAATAGAAAGAATGTGTGTAGTGGTAGAAAGGCCATACATGAATGAATGACAGCAGATGATAAAACAAGGAAAATAGTCAGTAACAGAAGTGAAATATAACTACATCTCATGAACGTCCTTGATCTCATTGGCCTCCCAAAAATGAGCGTCGTCGCCAACTTCTTCAGCAGGTTCTGTGACCATGTCATTCCATGGTAATTGGGAGAAAAGTACAGGATTCGCAGAGCCAGGGATTCCACACGATTGCGCAACACCAGCTGCTGGGGATGCAATCTGCACGTTCTGGGACATCGACGTGGAGAGCATGGGATGCGCATAGGAATGAGTCAACGCCATGGTAGGTGCTGCTGTCGCAGGCGTGGCAGAAGCGGAACTCGTCGAGTTCTGACTAGCCGAGTACGACGGAGGAGTGTATACAGCTGTCGACCGTCCGCACTTGCTATTGACGAGGTGTCTCTTGTACGCATCGTTTCTCGTATACCTAATCACAGCAATATTAATGACGAGGCACGCTGGTTTTGAGAGATTGGATACGCACGTTTTGGAACAATCGGAGCATTTGAATTTCTCTAGTTTGAAGCCTAGGTGTTTTTGCGTCCTGATATGCCTGAGATAGCTTTCAGAATTGAGTACCATGCCGTCCCTAGAACACGTGAATGTCCCGTTGGGTTGACCAAATTGATCTAGCACGGGTTTCTGTACCAAGGTTTGAGAATGCGACCTCACGAAGTGAAAAGAAAACCCACAAACAACGGGTCGTTCTTCATCCCGCCGGGGACTACTTTTCTTCGTTTGATGACGCGGTCTAGGTCTTCCGCAGTGCGCTTTGGTACTTGAGGGAGAGATGAGGAAGCAGGTCCTGCTGCAATCCCAGGCTCGTGATGCTGGTGGTGGCATCCTTGGTGCGGTATGGGTAGAACGTAGGGGTTCGTGACTCCTGGAAGAGAAATAGAGGGCAAGAGTTGATAGTACAGGAGGGGCGCAGATGGGTGTTGTGGGGGAGGAGCAACAGTAGTTAGCGGTGGGTATGGACCAACATGAGTGGCACACGAGACATTGGCTACTGCAGGGGGGTGACAACCATTTTGTCTCGGTTGGAACGCGTGATGCGAAACTCTTGCACCCACACCAGGCAAACGCGTGATGGGTGCGTATGGGCCATGCGTCCCATTAGCTGGAACACCGTACGGGTTGTGGGGGTGTGCAGGGGCATAGCCTGAATGAAGAATGCATGCGGGCTGGGGCCAGTGAAATTGACCCATATACATGCCGGTGTTTGGCATGCATTGGGTTCCATTGGAATAATCGGAACCGTTCGATGAGGAGGCATGGGTGGCGGATTGGTTCATCTAGAAATAAGAAGTAGACTTGATTAAAAATGTAGGCGTTGAAGCTGGAGATACACGTACCTGGATGAGCAGATAGTTGATTTCAATGTTAAGGGGATGTGCGCGTGTTCGCAGTGGCAGTGAGTGCAGTGAGTTAGGGATGGAGGATGAAGGCCACAGAAGGCAATATTTATACGCTCGTCCAGCGCCGCCGCTTTGAAGTTGTCCTCGAGATGTGTTTCCACTGCAGGGACCTTCCTTTGAGGGAAGATGTCCTGTGGACCACCATTATTTACTAAAGAGGACGATGGTCTTTTGGAGCGATGTGTTCAGCTTTGCATGCACGCTTGAGTTGTTCATTCTTGTTGTAAGTCTGCAAAGCAAAGACGAGAAGTGGGTTGTGGATGGGTTGTGGATGTTTGTGCCCTCCTTATGCTAACAATCCGATCGCAGCAGCACAACATATGTTTCTGGCTCTGCAAATAGATGAATAATCGTAGATCCAAGGCCAATTTCGCATGAGTGATGAGATCCATTAGGTCTCCATAAGTCATGTGGATCCTTTGGGAGAAACAGTCTCGGTGAACTGGTCAGCAACAGTACCCAAGAACAAACCTATGCGAGGTGCGATAGGCGATGAAAACTCGATGTACACGTCCTGTATCACCTTCTAAACACGTTATTTTAGAAATGGCTCACCAGCATCCGACTCAAGGAGACTCGAGCGTCACGGGCAAGAATATTATCATTGCATTTCCTTGTGAGTACTCACACTTTGAATTGATTTCCTTTAATACACTGCAACATCCCGTCGTATATTCTGGCCCGACATGACGCCTCCGACTATTGAGAATTGACATTTGTTGTCCTTTTTCCAAAACTACGCAATCAAGTTGAAGGAAATGCCATTCCGCAATATTGGTCGTTTAACGCAAGGACGTGCCTTTGCCACCCTACTGATAGACTTTTAGTGTCCGTATACGCAGATATGAAGAGTAATGAGATGATACCAATTGCAAGAAATAACTTTCCGGCCCGGATGGACGGGTGATATGATGAGCGCCTAGAGGGCCAAAATTTGCTTACTAGTGCCATCGACTCCAGGAAACACCGTCGAACCGTTGTACAGGGCATCATTTTACACTGCTTCGGCTCGTAAACTCAACGCAAAAGCAACATCTGCATATCCTGGGCCTGCCTGAGTCCGCATGTCTGGATAGGATGGAGTCACAACATGAGCAGGATTGGTAGAAAGGCACATCTGAGGACACGGCGTTATGTTTGATATCTGCGATGTACGAGCAGCGCATTGTCGTAGAGTCTCGAAGTACGGCCAAGCATCGACCAGGCCATGTTTCCGGTCTCGGAGGCTCCATCATTCGCGGTCCAAAGGCCTTCTATACTGATGAGTTTCAGCCATGGGTGAAGATCAATTATCATTCGGTTGTCTGATTGTCATATGACCTTCCTATTCTACAGTGCGACTTACAGCTTGCGGTGGGCGGTGCGTGTCAAAATGCGTCATTCTGATGATACTGTGACTCTGAACTCTGAGGCCATACTTGATATTGGATTCGGATATGACGACAGATGTGTAGACGCTCATTCGAATAAATTTTGAATGGTGATGTGGCTACAGATTTCGTGTGTGTGCAGTGTGCGTGGGGGGTGAAAGGAAAACTGGCTTCAAGTTAGTAGCCGCTGATTGTATTAGCATCCGAATCCCGATAGGCGCTCGGCTCTTGTTCCGAAGTATTGTTCAATTTTTCATTGGCACTTCACGTTTACACGCTACTTGGCTATATATACAAAAATGCAACCCAAGGCGAAGCTGGTTGAATCTAGTGAGCTTTCAGACGAGTTCAAGCCAGCTTTTCGTCATTTCAGAGCAAGGCCGTGACCTCCAATTTTCAACTCATGGATTATGGTCTACCGTGGACTCTCCTCGAAGACGAGTCTCGGTGGACGCCGCTCAGAGGTCACCACTATAAGATTATATGCTGTGGCATGGGGAGTTGAAAGGGACATGCTGTTGCTTGCTATACCTACACAGGAAGATATAAACATTAAGAGGTGGAAGGCGCCCATGATCGCTCTCAAACTTCATCCCTGCTAGCATCCTGGTAAGAACACAACCCATGTGAGCATCACGCACGGATGAACTGACTATTAATTTGGGCAGGATAGGGAAATTGAGGGAATTCGGGACTTGCATGGGCCTACCGCTCTCTGCACATCATGGCCTTCCGAGTCCAGTTTTCTCTGAGCCATCAATTTGGCAGAATTTATCGGCGCCCTGGTGAAGATCAGGCATAGAAACAGCGGGGTACTTATGGGTTTGCACTGCCCCAAGTTGGGAGCGGTGAGGGGATTGTGAGAATATTTCTTGACCAGCTGGACAGCACGTTGCTAGCGGTTGGGTGGTTCGAACTCGTGGTTAGTCTATTCCAAATAAGACTCTCGGAAGCTGGCGACGAGTCAGGTATATCCAGGCACAGAAATTGGTTCCTCCGGGGTTACATATGGTTGATGCTGTCCATTGCAGGTGACGAAAGTGTTTTGTTTTACAGCAAAATCAGTGCGAGGATATCTAAGACATTGTCCCAGTTACAATCACAAAGGCGGTTGGCTGTGTTTCTCCTCGTAGACTGGCTCCAAACCTGTCCACCGGGTATCTCAATTTCACTGCTATTTAAACGTGCACATTGTCCTAGCGTGATTTACGATATGTAAGCACACGGGCGGGCGGCGGCATTTCCCGCAGCCCGGTGTCGATGGTGTTCGCCCTCATCAAGCTTTCAACCATTTCTGAGTTGTTCTTGCTTTTTACCTTCATCGATTCATCATTCACCTCCGCAACCACTAGTACTAGTGGACACGCCAGCCTAGCGCTCTAGAGGAGGAGGAAACTTGATGCCTGTCTGTTGTGTTTATATTCTCTACATGCCTACCTGACGTGTACTTTAGGACCCCGAACACTTGAGACCCCCGCTCTAGCTCACTAGCTCCTGAGTCCTGACTTTAATGCTATGCTCCCACTGGCCAAACCCTGCACCACGCACCTACTACACTGGCTACAACCTATAATTTTTATGGCCTAATCTGTACGAAATCCATCTAGTACAGCAAAAATTATTGGAAACCATGGCTACATTGCCTGGTAAATGGTACCACGTCCACAGCTTCCGCCGAGAACAGCATTATATCTCATGCATGCTCGCAACTCGTTTCTGCAGTCACTGACAAGATATTGCGTTAGGACTCAGACTCCTCCGCGTTGCCATCAGCCTATACGTACTATCGTGGCAGCGTCTAAAAGACCAACCTCCTGCCCCCATTATTCCTGCCTCTTCAGATTACCACTACCCGTACTGCAACACCTTATCACTATGCACGAAACACTCTAGTGCTGGAATAGATCCTGCTTCCTGCACTTCTCCCCCGGCCGGACTTCGTACAGAAGTTCTTGAAACCGGAGGTTCAGTAGCAACTTGAATAGCATTAGCGTCCATTGGTCGTGCTGTGTCCTTGCGCGTTGACATCTGCCGGCGTGCCACAGCGGGCAGTGTTCGTGAGTTCGCGACCCTTGAACCTGATCGCTGTGTGACATGCATGGCGGCTCTAGTACGGTAACTTAGTGTTATATTTTTAGTGCTTGGAGCTCCATCAATACTAACTCGAGGTTTTATACTAAGCGTGGCGGTATTCATATTGTCTGCGGCATTCGACTCAAATAACGCTATTCTGAAGATGGGCTAACTGCTATGCACGTTAACGTGCTATAAAGAGCTACTGGATAACGGTGAAGCTAAAGACCTGATCTCTACAAATCCAACAGCTCCAACCATGGTCAATACTACTACCGCAGCGGGACTTATCGGTGTTGTTCTTTTGGCCCGCCACGGAGACAGGACGGCATACTACCAAGACCCAACGACATATAACTCTACCCAAGCATACATCACTCCTCTTGGAGAGGTGGGAGCTCTGAGCCATAATACTGAGTCTCGCTCACGAAGATTTAGCAACAAGAATTTGAACTGGGAAATTTCCTTCGTAATACATATCTCAACCCCGATTCGCCGTCCTTTATTCAGAATATCAGCACTGACGTCGCAAATATCGATCAGCTGACAGTCCGCGCAGATGCTGGTGGAGGAAATGTTATTCTGAACTCCGCGTATGCTCTGCTTCAGGGTCTTTACCCATCCACACAAAATTCAGCGATAGCTTTGGCGAATGGTACAACGGTTCCTCCCTCCTCTTGGAGGATATCAATATGTTCCAGGCAAGTCAGACACAGCTCTCGCTAGTCCTTCAACTAATGGGCTGCAGTGCAATCTTTGGAGTATTGGCAGAGTCCGTCTCTCACGAGCTGGATGGATTGCGAGGTATGAAATCTATCGCATCTTCGGGAGGTCACTTCATAACGCTCGGGAACCTAGTATTTCCAAGATCATTTAACTCGACTTTATGCTTCGTCTGCATTTATAAACATGTCTACTACTGCTGCACCCTTCCTGACTGCATTGAAACCTTACTTGGGGGGCGTTAGTAACAACTTCACGAACATGGTATGTCACCTGATTGCATTTGTGAAAGCTTTTCTGACAAAATTGTGCAGTGGAATGTAAGGGTTCATTTGAATACTGTCAGACTGAGCTCATATCGTCTCGCAGATATACGACCATGTCAATGTCCAATACACCTACAACCGGACCTATTATGAGACCCTACCTCCCACCTTCCTCCAGCAAGCTCGCTATTATGCTGATTGGGTCCAGCGCAATGTCTTCACCGATTCTGAACCAAGTAGCATCGGACAAGGCAAATCTGGATTTAATTACAAAAATGCATTCCGCTAACTTTGCTGTAGTTGCTATTCGCACACTCCTCCCGGAGATCTTCTGGGCCTTGGGCAACATGACAAAGACTTCTAACAAAGTCAAGATGAATATTCAAGAAGTCGATTACAAACCATTTATCAGTCTGTTTAACGTCACCAACGCTACCGTGACTGACCCTGATATTGGTGGTATCCGTCAGTGTTAACAGTGAATGAGTTCAGCACTGCAGACTGACACCCATTCACAGCCAACTATGCTTCTGTCATTGCACTCGAGTTGTCGCAGGACTCGCAGGGTCAGTACGAGGTCAGCATGAAGTTCAAGAACGGTACAGAGGACAGCCAATTCCGTCAACTTCAGATGTTCGGCAACACGAGCATCACGTTTGACAGTTTTGTTGAAGAACTTTTTGTGAGCTTCTTTTTACAGAACGTATGATTTCTTGCTCACAGATTCATTCAGGGCACTACGATCAATTCTACTAACAACTGGTGCTTCTCCTGCAATCAGACTGTCCAGCGCGGATGTTCTGTCTTTAACTACAGTAACGACGCCTTCTTGTCTGGCTACGGTACTGGTTATAGGCGCTAGATCATTGGGTATCTTTAGATTTCTGTAAAATAATACCGTATAATTATTTCGAGTAATCGATCGTTCTCCGGAACTAGACTTCAGTGGAAGCGTATAAACTTCAAATAACGAGCAATGACGTCCCTTTCCTATAGGACCGTACTGCAGTTTCCCTTGCCCTCCCCCCTGAACTATCCTAACAACTCTCCATTGAAAAGGTCCAAAGTTTTCTTTGTATCCATAGTCTCATCACTTCGTGAAACTTAGGTAGCTAACGACTATCTGTCCAAGGGCCAACATGGCATCTAAACACTAAATCTGTTAGAAATACTATATGAAACTTTCAATTCCCTGCGAGTCTTCACTGATTCCGGGTCTTTGTGCGAGGGCAATATGTCAATATCATATCATTTCAAAATCCGCTCCTTCAATACATAACTTACTATGATTACACTGTTACACATGGCAAGCATCGTACAACGTCCCGGATCAATCGCTGACTTTGATTACAAGTTTTCCTGTAGTTTTCCCACTTGTCAGGTCAGTCTGTGCCTGTCTTACTCCCTCGGTAGTAAACGGATACTCCTTGAAGACTTGCGTCTTCAAGGTGCCGTTGGCGAGAAGGGAGAATAGGGCATTTCCGTAGTAGAGCACCTCTGCAGGGGTGTATGTGTAGTTGTTCATACTAGAATACCCAATCGTCAACATAAAATTGAATGATGCAGTGGTTAAACGCACGTAGGCCGGAGAAGCTTCACATTCTTTTTCTGGAGCCTGATGGGAGGGAATGGTGGAACGGGCCCCGAAGCATTACCCACTGAAACAATGGTGCCTTTCCGCCTAATCATTAGGAGGTCGGACTCGAACCTGCAGCAAATTTCAAGTCAAATCAAATAAGAGAAGCCACAGGTCCGATTTCTTACGTGTCTTTACCCACACCATCAAAAATTGCATGAACACCCTCCCCATTTGTAAGTTCCAGGACACGCGCAACCGTGTCCTCGTTCTTATACAATATCACATGGTCCACGCCGTTAGCTTTTACAAGGGCGGCCTTTTCTGGAGTCGAGGTCGTTCCTATCACAGTCGCTCCTCGCGACTTAGCCAGCTGGGTCATGAGCAGTCCAAGACCACCCGCCGCAGTATGAATGAGGATGATATCACCCTTTTGCACGTTGTATGCTTCTTCCATGAAGGAAATAGCCGTCAACCCTTGCACGAGGGCCGAGACGGCCGTCAACGTCGACACTGATTCAGGAATCACGTACACCGTTTTCCAAGGTGCAGAAACGTATTCTGCATGTGCTCCCAGATAATCCTGTAGGCTTGTGAGTCATTGCAAGGAAGTGAATAGATAGTACACCGTACGAATGCGACGCGGGAACCTTGTTTGTACCCGCACTTCTTGTAATCTGGGTTGTTCAAAACGGACTCGTCTGTAGGGAGTGCGACGATTACACCGCTGGCTTCCTTCCCGATCACGAATGGGAATCCAGGGACTGGGTATATTCCTTCTCTGTCGCACACTTAACGGCGCTCGATGGGATGCTTGGGCATTTGGACACTTGCCTGTAGTATGTGTCGATGAAATTGACACCGAAATATTGGGCCTACTCAGCGCAGCACAGTTAACACTCGCATAGGAACTTGGTAATGATTCTACCTTGATGACTAGATGATCTGAGGGTGGTTTGGGGAAAGGAATCGCGCGTTTCTCAATGACCTCGGGTCCCCCCGTCTTTGAGATTGTGATAGCTTGAACTGTTGATGGATAGGACATTCTTGGAGTTGCAGTAGAGAACTGGCGAGAAAGACTGGAAAGTCGGCGAGCTAAACTTATCATATACTGGAAGGATTAATAGATAAGAGTTACCCTCCAAGTTAGTCAGCGTCTTGCAATTGCGCCATGAGACACGTGGAAACGCGGAACACCGTCCACAAATCGAATTTGAGTGAAAGTTGGATGAAGAGAAGAAAACATGTCAACTATTAATTAACGCCGTGGGTATAGATTTAGGGCTGGACTCGACATCCGGCGGCATATACATTTACAGGTAAACTAATAAGCATGGACCAACGTAACCGACATCACCTTCAAGGCTTCATCTACTCTAACTTAGAGCTGCTACGTGCTTATACCGAACGAGTGCATGATCAAACAGCACCTCTCCCTTCAAAGGCTTGCTTTAAGATGTCATATATGAGATGAATTTGTTCATCCCTCTGGACCATCCCAGGCCTTTGCTCTCGTAAGCTATCAATCTCCTGTGCTATCAGGTCTTCCTGAAGCTCCTTTGGTAGGGTACCTAGCGGAGGGGCAGGAAAAGAGGACAGAGGCTGCGGGGAAGGCGTTAAGGTGTCCAGGGACGGGTTGCTACTCAAAAGATGGTATGCGCGTAACAGTGATGATATCGCAATGAATGATCCGGTCCGCCCTATGCCAGCGGAGCAGTTGACCATGATAGGAGGGTCTGGGTCCGGCTTCGGCTCCGGAGATGACACGAGTGCAGAAGTATCCCTGTTAACGCAATCCACCAAACGAACGAAAGCGAGAAGGGTGGCTTGGTCTTCATCCTCAGGAACTCCATGGTCCGGCCATGCAGCATACAGCAAATGGGTGAATACCACAGCATCTTGCGGATTTGTCGAGGTGACAGGAACGATGGAGACTTTGCTCTGCACGCAGCAGGCTTCGTTTATTCGCTTTCTCTCTATTAATGTCACCTTCAGTGCAGGCGCATCGCTTGTCGGATCTGGGTTCGACACCATTGACTGTCCAGGGGTGGAGGGGAAATAGATGTGAGCTTTCCGTCGTCCTCTCTCCATATTTGGTGTAAGCTGAACGATAGTCCGCACACGACTAGGAGAATGCATGTGGGGAGAATTGAGAGATGCTGGAGGAGTGGAAATTGGTTGCACGATGGCACTGAGGAACACATGCGCTGTGCGCGGAAGGGGTGCTTGGGTAGCGATCCATAACTTCCCGCCGTACAGTTCCCGCACCCAGCTTGCATTAAAATACCTTCCCTTGCTACCCTCAGCTCCGACGCTGCAGTGACTGCCCTTCAGATCGCCTACAACAACCCGGGTCCGATCATATGGGTGGATATTAGAATACCGATTAGCGACTACATTGTCTGGATGATGGGCTATCGTGATGGAGTAGTGTGCGACTGGATCTATCTTTCCCAGCGCAGAAGTCAACGCTTGTTGGCTGCGCGCAAGAAGCGACGTAGACTGTGGTTCTGTCGCGAGAGATCGAGTCCGCATGTGATCGCGAGCATATTCTCGTTCAGACAATGCGGAGCAAACAGTTTCGGAGATAAACCGAGAATCGTTTGCTAATGCTCTGGAAAGCCAAGCGGGTATCGATGATGATGTTGTAGTCATTGAAAAGGATGCTTGAAAGGTAACTTAGGCCTAAGGCGCCGGAACTGAGGGGATTTGATATCTTCCTGTGCGTGAGAATAATCTGCCAGTTTCATTCAAAGTTCTGTTGCGCATAACACAACAGTTTGCTCTTGGATCTTGAAGAGCCCATCGATGGATAACAGCTATGTATCGTTGATATCAACCAATACGCAGCATGTCAAGTTAGTGATTTTTGCAGAGCAACAATTCAGTCCTCACAGCTTTGACTACCAGAGTCAGTTCCACGCTGGAAAAATCCACGGGGAAGAAACACTTGACGGACAATAACCCAGAGACGTGCTGGACATCGCGACAGGTACAACAATGTTCCCTTGTTCGGAGACATCACTGACTTCGGAGATGGGCAGGGTCCTGGGCAGTATATCCATCTAATATTCGAAAAACCAGCAATACCCAAGCGTATCACAATCATTTTCCAGGGCGGATTTGTCGGAACCAAATGTAGAGTCGAGGTCTCAGAGTCATCTGATGATAGGCCCGAATGGCAGACATGGACATATATCCACCCAGAGGATGCAAACCGGCGTCAAACTTTCGACTTGATAACCCATAGTGACGGATTGCCAGGGAAGGGAATTCAGAGCATGAAACTCGTTTTCGAGGAAAGTTCTGATTTTTACGGTAGAATCACAATCTACGAGTTGAAGATTGATGGTCTTCTGCTTTGAAATCACGAAGAGCTGCTTGACCATAAATATTCCATCCTCAAGTTTGAGACAGGGGTTTTCCTGTTGGGCGTGTCGTAAGTCGCATTCCAGTTCACTCGGACCCATTTTCTGGCACAACGAACCCAACAGCTGTGACTGAAGCTCATATAATACATCGCAACTGCTGATCATGACCTGGTATACATTAGAAGTATATAATTGATCGATTACTCCTCCAAGTCTAATAGTGCCCCAATCGGACTGTGAATGGGGTGAAGTTTCGTCACCTCTTTCAAAAACACCGCAGTTCTCCAAACGTACACAAGGTCTGAATGAATGTGTGAGACCATGCTGCAAGGGAGCCTATCGCAGGACAGCTGAAGCACCGAAATTGTTAGTGATAGAGTATCATTACGTAATACACACCACGGTCCAGTCAAACAAACTGAAATTAGTTCAAATCAGGTTCAAATTGTATGGTAGACTCAGAAGTGCAATGAGAACATTCGAGTCTTCTCGAATCGGATGCTGCAGCTGGTGAGCAGTCTCATAAATTACGCGTTTACAAGTTGATATGAAAGGTGTACATCATTTTGCATCGTCCAATATTGCACCTCGCATAGGTTTGGCCTTTCTTGTTGACCAGGTCATCGAGTGTGCTGTTTCTCTCAAGCACTGACATAATTTACGGAGATCTGATAGATTTTATCACTCATGTGATTTGGCCTTGGATCTACGTTCGCGATTATTCAACTATTCGTGGCGCCAGAAACACAAGTTGTAATCCTCCCTCGGGAGGGCACAAAGATCCACAGCACATGCGCAACCACAACTTACTTCCCGTCTTTGTACTACGGATTTGCAACAAGAATGAACAACTAAAGCATGGATGCAAGGCTGAACGCATCGAGCAACCAGGCCACTGTCACATGTAATGAACAATGGTCGTCCACAGATCCCCACAGTGGCGACACAACTCGAGGCCACTTCACAGTAGCGCGCGACGACGATATAAATATTGCTTCAGTAACCTTCATCCTCCATCACTTGCACGCTTCACCTACTGCTACTTCGAACGCATACCCATTCTCATAACATTTCTATCAATTATCTGCTGGCTCAGGTACATGTATTCCCAGCTTCAATGCCCACAGTTTCTAACTATATCTACTTCTTACCTCCAGATGACACAATCAACTTCTTACCCCTCATCGCACGGTCCTGATTCTTTCAACGCAACTGACGTATCTTTGCTTGGTGTAGATGCTGGAGTTGTGCATCACACGTTTCAAGCAGGACAACATGGTCATTGCCTCACTGCAGTGACCGATCTCTCACATGCCACTCGTGCTGGTCCAAACCCACCACTAATTGCTTCTGCTGCTCTCCCTCAACAGCCATCCGAAGCGAGCTCTGCGTCCTCGTTTCTCCCTCAAGCACCAAAGCGCGTTGCGGAAGACCTCCAAGACCCTAACGTCAAGCGAATCAAAATAGGTTCCGGCAAGATAGTCAACGACCCGCTTTTTGTGAGTGTACTTTCAGTTTTGTGAGGTCGCATTCTCAACCCTTGGGACAGAAACCCGTGTTGAATCGATGTGGGCAATACGATGGGGATTACTTTATGTGTTCTAAAGATGGCTTGGTCATCCGTCCTGGCAATTATGAACAGCATATCAAGACAGCAAGACATCTAGATCACGAACTAATGCTATTTGGATGCCCTCGTTGTCGCAAAACGTGCGTATTCCCACTCTCAAATAAGCATCTCATCATTAATATTGTGATTAGTTTTGCTCGACAGGATGTCTGCAAGAGGCATTGGGACGATATTTGTGGGAAGCTAGCAGCTCATGATGGCGTTCAGCTATCCTACTCAGCCGCTTGCAAGGCTTCCATAAGTTTTGCTTCTGCTTCACCTATGAGAGTACCCACTGCCAGTTCACGCGAGACCCTCACGATAACGTCCGATAGCTCATTACAAGAGATCACGCGAACAGAGGCGACCAAAGACACCCCAGAACCAGATCCTCGGGCAGCTAGTGAGATACAGGACCCTCCTTTGGTGACACCCGTGCTTCCTGAAGGACAAGACATTGCATTCGCAGAAGTCCATGATACTTTGGCGGGTAATGCGATAGATGACCCTGCTTTGGTGGCACCCGTGCTTCGCCCATCTGAAGTACAAGACACCACACCGGCAGAGGCTTACGATGCTTCTGCTATCGAGACACAGGACCCTACTTTGGTGACACCCGTGCTTCCCTTATCTGAAGGACAAGACATTTCACTCGCAGAGGTCCACGATACTTTGGCAGGTAATACGATAGACGACCCTGCTTTGGTGGCTACCGTACTTCCCCTCATCTGAAGTACGAGAGACTACACGGTTTGGCGGCCACCCTCCTTTGGAGGACTACGACTTCGTGGATTCTGTCCCTCTCATATCTAGCACCACATGTTCTTTTCATACTCTGCCATAGCGCACCACCTCTCGTTCATTCTCATTACTGTTATTGTTATCATCATCCTTAGACTGAATGCAAACATTCCTGGTATATATGCACTGGAAGATCTAAGGAACGAGCGAGCAGGTAAGATGAGACGGTTTGTTTTATCATACTCTTGAGTCCGTTCCAAAGGCGGGACTTAGTATTCAGGCTAGGTCACAGCGTAAGATCTTACTAGAAAGTTTATGCTTAATCGAAGATTCAAATGTTACAGCGCAAATGATTATATATTAGGCATGAGTCTCAACCATATAACATAGCGGCCTACAACGCGAGGTAAACTATTCAACATGGAGCGGACCCACAATTCGCTCAACACGATGAAGTCCCTACAGCGGAGGCCAGCCATGCATTTATGGAAGGTGTGCTACTATCTGTGGTGGGTCCTCTTGGCTTTGGTTGTACCAGAGGCCTTGCCGGATGCGGCGAGAATCGGGGCGGAGATAGGTGGCGATACTGGGAGAGAAGGAATCGGGACAGGCACCGACACCGGGAGAGAAGGCTTTGGGATGGGTAGTGATACAGGGAGAGAAGGCTTTGGGACGGGGAGCGATACTGGAAGAGAAGGAAGCACAGCAAGAGCAGGCTTTCCTGAGGCGCTGGCCGGGGTGGCACGCACCGAACCGGAAACTCTGGTCAATGTGGCGTGCGCCGAGCCTGAAACCGAGCCTGAAAACAACGGGGCAGATGCTGGGGTTGTATCACGACGGTGATTGTGGCGTCCACGACCCGGGTGCACATCAGCCTGCTGATGAGCAGCCGACGCAGATGCGGTGGCGATTGACGCCTGAGAGGAGGAAGCAGTCGAGTTTGCCTGAACAGTCGACGAAGAAGAGTAAGAACTGCCGACGCTGACCGCGTCTACTGCGCCCCGTGGAATTGGTAAGGCTGGCAAGGAGGGCAGTCCACCCGTCACATTCCGTATATTGTCAAGCGTGTCCTGTGCCTGTTTTGTTGCTGTCACTGGAAGATTGAGGGATCCAAGAATGGACGATATCAAATCAACCAAGGAAGAGATGACGCTGATGTCCCTATGCACCTCCGCTATATGGCAAAAGTGGTCAAAGAATGCTGGTAAAATGATGCATATGAAGGAGCTCACCATGACGTGGTGGTGCATTGGGATTGGAGACACTGACGGGTATGCCTTGGACACCCCCGGAAAGCAAGAGAGCAAGTGAGAACGAGACAAAGACGATATAGAGGGATAGGAAGCGCATTATGAGAATATTTAGAGAAAAACGTTCGTGAAAGTCGTTAAATAGAGCGCTAGAGTGATCTGATGGATAAAAAGCAGGAAAAGATGTGGGTAAGGATCGCAAAGGCAAGGACGGGTTTTTATACCTTTGCAGAGTAGCTGCTGACAGAGATCTATGTGACGGTGAAACCTGTTGACGATGACGTTCGCGCAATAATTCCAGTCCAAACCACGGGTTCAAACTCGAATCGTGACCACAGGTGAGGTGTTGACATGAATAACATGTCTCAGACACGGTTTTTTCGCGGGGAATTTTATGTCTGCCCGGAGCTGGCGACACCTTGCCTTATGATTGTGAATAGGTCTGCAACACAGCCCAAGTGTCGTCACGTTACGGTCATAATGCATGATCCTGGGGTGCAAATGGGTAAAAATAGTAAATGATCTGGGTGCAAGACACGTCCAAGACCATAGTATTCCCCATGCCGTAGCTGTAAATCTTTGAGGGTGTTTTCACGGTCCTCTCCTGTAGTCTGTCATCTCCCATACATTATCCTCTCCAAGTGCTCTCCGTCTTCTCGAGCTGGCAGTCTCAGTGACTGAACCAGACAAAACCATGAGGTTCCATAAGTCAGATAAAGAACGAAGCAGGGGTGTTCCCATGCATGACGACAGGAAACACCATCCTAAACCTGCGAATCTATTTGAATAAGAACTTGAGCAGGCAAAGGATACATGCAACTCAGATACACGCACATGAGAATCGCAAGAACGAAGAACAAGGTCATTAATGACGAATCGTAGCCTGTTTCTACCATGAGGCCAAAAAGCTGCTTATCGACAAGCTCGGAACTTAACTAGTAGCTATGCATATGTAAGCCAAGAACTTTCCGGCCACCGATAGGCTTGTTTTTTTCTCACCACATGACCTCATTCGAAGGCTTCACCGTGGCATACCAGTGCTGCCATACATATAAGTATCGTATTCCGTCGAGAACTCGGACGCCTACATATAACCTTGCTTACAACTGCCCTGGCTAGAGGTTCGCAAATATTCACTTACTCATTGTTACAGTGTAGCGTTGGTCTGACACCAGTCCGTCCAGCACGACGAGTAGACAAGCCTGAGGGTACTTGCAACATCACATTTTTCACATCTCGCAGCGTTGAACATTATCAATTTATTCAATCTGTGAATATGTCAAATCCCAATTCAACTTCGGTTAGCCTGAGGCAACCATCAAAGGTGACCGTTTCACTTCAGGTGTCCTTGAATCAACGCTCACTCGCAGCGTAATCATAGAACTCCAATGGACAAGTTTCAAGGAGGGGTGAAGATATCGAGGTGGCTCCCAGACTCCAAAGTAGCAATATTCCCGACCCATACAAGATCCGGGTTGGTCTCAAGACAGACGACGAGCTCTCGCAGCTTCGTCGTCGTCGCAGGACTGGCAAAGGACTCGAAAGCTTTCATAGAAAGCAGAACGATGTCAGTTTTTCTCTTACAACATACTGTTTCGATGTCGTGCTGAAGGGTAAACGATCAGCTCATCCAATCTATGTTAAAGCCTATGGAAGAACATACACAAGAGGCGAGAGAAGATGAAGCACATTTCCATTTTTCTGTAAGGGTTTGCTGTGGGGATGCCCAACCCTGCTAAACTGATCATACTTCAGGTTAGGGTTGCAGTCTGGGCAAGTCTTTGTGCCAACTTCATTCTCTGCGTACTTCAGCGTATGTCTTTGCAATATCCCTCTTACTTTCTCTGATTATTCCACACTAGTATATGCTGCTGTGTCTTCCGTCTCTTTGTCCCTCATTGCCACAGGGATTGATGCTACTTTCGATTTTGGAAGTAACATCTTCCTATACTGGACTCACAAGAAAGCGCTGTCAATGGATATTAACAAGTGGCCTGTCGGTGGCTCTCGAGTTGAAACCATCGGAAATATCGTCTACGGTGATTCATTTATTCACTCAGCGAGAAATAATCTAATTTTCTTTCAGGTTCACTGTTCGTCCAGTTAAAAGTCTTTGGGATTTGATTAACATTCTCGCAGCATGGCTTCGGTTAATTTGGTTGTTATCGTCGAATCCGTCCGCGCAATTATGGCTGAAGAGAAGGACAGCGGTTTTCATATCCAGGCCATCATCGCAGTCGCAGCAGCGCTTGGTGCGTAGTCCGCATTGAAGCCCTTTGCAATCCACTAATTAATTCTCAATTCAAATAGCGGTCAAATTTGTCCTCTTCTTATATTGTTTCGCCCTCCGATCAAAGTCTAGCCAAGTGCAAGTCTTATGGGAGGACCATCGAAATGATCTTTTCATTAATGGATTTGGTATGGCGACTCTCTGCTTTCCTTTGGTATCCTGAAGTGATCATACTCCCAGGTATTCTGATGTCTGCTGGAGGAAGTAGATTACGATGGTGTTCGTGACTTTAATCCTTGCATTTCTTGTAAACTTACATGTCAAACAGGGCTGGACCCTACTGGTGCTATCATCGTGCGCTTCATTCGTATACCCCCATGTGCTTCCGCTCATGTGATCGCTACAGATTGGCGCTGGAGTCATCATTGCTTGGAGTCACACTATCTATGAACAATTTGGATTCTTGGCCGGGAAGTCTGCGCCACACGACTTCCTGCAACTCATCATATACAAAGCTATGACCTTCAGCGACGAAATTGAGAAAATCGATACTGTACGGGCGTACCACGTAAGTGTTGAATCTAATTGCGTACGGTTACATATTGACTTGATTTAATGACGCAGAGCGGACCTGTGCGTGCCATTGATCTAATCATTTGAAGTGTTGCGTTCACTGACAGTTTCAACAAGGATTACATCGTCGAAGTGGATATCGTCATGAATGCTACTACCCCGTTGTGGAAGGCACACGATATTAGCCAACAGCTGCAGGATAAGATCGAGGTGCTTCCGAACGTCGAGCGTGCCTACGTACACGTCGACCATGAGACGACTCATACTCCTGTGAGTAGCATCTAATACCATCATCTTCAATCACTCAATCGCTTGGACAGGAACATCGGAAAATCTTGTAGGCGAAAGGTAGCTAAACGGACGAGGGAATATTATCAGAATGCGATGTCTTGTTCACCGGATACCCATTAGATTGCCTGTTGTTGCTGTATTCGTGTAATCATATGAACTCTCCTTCTTACCTTACACCGCCGATCATCATTGGAAGATCGACAATCTGGTTGGATGCTAGCGCTTATCACCGACTTCAGATAACTCCAAACCATCTATATATAGCCTGTGTACATGGTACTTTGAATAGACTAGACCTGCCCCACTTGATTTGCTCGTTCAACAGGTTCAAGGACGATTTCCAGGCCATCCATAGGGCTTGAAAGAGTTGGAGTTGTTGGTGTATCACTGACATGTGCGCCGTCAGAGTTAAAAAATCTTTCGCATCCATTAGACCGAGCCAAGCGTCAATCATCGATCCTCTTGATGACGGGGAACCGCATCGCGGAAGTAAAGTCTGTCAACGAGTCATCAAAGCTACAGGTCGTCCATCGAAAGATAACCAACGTCAATGACTTCCTGTCGGTCATTGGTTCGTGGTGATGGATGTCAGTGCATGGTGTCATTGACAATGACTGGACCTGTGTTTTACTAAGTCGGTGATATGCGTCAGCGCGGCATCGATATCGCATGAAAATTATGGACTCGACAATCTCACTGGAATATGAGTTACCCGTTTAATCGTCAATGTTTATTACAGAAACATCGAAGCAGGGTTTCAAGGTGGGCTTTCAAAACGGACAGTTCTGGCGAGCTTGCTCGTGGCATCGAGCCAGGGCCGTTCAAATAGACCAACTGAAGTGATAGTAAGGAAGACCACCATAGGGAAAAAAATACCGCCGTGTCCTTGTGGTGCTGTTGACTCCAACAGGCCTTGTGACTGTCTATGAAAAGAGAGTGGAGCAAGATGTCGAGGTCATGCCTCCACAAGGCACGGAGCCACAAAAATGGTGAAGGGCGGCAGGAGAGGCGATCGTTTAAGGAATGAATTGATGCTTGGGAAACAATCCTTGGAAGTTGTGATTGACCCCCATATGACCTAGTCACTACTAGTCAAGAGGTACGAAGCCAAGGATTCAGGCCTAACAGGACCAATGAATGACTTGGAACGAGGAACCGCATATATAAAACCCACTGCAATGCAGTCATTAAATGCACAGGAAATGGCGACGAGACCATCATTATGGGTAGTGTAGGAAAAGAGCCTTTGTGGCTTTGAGCGGTTGCAGTCCAACCAGCGAGAAGATAAAACAGGGCATCAACTTGTTTCAAACCCCACTCTCTCTGCAACTTGACACTAGTCCTGGAGATCTTCCTTTCCTTATACCAAACAAACTTTGATACCAGTCCGACACCTACTCGATATACCAAAACCATTCACAAAGATACTTAACCATTCACTCCGTCGAGTGCGATAAATGATGGTGAGCAGGAGAAAGATGGCGGTACGGAGTTAGTTTCATGAGACATTACCAGGACACTAGGAATCAAGACCCGGAAGAATTGTATGTTAAACAAGACAGAATCGGTGCGCATCAGGTCCTATTCCTCACCTCAGCCAACTGACCATCTGCGGCAGGGAAGGGATCCTTTGGAGAAGTCTACAAAGGGTGTGCTATGACGATACGAACTTGCCAGCGCTCCCCCTCACGCGTTTTCTAGGTATGACAAGCGAACTCAGAAGACCGTTGCCATCAAGATCATAGACCTTGAAAGCGCAGAAGATGAGATAGAGGACATTCAGCAAGAGATCCAGATCTTATCACAGCTAGACTCACCACACGTCACTAAGTTCGTACCTTCCTTGCCGTCTTGCTCTTCTCTGGATTCGACGAGGTTAACATGCAGCGTTTTTGCACGCAAGATATCATGGATCATTCCTCAAGGGTTCCAATCTTTGGATTGTTATGGAGTACGTTCCTAGATTCCATTTCATTCTCATTTGCTCATGGATATATAGATACTGCTCGGGCGGCTCGTGTTCTGATCTGGTATGATCGCCGCTAAGCCTGGTAATTTGCGCTTACTTCACATCACGCAGATGAAGCCTGGCGTATTTCGGGAAGAGTATATCGCGATCATCGTCCGAGAGCTTCTCCGCGGACTTGACTATCTGCATACAGAGGGCAAGCTTCATCGGGATATCAAAGGTCGTTTCACCCTGCTTCTGATTAATCTGACACTTATGTCATGTAACGCACAGCTGCCAACATACTGCTTTCCGCAGGAGGTGATGTCAAACTTGCCGATTTTGGCGTGTCTGGGCAGCTTTCCGGAACCCTGTCCGCCAAGAAGAACACTTTTGTCGGCACGCCATACTGGATGTCACCTGAGGTAATCAAGCAGAGTGGTTACGACCACAAAGCGGATATATGGAGCTTGGGTATAACCGCAATTGAGCTGGCCAAGGGAGAGCCACCCTATGCAGAGCTCCATCCGATGAAGGTAAGCGGGGCTGGGCGGCCGCCAGATTCGGAGATGTCGCTTACACCTTGCCACACAGGTGCTATTCTTGATACCCAAGAACCCTCCGCCGCAGCTGGATGGTCACTTCTCCAAGCCATTTCGGGACTTTGTTGCATACTGTTTGCAACGGGATCCCCGTGATGTTAGTCTGCTCTCCATTTCTTGTGTTTATGTTACCATGACTGAGATGGACAAATATATCACAGCGCCCGACGGCACGCGAGCTGTTAAAGCACAAGTTCGTTCGTATGGCAAAGAAGACTAGTTACCTCACAGAACTAATTGAGAGGCACGAGCGATGGAAGGCCGAGGGTGGGGATCGCACGGAGGAAGAAGAACAAGTTGACAATCAAGACTTGTGGGTCGCTCCTGCTTTTCCGACATCCTCTCATATATTTTCTCCAGGCCTGCAAACGCTGACTTAGAAGATCTCTGGGACTTTGGTACTGTCCGACACACAGGGCGGTCGGGGACGATTGGGCGTGCACAAAACTCGATCAAGGTGTCTGGTCCCCCCCTAACATGGGAGATGAACGGATCTTCTCGCGAGACGTCGTCGTCATCTTCTTCTTCCATCACAGCGAAAAAGGTGTCCGGGTCATCATTAAAGTCCAAGACTGAGCTGCCGCCGCTACCTTCGTCCCCTCCGCTGGTGCCAGCGTCTGCACCACCCGCTCGAGCACCAAGCGTGTACGAGCAAGCCACCGTGAGGCACATGCCGAGCGGAGGGCCCAGCAATGAGACACAAACGGGCCACGAGCGGGAGCCTTCTGATGAAGATTATGATGACCAATACTTGGACACTTATCCTAGAGTCGCATCTGTTCATGAGAAACAGCATGAACCAGAGGATGATGAGTTACCCGATACCACTATGCTTGATTCTGTCATATTGCCCGCAATAGCTTCGGTAAGGGTTCCATACTCCTATTGAGACAGGGCTAATCAGTGTTCAGCTATTCCCTCGAGTATCAACACAGGAAGCGCGAGTCGCGCTGAGTGCTCTACAACGGGCATTTACTGAGGCTGAGCGTATCATCCCAGGTGTCACCCTGGAACTCGTGAACGAAATCGTAGATTCCGTGGAGCGAGTAGAGGATGATCACCAGCAGTAGGCTAACATGCCACTGACATTGTGATATCTTGGTTTGCAGTCTTTTGTTCCTTGCTTTCGTTGCTACATTCTCAGGACGCTCTCACCCCACAAATACGCACATTCATGCCTACCACACAGATGCATTCACTCCATCTTACCACACCGATCCGTGATGTACATCTTGCCAGCATATATATCATGTAGCTCTTATTAGCATGAATGAAGAGTGTCAATGGGCACCACATAACCCCCTGTCCACAAATGATAGGGGCTCAACGTCCTTTACACTGTACGCTGGCTTTCACTCATGCGGTGCATCTAAAATACCATGTACCAAATTGATTTCCTTCCGCCTGGCATGGCCTGTCATACTATCCCTTCCACTGCAATCGGCACCCCACAGAAGTCGGCACTTTCACAAAATTCGTATTTTTAGCTACTTAAATACAAAATTCTCAACATATGTATCATTCTCTCTCTAATACAACTCATTACGAGGTTGAAGGACCATGATTAAAGCAGAATTGAGTGAGATGTGCTGAAGTCACGCACCTGCCGTGACGGAGTTTCAAATTGCACACACTCGCTTTGGAAGTGCCGACTGGTGCAACCTGCGACTTTGCGCTCTTGCTTGACTGCCGAACTGACTTTAAAATCGGCCTACGTGACATATCGTGACTCGCGGTGACATTTGCGTGACTGCCGACTTCTGTGGATAGTACGATCTCTTCATGCAAATCGGGCTCAGTGGGACTCCTCGGTCTCACAATAGTAATGACAAAGAGGGGCTAAACTATCGTCTACGCATCACCTATGATATCGTTTACCCTTGGTCATCCACTCCTGTACTTTATAATCTCGTCGTCTGCGCTCGTTTACACCTCAACAGTTCTTCCAAGACGCTCAAGTGCACGCCGCATTTGTCTGACTTTAACTCATCCCTTAGTTCATTTCTAATTGAATTGTCATGGAACAATCCTCTCCTCGAGTTTGGTTGAGTGAGTTGGCGTTTAAAACTCCTCGGGATTATACTCACTGCTCGTAGTCACCGGTTCATCCTCTGGATTTGGCAGGGAGATGACGGAAGAGGTCCTGTTGTCGCAACTCTGCGCAAGCCCTCCGTCCTTGATGACCTCGTTGCCAAATATCCGCGCACTCAGCTCCTGGTGCTCCCCCTGGATGTGACGAACGAAGCGCAGGTGAAATCTGTCTTCGCGCAGGCCAAGAGTGCCTTTGGATACGTCAATGTCGTATAACAACGCAGGGCAGGTGTCTTACCAGGAGTTGGAGGGGATGTCATCCAACATGGACCGTGCCAGGGAATTGATGGATATCAATTTCTGGGGTGCCGTTACGGTAAGCCTTGAGGCGGTTAGATTCTTCAGAGAGGAGAATCCCAAGGGCTATAAGGGGATGCTCATTCAAGTATCGAGCGCGGCAGCGATTAGTGGGGTCCCTCTGCTCGGGTTTTATAACGCAACGTGAGTGAGCTGATGCTATACTATTAAGTGTCGCTGAGGCATTTGGTGTTTGTAGGAAAGCAGGTAAATTAGTCATGTTGCTTATGGCATATTGTATGGCTTTGACTCACCACTATTAGCCTTGGATTCGTTCACCGAGGTCTTGGCACAGGAGGTGCTTCCTGCTTGGAACATTCGTGTGAGTAATTGGACAGATGAGAGTCGCTGACCTGAGCGACCATACAGTTCTTGAATGTCCACCCAGGTTGGACGCGCACGCCTATTACATCAAGTGAGATGCTTGAACCTCCAGCAGCGTACGCATCAGAACCGGCAGCTGTAACCACGAAGATGCGTGCTGGATTTGATGCTTTCATCGAAAGCGATGCGCTGGCTAGTGTTGAGGCTGTGACAAAACGCATCTTTTGTGTGATGTGGGAGGGCGATGAATACCTGCGACAGGGTGAACAGGACGGCATTCCAGGCCTCACGAACTTGTATGTGGGCATGGACTCGCTGGAGCTTGTGCATACAAAGATTCGACGGCTGCAGGGTGAGTTGATGTGGAATATGAAAGTCCATTACGAAATTTAGTTTCATGTACGTTTACAAACGAACATTTGGTTCTGCACAATGCACGAGACGAGTCTTATTAGCCAACAGGCTGCCACCGGCAATTACTACCTACCTAGTTACCTTTTGTGTTCACATTGATGCCGTGTCTTCTGATATCACTTCTCTATGAAACGGTCCCCGGCTTCCTGCAGCCATACTTCCGCCCAAAACGTATTCACATTTGGATACTTCGCTAGTCCAACATACCCGGCGCCTGCTTCGTCACAACATCACTTTCGTCATTCAACTGGTATTATATTGTTTAAACATGTCAAATTACACAATTCACTGTCTAGGCTCGTTGTGAAAGCAAAGCTTTAAAGGTTGCTTGTCGCATTGGTGTTTCTAACGAGCTAATGTGCCATTGGCAAGGTTGGCGCGGGCGTTCTGATGGCTACTAGCACCCGGATGCATTACAATTCGCGCGCAGACGCATCGTTAGTCTTGATACAGCAACTTGCAGGTTGTGATCGATTGAACGGATCTGGGCCAGTCGCAGTTCCATCAGCTACTTCCAGGGTGTGTCTATATTGATATGACTATAGGTTACGTATTCCGGTCTCTATATCCTCTAGCACTGGCACTTCAACCAGATGATGGCTACTTGCTCTTGGCGAAGTTGCTATCTACATCTTATTATCTGACTGTGATCCTTTAGCACAACTATCTGTCCAAACCAATTACCAGAGCTGCTGATCAGGACTAGAGGTTTGTCCTGGTGGAGCAGCCTGATTTGATAATCATTGGTGGTGCGGTCGATATTATTCTAGGACGTTTGCAGACGCTCATAGCTTCCAGCTGCAATCAATTTCGTATCATGCTTCTCACCTATATGACGCCGAGAGGCCCGAGATATATGTAAGCCTACATGTTAAGTCCCCCCTCCCTCCCCACACCACCATAACGATGTCCACTCTCGGCGATGAAAAAGCGGTTGACACCATCGATGTGATTGACAAAGTACCCATCGGCGTCCACTGTCGTGCTCGTGATGATTTGGAGAGGAGATTACTAAGGAAGCTTGATTTGCGCATGTCCGTGTTGCTGATTTTACAAACCTTGAACCTAGTGGGTCTGTCTGATATTTCGCTAACTTTGTTCTGATGATTGCTGCGCACCTTAGATTGATAGAACCAATGTTAGGTGCGTGGTATGTCGTTGTACTTGCATGAATCTCATGTTATCTACAGCAACGCTCGGTTACAAGGTTTTGAGCAAGACCTGCACCTGCATGGGGCACAATACGCCACGACTTTGTCCATCCTATTTGTTGGATACAACCTCATGCAAGTGCCAGCGTGAGTCCTGTCTTTTTTGTCAAGAGACAGCTGAACAATTTTTTTTTCAGGAACATGTTCATGCACTGGCTGGAGAGACCTTCTATCATCATTCCGTGCTGTATGTTACTATGGGGTACAATATCAGTATTGTCAGGTTCGTCGACACTGATCGTTCATGAACAGTGGACTGATAACTGTACTCAGGGAACAACAACGAAGTAACATATCCTTATTTTTCATCCTTCAGATCATATCTCATAGTTTGACCCAAGTTACTGCTGGAATTCTTGTCGCTCGCTTCTTTCTTGGCTTTGCCGAAGCACCCTGTTTCCCCGGCATTGTATTTCTTGTATCTAAATGGTACAAGCGAGACGAGATCGCCTCGAGACTAGCTCTCTTTACTTCTGGAACTTTTCTCAGCTTCTGCATTCGGATCCCTGTTTGCATCTGCTATACTTCACAGCATGCAGGGTATACTTGGTCAAGCTGCATGGAGGCAGGTGACGATTGTCTCTATCATTCCGTAGAGCTGAATGATCTGTAGATGGTTATTTTATATTGAAGGCGGCGCCACCATCTTGGTCGCAATTTGCGCGATTTTCATACTCCCTGATTTCCCTCACAACACCAGGTGGATCACCCCAGAGGAAAGAGCGCTTGCTATCTCTCGCCTTGCAGAGGATGCCCATGCTGGAGCAGACGAGCTTGGGAAGCGGACGACCGTGCAAGGACTGCGGGATGCTGTGTCTGACTGGAAGGTGTGGTTGTTTTCAATCGCGGCCATTTTCCAGGTAGTAGGGCAGTCTTTCTTCGCTTACTTCCCAACGCTGTGCGCGACACTGGGATATGACACGACTATAACGTTGCTGCTTTGTGCTCCTCCGTGGTTGTTGGCGGGTATAATCTCATTTTTTCTTACATGGTCAGTGAATCATTTCTATCAGAAAATCGCATCTCACGAAATCAGGTACTCCGATAAGAAACAGGGGCGTTACAAATGCTTTGTTGTCTCCAATGCACTTGGCGCCCTTGCATTCATTATATCGATCTTTACGATGGATATCGCTGCGCGCTATATTTCACTGTAAGTGGTATCGCTACTCGTGGGGCATCACTCTTGTCCTCAGACACATACAGGTTTTTGATGGCTCAAGTCTTCGTTGGATACCTGGTGCTCTTAGGGTGGATCAGCAACACTTTCGCCAGGGAACCTGCGAAGCGCGCCGTTGCTATTGCCCTGATGAACACACTAGCGCAGACAGGCAATATTATCGGATCGTCAGTGACATTGTCATCGATCTTTTGCTCTCACTAATTATTCACGACTGCACTGCTCACATAGGTATATATGGCCGTCGAAATGGGGCCCGACATATCGTTATTCCTACGCTATCTGCATCGCTGCACTTGGAATTTCGACATGCATGTTTGGTGGTTTGTATTGGTATTTGAAGCATTGGAATGAGCAGGTTGAGAGGGATGAGCAGGATGTGAAAGATATCAATGGGCTTCGCAGTCCGATTGGTTTTAGATATCGGTTGTAGTTCTTCTTGCTGTTGTTGATGCGGTTGTTTCAGAGACCACGTACCGAGCTTTCAGCAACATTTGCCCGGCTGGACCTGGAGGCTCCTGAAGGAAGCCTATGATCTTCACTCATGGCGAGCGGTTGTATATCTGGATTGGTGTGAGAGAAGCGGTAGGATACACTGAGAAGTAGTGTGAGAAGGGAACGGGCGTCTCATCTTTTGGTGCCACTCCAAGGAACGTTCAAAACTTCAAACACTAACCATTCAGTCACACGATTATCATCGATTCATAACGGCAAGTTATCGTGTGTGCGCATTAGTGCCCATCGCAGTGCAATGAAGTGTCGAGAGATGCTATTTAGAAAAAGTCGATAGAGTTCGGTCTACTCCAGAGTTGAACTTCTTACACATACATTGAAAGCATGCGTCCCTGTCTGGCGTTGTCAAAGTTCAAGTAGGCTTTGACTTTGAGCCTGCGATTTAGTATTGGCATTTAATGTGCCACTCGAGCTGTTTGAACGTTTAAACCATTTCCACAACACGACAAGACCTTGAATGACTACCTTTATGTAATTCGTGATTCGTGTAGCATGACTCTTAGACGGCCGCGGATGTCAGCGTGGGTACAGCAAAATTTGGTGGAAGAGATGGATTTGATCTCAGCATCCGAATCCCGACCGTACATGGAAGTTGTTCAGTCCCCGACTCCTAGGAGGGTCTTCATTGTGTCGTGGTTATTTCTAACGGTTCAACTTTATTTTTCCAACCAAGTAGCCTGTCTCTAGAATACACACCTAAATTTTCAAAGAAAAATATGCAACCGTTCGAACTCGACGTCCAAAACCGCGAGGGGACTTGTTTTCGGTGAGTGTCACTCATTGAGACACCTGACTTATTACGGATGACTATCCCGCAACAATCTAGTCCGAGTTTAATGCATCGACACTAGAGACTGTTGGAGCACACAGAGGTTATCCGCTGTCTGGCACTTTCATTTAGAGTCCTGGCCAGCGCTGCTGAAGATGACACCATCAAGCTCTGGGCTCCTCGCCTCCTTTGACATTCGGAGGCCCGATATCCTTGTCCTCTCACCCAACTCACGCCAGCTGGCTTCCGAAGTCCTCGCTCAGGCCTGTGTATGCATTCCCCTCAAACATCCGCTTTGTGTGCTAACATTCCCTTACAGACCATTGCACGCTTAAAAGGAACCACAGAAGATCTCCAAAGCACAACAATATTGCCTGTCATAGTTTTTCCCCCTCCACCGCAGATACCCTCTTCTATAGTAGCTTCACGGCCATCTCAGTTACGCCCCGACCCCCACGAGTTCCTTCCCTCCTCTTCCCACACCCATACAGTCTTTTCTGCTCGTAATGTCGATCCTGACGATCTCCAAACCATGATGCTCCAAGACCTCTCAAAACATATCATGAAGGATGGAGACTACCCTGTTGCTTGTGGTGAGTTTGGGGAGATCTGGAAATGCAGCTTGTACATTGATCGTAGCTCAGTCAAAGTTTGTTTGCCATCTTTTGTCTGTCCATCCGTCTCATATTAATCATTTTGTAGGCCCCAGTGAAAGCATCGCAGGTGCACGCTGATGATCAACTTGGGCCAACGAAGGCGAAAAAGATCCAGGCGAGTGTCTTACCGAAGGATTGAGTCCGTTGCTTACATCACAGGGCTCTGCTTCAGAGCATCATGCGTGAACTGAGGATATGTGCCAAACTCAACCGTGTAAATATTCTACGCATTTATGGCTATACGCATGGCTTTGGCCCATTTCCAGCAATAGTCAGCCCTTGGGCGGAGAATAGTAACTTGACGGTTTATCTGGAGCGTGAGGGTGCAGCTTTGACTCTCGTTCGACGATTCCAGCTGGCAAGTACTCTCTTCATATGTTTGGGTAGAACACAACCCTGACGCGAAAAATTAGCTAACAGATATCATAACTGGTCTGCAATATCGTATGTGACAGACTTTGCTGTTGCCGGACCCGAGCCATAACTACTCCTCACAGTTCACGCTAATGGTGTGATCCATGGCGACTTTAATGGGGTAAGTTTGATTTTCTCGATGGTTCCAGTTTCATTGAGATGTGAGCTTCAGCCTAACGTGCTGATCCGCGGCGATGGCACTGCGTGTATTGCTGACTTCGGCCTTTCCTTGATGTATTCCGAGGTTATAAGCGCCTCTCAGGTTTCCTGGACGTACACGCTCAAAGGAAACATGCGATGGATGGCTCCTGAGCTGCTTGTAGAACAGGAGGATGGTTCTCAAGTTCGGCCAAGCGAGCAGAGCGACATCTATTCATTTGGCGGTATCATGCTGCAGGTACGTCTGAGTTAATTTAGGCCTCTCATTCGTATAACGAGCTCCACTCGCAGGTCCTCACCAACAAGGTGCCTTATTATCACCTCGTGAATGATGCCGCCATCGTACTCTGCATAGCCAAGTCGCAAACGCCTTCCCGATCTCGTTGTCCTGAGCTTCCTGTACGATACTGGCAATTTGTCGAGCAATGTTGGTCTATTGACCCTTGGGACCGTCCCTCGACGGAGGGAGCTGACACAACGATCAGGAATGAATTTCACTCGCTATCCAGATCTCATTGATTCTTGACTGTCTCGCATTCAGAAATCTATTTACAGTTAGATAAAGCTAGGTACACCTGTATAAATGTACCGGTAGACTCACCCCAATATTTATCTTATGATGTTGAAGCACACTTCTGCTATGATAAAGAAACGTCGGTTACACAGTCATTTGACTTGGGAGAATCATTGTCATCAACAAAATCATCCTGTTCGCGAATTCTGCGACGACCTAATTCAACATGCAAGTGATCACTGACCCGACTAAGTCTCCCGTTGTTAGACCTTCAAGATAGAATGAAGATGTTTGTCTCTTCCTCTGGCCCAGCTTCGTCTTGCGAAGAACTTGCCTGATTCAAATGACGGATTTCTCTGACACGATGTAAGTGCAGACCTTACGTAGTCATTGTCGCATCAGCCCTGTTTCACCTTTTATACCATACATACTTCATACACAGATTCTAACTAGCTGACTCGAGACAGATAAGACATTGCAATTAATAGGATACTCAGCTTCCGTTTCCTTCAACTACACCCGATATCTAAAACCAATCGGGCCGCGAAGCCCATTGATATCTTTCACATCTTGCTCATCCCTCTCAACCTGCTCATTCCAATGCTTCAAATACAAATACATACCACCAAACATGCATGTCGAAATTCCAAGTGCAACGATGCAGATGGCATAGGAATAACGATATGTTGGGCCCCACGTCGACGGCCATACGTACCTATGTGAGCAGTGCAGTCGTGCATAATTAGTGAGAGCAAGAGATTGATGACAATGTCACTAACGATCCAATAATATTTCCTACCTGCGCCAGTGTGTTCATCAGGGCAATAGCAACGGCGCGCTTCGCAGGTTCTCTGACGAAAGTGTCGGTGATCCACCCTAAGAGCACCAGGTATCCAACGAGGGCTTGAGCCATCAGAAACCTGTATGTGTCTGAGGACAAGAGTGATGCCCCACGAGTGGCAATACCACTTACAGTGAAATATAGCGCGCAGCAATATCCATCGTAAAGATCGATATAATGAATGCAAGGGCGCCAAGTGCATTGGAGACAACAAAGCATTTGTAACGCCCCTGTTTCTTATCAGAGTACCTGATTTCGTGAGATGCGATTTTCTGATAGAAATGATTCACTGACCATGCAAGAAAAAATGCGATTATACCCGCCAACAACCACGGAGGAGCACAAAGCAGCAACGTTACGGTCGTGTCATATCCCAGTGTCGCGCACAGCGTTGGGAAGTAAGCGAAGAAAGACTGCCCTACTACCTGGAAAATGGTCGCGATTGAAAACAACCACACCTTCCAGTCAGACACAGCATCCCGCAGTCCTTGCACGGTCGTCCGCTTCCCAAGCCCGTCGGCTCCATCATGGGCATCTTCTGCAAGGCGAGAGATAGCAAGCGCTCTTTCCTCTGGGGTGATCCACCTGGTGTTGTGAGGGAAATCAGGGAGTACGAAAATCGCGCAAATAGCGACCAAGATGGTGGCGCTGCCTTCCATATAAAATAACCATCTATAGATCATTCAGCTCTACGGAATGATAGAGACAATCGTCACCTGCCTCCATGCAGCTTGACCAAGTATATCCCTGCATGCTGTGAAGTATAGCAGATGCAAACAGGGATCCGAATGCAGAACTGAGAAAAGTTCCAGAAGTAACGAGAGCTAGTCTCAAGGCGATCTCGTCTCGCTTGTACCATTTAGATACAAGAAATACAATGCCGGGGAAACAGGGTGCTTCGGCAAAGCCAAGAAAGAAGCGAGCGACAAGAATCCCAGTATAACTTAGGGTCAAACTATGAGATATGATCTGAAGGATGAAAAACAAGGATATGTACTTCGTTGTTGTTCCTGAGCATAAGTTATTAGCCACCTTCATGAACGATCAATGTCGACGAACCTGACTAATACTGATATTGTACCCCATAGTAACATACAGCACGGAATGATGATAGAAGGTCTCTCCAGCCAGTGCAGGAACATGTTCCTGAAAAAAATTACGTTCAGCTGTCTCTTGACAGAAGACGGAACTCACGCTGGCACTTGCATGAGACCGTATCCAACAAGTAGGATGGACAAAGTCGTGGCGTATTGCGCCCCATGCAGGTGCAGGTCTTGCTCAAAACCTTGTAACCGAGCGTTGCTGTAGATAACATGAGATTCATGCAAGTACAACGACATACCACGCACCTAATATTGGCCCTATCAATCTAGGGTGCGCAGTAGCATCAGAACAGAGTTAGCGAAAATCTCAGACCCACTAGGTTCAAGGTTTGTAAAATCAGTAATATGAACATGCGCAAATCAAGTTTCCTCAGTAATCTCCTCTCCAAATCATCACGAGCATGACACTGGACTGCCGGTGAGCACGTTGTCGATCACGTCGATGGTGTCAACCGCTTTTTCATCGCTGAGAGTGGACATCGTTATGGTGGTGGGGGGAGGGAGGGGGGACTTAACATGTAGGCTTACATATATCTCGGCGACATACAGGTGAGAAGAATAGGGCGAATTTGATTATAGCTGGAAGCCATGACCGTCTGCAAACGTCCTAAAATGATATTGACCGCACCAACAAATGATCATCAAATCAGGCTGCTCCACCAGGACAAACCTCTAGTTCATCTAGCGATACTCCGGATCAGCGGCTCTGGTAATTGGTTTGGCCAGATAGTCGTGCTAATGGATTAGAGTCAGATGATACAACATAGATAACAACTTTGCGACGAGCACGTAGCCATCATCCGATAGAAGCCCCATGCCGGAGCCAGAGGATATACAGACGGGAATATGCAGCCTATAGATATATCAAAATAGACGCACCCTGGAAGTAGCTGATAGAACTACATAGGACCGGCCCAGATCCGTTTAATCAATCACAACCTGCAAGTTGCTGTAAATTCTTAGTGGATACTCGTCTGGACTGGCACATGTGCAACCATCAGTGTATCCTTTCTCCATACTACGATAAGATGATAAAGGTTATGGCAAGGTGATGCCTTGATTTTTCTGGTTTGCAGAGTTTAGCGATGCTTCAACGATGCTTCTGCGGGCGTACGAATTATAATGCATTTAACCATCAGATACGCCTGCTAAGCTTCAAGTTGCTGATGGCACATTAGCTCGTGAGAGATGCCGATGTGACAAGCAACTTTCACAACAGGAAAGCAGTGGATTGTGTTGAATAGCGAAGGGGATGCTGTGATAAAGCAGGGGCTGGGTGGGAACCTGAGAGGAATATCCAAATGTGAATATGTTCTGGGCGGAAGTACTATGGCTGCAGGAAGCCGGAGACGTCTCAAAGACATGAGTCACGACATCAAAATTCGAAGACAAAAAGGTAACACAGCAGTGTTAGAGATAGTTAATGCTTTGGCAGCTATTTTGACGAAAGTCCGCACATTTTTGGCAAAACGTATATCACACAAACAAACAAAATTAATTCTTTGACAGTTCGATAGCATGAGTACTTACAACGTCTGCTAGTTTTTTGTTTTCGAAAATCGACGTGTTGAGTCTAGCGTAGAGTTACCGCGCAGAAAAGTACATTTTCCCTAGAGTTCGCAGCGATCTGACCAAGTTACATTTACGTTTCAAACTTCAGTGATTTGTCTTGCCTAGCGGCTTCGTAAAAAGATACTGCGGGTAGCGTGCCAGTCATATCAGGCATGCAAAGTAGTACCTCCAGTCTCCAATAGTTCGCCTTGCGAGCACGCGAGCAGATATCAAACCTATTTCAAGTCAGCGAAGTGAATTTGAAGGAATGAATGCTGCTGCTGAGTTCCCTAAGTATCAACACAAAACGCGTTGGAAATGAACCTCCGGGGCCATCGGCAGTATGATATCACATCAATGTGTAACTACTGTGTCTTGATCACCTGCCTTCATCTCTGGTTTCACTGCTCGTTTCTTCTTTGCCGTACCTGTTCCCTTCTTCTTTGCACGTACGACTTTAATGGGCTCTGGAGTGCTCGTGCGTAGCTCGTCATCAGGAACTTCATATGATTGGAAGGAGGGAAGGGAAGGTGGAGGCGTCATGGTGACGTCAAATAGGTTTGGAGTTTGGCGCCGTGAGGATGGCACGGGAGTTGATGGTTGCGGCGTCATGACAACGCCCGCAGGCATCTCGCCCTCTTTTTCCACAACAAACAACGGAGGAGCGGATCGCATGGATGCGCTGCTTCTCAGTCCAGGAAGGCGGGGTTCCTCTGCAAGGGTGTCAGTCATTTTCATGTGCGTGGAGAGAAAAATGATACCTTTTGGTTGTGGTAAGGGACCGTCTAGTCGGACAACAGGGATTGAATCGACATCCTCTACAGGAGGCTTTTGAGATCGGTCGTCCATAATATAGTATGGGTCGTCCCGCATTCGTTCCAGCCTCTCGGCCTTAAGCTATAGAATGGTTGAGTCGAAGTGATGCGGAGATTGTAGTCAGTGCCTACCCTCGCTCGTTCAGCTTTTTCTTCAGCTGTCTCTTCTTCCTGCGGTGCAAGCTCCTCTTGATAACCTCCCTCCTTCTGCTTCTTCTTCCCACCCTTAACCTTCATCCTACTTCCAGACTCCTTCTCTTTCCCTTTCTTGTTCCTCTTGATCTTCCGCTCAGTGACGTCACCGTCATCGCCCTCTTCTGCAACGCGATCTTGCATTGACGGTACAATCCACGCGTCCAGGTCAAGCCCATCAGGAACGGGCACACTCGCTTGCGCGATAGGTGCAACAGGATTAAGTTCATGCGATGAGAAAAGTGGTTGAATAAGGTAGAGAGACTTCGGAAAACTCGGTTCTATTACGGGGTCGAAGGCGGCTGCACTCGGGTCCGAGAACCCATTTTCATGCTTTGGTTTGTACATCGCGACATCACGTTTGATGAAAATAAGCAACTGAAGAACGTTCGCGGCCTATAGAAATGAATTAATTAATTTTGCGAATCCCTGATCACTGCGATCCTCGTCACTCACACGCTCTTGGACCTCGATCTGGTTGCTCGATGCAAATTGTCCCATTTGTTCAATCATGATATCAACGGCTTTCTTGAGATCTTCGAGGAAGCTGTCCGTCCACTGCTTTGCCGCTTCAGAAGCCCAATATCCGAAGAGCTTCGTGGCCGATTGTATGCACACGGCGGTAATGTCAGGTCTCAGAGATGCAATCTCTGGCTGGAGTAAGTAGGGAATAAGTTCGTCCGGCGCAGAAAGCTCGCTGTGGGACGATCATTCAGCATATCGTCAAGGAGTGTATTATCACAACGCACCTGCAGTACTCTCCACATATCCAAGCCGCTGCCCACAGCACCTCGGAACAGCCACCCTGCTCACCCGCGTGCAGCAAGAAGGTATCATCAGACAATACCTTTACCATCAACTTAACTGCATAGCTCCTAGCCGCTTTGACGCGTCCAACAACGTCTACAAGTTGGTCGCGAATTTGCGTACCAATGTCGACGTTTGATACGTATGCGAGGTCAACGAGGACTGAGAGGTACCATTCAAAATCGGATACATTGTCATAGGTGTTTTGAGAACACATCGTCATGATCCTTTGTGACAGGACAAGGCGGTAGGCGGTGGACTGAGATGGTGCACCCGGGGACTTTGCAGGAGCAGAAGGGACGATGTGTTGAGAGAGGGATTGTACTGCAGACGGAACGGCGGAGGACTCGGGCTTGACAAGATGCGACAGCAGCTGCTGTACAATGGATTGTATATTGTCTCGGTTGACCTATAAAATTTGTGTTTATATAGGCAGAAGGTTTTCATGATAACTTACGAGTGCTGAGAGTAGATCTAGCGCACGCATACGGATGCTGATATCTTCATCGTCGACACTGGAAAGGATTGTATCCTGGTGCTCCGCAACCAAATAAGGGTGTGTAGGTACAATCTTCACCATTGCGAGCAAGGCAATGTACTTCACTGTATCTCAGTTAGCCACATCCATACAAAGGACAAAGTAGATAACTGACGGTTCTGGTCCTGATCCTCGATGAATGCTGCGAGTTTTGACACACACGTTCGTGCAAGCGAATCGCCAGTAATGCCCTGTAGCATATTACCGATAATACATGTGTGTACACACTCGTATAGAAGGGAGATCGCGGACGTTGTGGATATGAGGTCGGTGATCGGTGGTTGCAGTTTCTTAACTAGCCTCGGTTCATGAGGCGAGAGAGAACCAAACTAATAAAGGTTAGCAGACTCGTAAAAAGCAAGCAAAATCCATACCAACTTGACAATTTTGATGAGCATCCAGTTATTAGATGAAGTGGTTAGGAGATGGAAGAGCTGCGGGGCGAGCGGAAGGTAGTCTTGGGGGTTTATCCGGGCGAGCTCACACAAGACATTTACTGTCGCGCAGACCACGCCTGGGTGTGTGATTTGGTTAAATAAGCAGCTTGATCTCGTCTAGCTTTAGCTGACCTGGATCCGAATCTTCTAACTTTTCCTGCAGTCGGCCAATACCATGACGGAGAGCGTCAGGGTACTTCTGAAACACCCTGTACATAGCAGCGACTGCTCTCTTGCGTATGTGGGCTCTCGAGTGGTTGAGCATACCAACCAATTCAGGACTGAGGTCGCGTGCAAGGTCTGGAGTCATAATAGAAGAAACACCATTTAAAGTGACCGCAACATCTGCAGGCGTTGAACTTAAATCCTAGATATAATTCAATGGCATGCATCACAATAAATGGCTGGAGCGTCTGCCTCTCACCTTCTTGAGCAAGTTGGTAGTTAACATCAACACGTCCGTGTCCTCGTTGAACGACTGGACGGCACCAAGATATCCTACGCTCTTGATATGGATCTTTGGGGACGACATGACCTCTACGATGTGAAAGGAAGCCCAGCTCATGTCATATCCTAGCATGTCCAGCTACAAAAGGACGTCAAGCTCGAAGCGGGTGGAGAGTAGTAAGAGCAGCACACATATGTAAGTTTCATAACAGCACCAGCCTTGAGCTCCATATCCTTGCTCTTGATTTCATGCTTGATCTCGTCCATGGCCTGTCCAATGAATTTACTTTCATCGTTCTTGTTGGCCCGCAAGCCACGAATGAGATCCTGGAGCGTGCGCTCCCACATGGCAGGAATCGACGGTTATCAGCCGCGGAGAGTGTGAAACAGATATGTTGAATGACGTTTGACTTGAGTTTGACAGGTGCGTAGACGAGCTAGACCTACGACGGATCAGTAACGGATAAAGATCTCACAGAATTCCTTGAAATCGTTGCTTATAATGTATAAGTAAACGTGCTCCAGGGATGTACTAGGCTTTCTGCAGAGCACAGCAGTGTATATTACATAATAGCTCACTTCAAGTTTGTGGTTAACCGACGTGACATCCCTTGCATGTACCCTCACGCTGGCTGGTGTGTCCCGAGAACATTAACACCATATTCTAGGATATCATACCAACATTCCTAATCATTACCTTTCAATCTTCTTCATGACGCCAACAGGCTCATTTTGGATATCATACCAACATTCCTAATCATTACCTTTCAATCTTCTTCATGACGCCAACAGGCTCATTTTCACTGACTTTGTCCAAAACAGGACTGACCAGGCATCGATTTATTCCCTGAGGACCTTGATGGATCCTATCGGTATCCGTACGCTGCTTCTTACTGTCTGCTAGACTCTGGGAAATTGCCAACAAATTCGAGATGGCTCCATGTGCTTGAATGATACAATCCGTACGTCCGTCTCATGTGTCCAATTTACCCCTCTGATTCGTGGTTCCGCTAGTCAATCTTGGATATGTTATCACTTTCGAGCTCTCCAAAGATCTACAAGGCGGACGTCATGTCCGAGTCAGCATGATGTTTAAGAACGGAGCGCAGGAAAACAAGTTTTGTCAGCTCAAGATGTTTAGCAACAATAGCATCGTTTTCTACTCATTCATCAAGGAACTGGCTTTCAGTTTTGCATTTTAGCAGCCACCGGTGTCACTTCGAACCCCTTTGTGCTAACAGGGATGTTGAACTTAGTGGACTATGATCAACAACGATTGGCGTTTAGGCGGTCCTTCAAGCTTTTAGTTCGGCATAGGTTCTGTCATTCGTTCTTTCCTACATGGGTTGGGCAATACATCTCAGTGCCAGAAGGCGCTGAAGCTTGAAGGCTGAGAGGGAATTGTGATAGTTGTTTGGGTTCCTAGAGACTAGTGCGTTGAAAGCATCAAATGATCTGCCGAGGTCGTAAACATGGTAATTCTAGCTTTGCGCGGTATCCGAGCTGGATTCATGTATGCCGCATTAGGATTCATGAAGATTGCTTCCATTATGTAATGACGTGAAGAGAGTGAGTACAACGACCGTAACGCAGTCGCAATATATACCAAGGGTTCCAATAGCAATGCAAGTCTGATATCAAGACGGTGAAGATTAAGGACGAAAACAAGAGCAAGGAGGGGAAGGGTGCTATAGAAGGGCTTCGCTATCCTTACCTGAAGCGACGAGCTCGGCCCAGTCCTGACGCCACTGCGCCATTTGTGATCGCAGCTTTTTATTTCCGAGCATGCGTTCTATCCAAGATAGAAGTGAGTCGTCGTCTTCGGGTACGAAGAAAGAGGATAGAAGGGATAATATCGTTTCGAAATTGGCGGAACTGGATGTGATGTGATCTATTGATTGAATTAGAACAAGGATCACTGAATGAATTGAGAGCGACATGCCTCGATAGACCCATACGATAGAGATCGCCACCGCAATAAAAAGGTCTTCTCCTTCTAAGAGATACGCGTCCCATAGCCGGAGCTGCGTCTGAAAAGGGACAGAGTTGGCAAAAAGCGTAATGTACCACTTTGTCGCGTATGAAGTCGTAGAAATCATGTGTTTCTTGAATGCAGCGTACACGTCCGGCATCTTCGATTCCATAATTCGTTCCTGGACGTAAATGGCCTCCAACAATCCTGGAAAACCAGGAGCAAAGATGGTGTGCATGTTGTAGTTATCATGTAAACGGCAAAGAGCCGCATAAACTTTTTCAGGCTCGAAGTAGCATAGAAGAGTCGCGGCTATCGGACCCATGCCTTGCACGTAACCACATTGGTGGCATCGTAATGAGAATGAGTGTAAGACGCGGAACAGTGAACGTTGCCTGAAGCAAAGGTGTCAGCTTTGGCAAGATCAAAGTTAGTACTGAAACCTACCCAAGTCCGTACCGTGTGTGAAACATGACATGTCCACTGATGGTTCTCGGCACATCCAAGTCGATCTGGACGTCGTAGCTTGAGGGCTTCTCCAACTCTTGCAAATAATTATTTTCTAGCTCCACAATCGCCTTACGTCCGGATTTCGAAAACCGATTCATGAGCACCTCCCAAGCTGCCCTTCTCCATCTGTCAGGAATCCCCTTGTATACCCTCTGCCGAAGCTTGTGCATTTTCGATGCCTTGATGCCCCACGATTCCACATTTCCGCCGCCGTCTCGACTAAGAACTTCCAACATCCTGTCCCACTTGGCAACCCGCATCTGTTCCTTGAACGGAGATGAAGCTGCGGGCAATGAACTGACGGACACAGCATGGCTAGGGGCTGATTTCGAACCAGCCCTGACTGAACTTAATCGTTTAAGCAGAGGTCCGGATGGGAGAAAAACCAGTCGGTCGTGAGATGGTACCGTGAAGAATCCATAGCTAGTTGCAAAATATGAGATTTGAGAGGATAGGCTCCCCTGATCCAATCTCACCGATCTAAGCTTGACAGCACATTGAGCTCTTGAGCTTCAAGGTCTCGTGATTTCTCTGACGGACCAGCCAAAGCAGCCTCCGCGCGTAGTTCGCTTCCTTTACTCGCACGAATTCGTGCGCGCGTACGTTCCACACCCTCCTCATAGCCATCACCTCTGACACCAACCACGTCGAGGTGGGCATAGGTACTCCGCACGTGAAACGCGTCCAGGTCTTCACCTTCTGAGGGTACCAACGACGTTTTGCTAGAAGGAGTGCTTAATTTCGACTGCTGTTTAGTGGTGGGAGAAGAAGATGGCGTTTGAGAGGATGGGACTAAAACAGACGTTGGTTGTTGGGGTGTGAGAACCGAAGTAGGTTCAGGAACATGGCGTTCTCTGCTTCTCAGCAAGGATGGTGGGTGATTATGGGGAGGTGTAAGATGTGATACAGGAGGCGAAACGGCGTCTAGATCAATTGAACTACACGAAGTGAGAGCACTTTGGGAACGAGTTGGGATGGGAGGAATGCGCTTGGAACGTGTAGGAAGTTCCATGGTGTCTCTTCCATGAGAATTGGTATGATTTGAATGTGGGAGAGGATAGGACAGGTTAGCAGAGCCATTCGAGGTAGCTGATAGCCGTGTCCGATCGTGAGGGTTTGATAATGCGCCAAAGGGCTTCGTGTCTGAGGATAGGTCGATAAAAGTGGTGTCGGTATTGGAAACATAGGAAGTTCTGTGATTAAAAAAGTTACTGTAATTGAAGCTGTCCCCCAAGGACAAGTCAAGTTCTTTGGAAGGGCCCTCAAAGGTTGAAGAGGCAGTCCAGCTGGTTTGCTCTTCGTCGTCCCCGTACATGGAATATATGGTAAATATGGCAGATTCTGTCGAACTGCGTTCTCTGTCTGTCGACGATGACGAATAAAGCTCGGGAACGGAGGACGCTGTCGACGACGGTGATAACCTCGGATAACGACGACTCGGTAATTGTTTTGGTAGCGCAAGAGTGGTCGACGACGATGGAGTCTCCATAAAATAGAGAAGTTAAACGGAAAAAGGAACTTGAAGAAGAAGAAGAAAAGGGAATCGAATTGAAGGAACGTTGGAGGAAGAAGAAGCTTGGGAAAAGTGAATATGCCCTTTGAGAACAATTTGGTCCTGGATGAGAGATTCAATATGAACGCCGATTCAGGCAAGTCAGTGATGTGACGACCGGGTCAGTCTGTAACAGCCACACCGCAACGCTGGCTGCCAGCTGGCATGGCAATTCACTCATTCTCGTAAATAGTCTACTACCAGGTTACCTGCTAGGCTGCACATAGCCATCTCAGACGTTGACAGGATCCCGGTAAACAATGGATACGGGCAAGACCCGGTTTCATCTCAACTTGAAGATATGTGCTGGACTTGCATTCACAGAGTGAGAAGTACTCTCTAGTTTTCGTGGGCAGTGACATCTTACCACCATGCAGGTGGTCTCAAATTGACAGACCTTCCCACCCACAATTTATCTTCGAGCATGTGATGCAATCATACGGTACGCCAACACAGTTGATCCATCCCCCCATTCGGTCCGGCACGCATCAGGCTTTCGAAACTAAAATCTCCCGAATTTCAGTTGATTGATCGTTCGCATGTGACGCACAACTGCACACGTCCTCCGCCGGGGCTGCCTAAGTGACCACTTAGTAGTGGCAAGTGCTAGCCGCTGTCGAATATGTAGCGATGAAATAAGTCCACAGACCGTCGGAATCCCGACTGGTCGTATTCTTGAACGTTTTATCCGTCACGGTGCTGGCGCAACAATCGCTCCGTTCGAAAGGAGGCCAGACTTCCCAATTCGAATTCCAAAGCTCTCCGCATACGTCATAGAATAAGTACCATCCTTACCTTGGGCTGGCAACTGGTATTTTGTCCAGCGCAAGAGCGAAACTCAATTCGGCAACGGTCAGTTACAAGTTTCTCACGATCTCGCCGCTTGACCTTCAGAGCAGAGAAATGGTAATCCCTCCAGTGCCTAGAGACTCTTATTTTCTTCTATTGGTGAAGACTAAGCGTCTCAAGACCAGTCATCCGCCTGATTATCAAAGCTGTGGAAAACAGGATATATGGCAGACCCAAAGCTACCCCTGTATAATCACTGTTTCTCGATTCCATCAAGTAATAGCCATGTCACTCAGAGATCTATCCAATTCCAATTTCAAGGCTCCAGCCGTGGAATTCGAAATGCCTCACTTCGTTCGTTGGGTCTTTGATCAGCCCATCGGAAAGCCTGATAGTGCCTTATCACCTCGGTCGAGCTCATACTATGTTGCCGAGGGAGGATGTTACCAGAATAGGTAACGAACTGGACTGATGCATGCTGTTTCTAACCTGATCACAGTTAGCTTGCGAACAGCCGCAACTATAATACCGCTACCACCTGAACAGCGAATTTCGGCTAAACGTGGATTCAACTGAAGCACTATTTAGGTTGATTCATGGCTGTACCTTTATGACGCCGAAGTCAGTGCACCGGTCAGGGTAGCCGACACATACCGAGGAGAATATGTTTGACCTAGCGGTGTCTGTCATACTTCAAAAAAAACAGAACGTTCGGTTCAATGACATCTGTAGCCCTGACCAACTGCTTTTGCTTCAAGGGCTGGAGAACACTAAGCGCGCACAACTTGGTTGGATATGACGAGCACGGTGATTGCGGCCCGCCGATCTTCAAATCAAAAGCAGAGCATTTGTCGGGCGCTGATACTTGTCATGTAGGATGCCTTGAAGATCGTGGGCAGGTTGGCACTGCATGTCATATGTATGCTACCACTAGAATGCTTTAGGATTTGACAACGCTGATCAGTATACTAGTTCTCACTTAAGCATGCTCCCTATTCGTTTTGAACTTTGCACATATTCCGCTAGTGGTTTCCAACCAGACGTGGTACGAACCGGAACTCCGAGTCGTGTGCGAACACTTCCAGGATACAAGTATAACAGAAATCACAAGACTCTTTGCTGGATATAATAGGATGCGATTTGTCGGATCGGAAAATCACATTGTAGAAGGCGCCAGATAAATGCGACCACAGCGTAGCAGGGGTTTTCATAAATCTCACATACTATGGCCATTTTGGAGGTGAGTTCATCCTGTGATTTCAATGCAGTTTCCTTTTTCCCGCTTACTTTCCTCACGCGCTAGCTTTATAAAGTCAGGTTCGTTATCTCTCTTCGATGATAATAGCAGTATGTCCGAACTGGAGCGCGTTTCGTCATATCATGATCCAGGTTTCCTTGACGTTTTTGCAGTTTCTGCAGACGTTTGTGCTAGGACCACGCCTGATTCTTGGCTGTGTAACACGCTCTTAGACAATTGTATGCATTAGTCGGGTACGTACTCTCCAGATTGATCATTGCGGGAGATCATTGTTTGTTTCGAGTTTCGTTGTGGTGTTTATAAAAGTCATTTGGTGGCCTAAATGCATGCCTATCATATAAACATGCCAGCGGTTATGCGTTTTTACATACGTTGTAGATAGACTTTGTGCGTACAAGGACACCCCTGCTCCCCCGACATCGGACTGACGCGCTGAGCCACATTGATCAGTCGCGAACGAGGTGAAGCCACCTATAGCTACTTCTGAGTGGAACTCCGAAGACGACCGAGATACAAAAGTGGATTAGGATGAATAACAATGTTTTAGGATTTGAACGCGTAAACAAGTATCAACAACACGGTCCGTCTTGATAAAAATGTCAGAAGCATCGAGTTCTCGTCTTTTGTATCGCGGCTCACTCTCCCTGCCAGACTCTTATATCTTCTTAGATGGACTCACATTCTCAGCAAACCTCGTGGCTAACAAAGACCTCCTCCACAATCCACTCGCCCTAGCACTCGAGAGCATGCGCGGTCGTCCCTCTCTCAGACTAAAAGGAACGGAATCGCTCAACCACATATGCATAGATCCTTCAGATGATGTCTGTATGTATGTAAGCCCATAGAACTACCATAACACCCCATTTACATCCAACAGGGACATCCATCCATCCGCCACCCTCTCTCGCGTCTATTTTGAAAACATGCTCTGCTTATCCCGTCTGTTTCCTGATGGGCGCACGGAAATAGGCGTGCGTGTAGCCTTGGGAGATACTGGTACATTTACTCCCTGATTCTTCCATTCGATCTGGGCTGATTACCATCTGTAGATGGTCCAGCAACGACAGAAATACTGATATTTGGAAAGATTCATTCGTCGTTGACTACTCCATCCCTAACAATCCACGTTGCACGCATCATTCCCGCTACTCGTGCTCCCCGCCCAGACGATCCCACACCTCGAAAACCGCCTCAGCATCTTCTCACGCGCACACAATCCATCGGAGAACTCGCAGCGAACACGAGGATCAGAGTCAAAGGAGATGACTCAGAGGTAGTGAGACGCGCAAGAGAGGTGATGTTGCATTTGCCGAATTCGAAACCACGAGGGCGAGGAAAGGACAAGGAAAGAAGCAACGCTGTATTCAAAGTGCCCACGGTCCCAACAAAGAAAACCAACCACGCACAAGACGCAGACGTTTTCGGACCCGTCAGCGATGTTAAAGGTAAAGCACGTGCAGTGGATGAAGGAATTGATGATATAGAACAAGAGAACAAATCTGTCTGTCCAACCCTCTTCCTTGGCGTCCTTGTCTTGTACTCAAACATCACATCTACAGATCATCAAGAAATTCACTGTAAGGCACCTTGATGCAGTCGGCGTGCCCAAGGCGCATCCGGAGTTTAAAGAAGTTTTTGGGTTCGTGTATCGTGGTACAGCTTTTGCTCTTGTACGTGAATCTAATCTCCTCGGTGGTCGCGTACTTACTTATCTTTTGCCATCTCAGAGAGCCACGATAAAGAAATCTCCTGTTAGTGCGCGAGCTCTAGAGACGCTTGTGGAAGCACACATTAAGCTTTATGTTACATCACCCACATGAGAGGAATGGATGTTTTCTAGTTGGAGTCGCATTCCCAGCAGATCGTTCGTATACAGCACGGAATTATATACCCCGCTCAGAGAAACTAGTATGAAGGTCCATAATGCTACCATATATGATATAAATATTAAAAATGCATGAAAGAACATCTACCGAATAAAATCAAGCCATTAGGCCCTAACATATGATTGCCATGGACATTAATTATCGCATGAAAGAAAGCCTGCAGAATAGCATCGAACCATTAGTCCGATATAAGTCAGCCATATATATTGATTATCGCAATAAGATATGCAATAAAATATGCGGGGAAACACAATAGTACAATGATCAAAATCCGCTCGAAGGCATTAGGAGTTGATGCATCAAGCACCGCTCCCCACGCCAGCAGCAGCAACAACAGGTCCCGGATAAACACTCCCCACAATCTCTTTGAACGCCCTATCATTCTCGTACCTATCCCTCGTCTGCGTAACAATAACCTGCAATATAGGCCTGGGACTCTCCGCGATATGCACATCATCCTCATCCCTCTCAAAAGTCGAGGATGTACTAAAACAATTGAGCGCTTGGAGCACCGGGCTCGTAGGGCGCGAAGGGGGGTTGGAACGGGGTAATGCAGATAACGAAGAACATGGAGAGGAGCTAGGAGATGGCGAACGTGAGAACATTCGTGGAAGCCTTATCTGCGCTCTAGATGGCATCCGACTTGGATTGCGTGAAGGATTGGGCGTGGGATTGAGATTGGGATTGGGATTGGGGCGGATAATAGTGCGTGTGACTACAACGTCATCCCTCTCGTAAGCATCGACTTGTTGAGTATGCGATGGAGGCACATCAGGCATAGTAGAAGACGCAGTCCCGTATGTGGTAGAAGCAGAAGAACTTGGTGTGGATGAACGTGATGCCTCCGAATTTTCTCCCCCGTCAAGAGGGACCACCACAACCTCATGGTCGGGCCATACACCACCTACGCTCGCACGTACGGGAAACAATCCACACGGTCGAGTTCTGACGCAAAGGCCCTGCCCCATCGTCGATTTTTCAGCGCCGGTTTTAGAAAATGAGTTTGGTCTCTGAGAATAGAGATGGAGGTGAGCGTGGTGTGAAGAAGACGCAAAGAAATGAAATGAAAGGAAAAGAAATACTTACTGTGCTAGTGCGCAGTAACGGGTCGAAACGCTGTGCGTCCATGGGGTCGTAACGTGCGGTATCCATTTCCACCTTGGTATGTATGCAGCGTGATACGGCGCCGGAGCGATCAAACAAATTTTAGAATGCCTGTAAGGAAAGGGACGACGATCTGCTCATCTTCGCGAACCAAGGATTTAAGCAAAAATGCCTGGTCCACAAATAACTATGGACAATAAAGTGTGGAAGCAAGATGTTCGCCACTTATCGTGACTGTGCCACTGGCGCTTTTCCTTTCCTTTCTTGCCTGTTTTTACGCGTACATATCGGTGTGGACGTGCAGGGTGGCATTGGCGTTCAAGCAATAGCCCGCTTTGTATGATTGCAAGTCCGAGGTTTTAATCCCGGGCGTTTGAAACTTGGTGAGGATCCACAGCGAAACGTGTCGTCCTAGTGGAAAAGCTGCCACGCATTGAAGGCATTGAAAGAATATTGATTATCGTGAGTCAACAGGTCTGTCAGCATGTTCATTTTCGTGCGGTCGTCGTGTCTTTAACGTGTTTTTGGTCTTTGTGCCGGCGCCTATTGCTATAACGTGTTGTCTGTAGGGAATCCACGCGTGATCCATGTACGAGTCCTGCAATGAGTCTCAGCCGTTGTATGCGCAGCTTGATGAGACGGGATCCGAGGTTGATATATGGAGAGCGAGATGGGTCATGGTACATAGGATGCGGCCCGAGCGGATGCGGCTGATCGAGGTGAGTGTGAGGGGTTGAGGATTGGAGGATCTGACTGTGGTTGTGATGTCATGTAATGTAGGCGGCACCCAGGCAGGCGGCAGGTTGTCACCCGCGTGTCAGAATTATACTGGCACGAGATGACTTGCCTACCGCGGGTATCCGGGAAACGTGGTCGGAAGGCGTCGACAACACAAGGGTTTTGTTCTACATACATTATCCTATCCACTATATGAGTATTTGTAACCCATGAACACGCTTTTATCGTGACTTACGGTATTATGCTGCCAACCATCAACATCCCCATATGTCTAACGACATTGCCGCATTAGCCAGTAAGTAGGCAAAATCCCTTTACACTTCAAACAGCGGCTGCATTCTCTCCAGATCAATGGGAATTGAGGACTGGGACAGACAAGTTTGGATGAGGAGTAGTGACGGTGTGAGTGGGTGAGAGCAGTTGTACCATATATTTTAATTCCTCAAACATCTGCACAACTGAGCGCTCTCATCGTTGAGATTGAGCAAATATATTGTGGAATGTAATATGTATGTTGTTATCAGCGATCAACGATTTTTGATTGGCTGACTACGCCACTCTGGTGGAGGACTCCGGAAACCGCAGAGACAGAGATAAAATATAATATAGTAAATCTCACTACGGGGTCCGCAATATTTAAGACAGGTCTGAATGTCTCAGTAGCTTGCCGTGTAAGCAGATATAAAATAAAGAGATCTTGCATGTCAAGAAAAATATGAAGCAGTAACCTTTGCACGTGACCAAATGATTGATCTGCTGACAAATAGAGCGCGGTATGCTTACCAAGCTGCCTCTGAGTTTCAATGTACAATTTCGCGGACTTTCCACCGAATTGTATTTCTACCTTTCATAATCTGGGTAACGCACATGGTAGTGTATTGATACAAGAACATCGGAGGTACAAGATATGGCGATACAACAGTACTACATAGTCATCGAAAATTCAATACACGTTGTATATCACTTCAACTCTATCAAAAAAAACAAATATCCAAACCCGGCAGCATATACAGTCACTTTTCATCGTCTAGCTTCTGCAGCGTCGGGTACCAAGAAACGAGTCGCAGACATTCAGGGCTCATTTAGAGTGCCCGCTATGCTACTCAGCTCAACATTTCAATGGTCTTCTGAGCGGCAGCCTCTCTCGCAGCCTTCTTGCTTGTCGATGACGCTTCACCGTGTTTCATATCGTCGACTAGGTGAACACAATAAGCAAAAAGTACGTCAGGATTTGTGAAGAACAAACTACGCACCAAAACAAGTCACAGTCCACACAGTAAGGTTCTCCGGGCCGCTACGCCCTTCCTCGTACCTGATATGAGTAGCGAAGAATGCCCCATAGCGAGCCTGCATGATATTGTTGAGCTGCATGACGGAGTCTGTCCATCGTGAATTGTCAGTAAATTTTTTGCAGGGACATGGCTGCCTCGGATGAAAGAGTGACGCACGGGAACTCATGATGAATGACTTGAGATTTGGACTTGTAAGAGTATCTGTTGTTCAGGTGAAACTGAGTGTCCGCTGGTCGAAAACATGAGGTAGAATGGCTCGTATAAATCCCCTCATGAACTTGTAGACATCAGTTAGCAGTGCCCCGCACGAACAAGAGTCGCCATTCAAAGGGGGATAAGCCACTAGACGCTCTGCTACATCCAACCAGTAAAGATGTACAAAATAGCTTTAGCGTATCAGTCACTCACTGGTTTTTTCCAGCGTACCTTGCAGAAGTACTATGAACCGGTGATGGAGCCGAAATTGACTATTGATTTTGCTCCAGGTGACGCTCATGAATCACTCTGTTGGACCAGATGAGATGACCGGCGGAGATCCATGAACCATGACTTTGGGAGCTTTGGCTTTGATACTGTGTCATCTCTCGGATACGTCCACTCTCCGAGAGAACACAGAGGATTTTGATGACAGAACGGACAGTGACACAGTGGAGCAGAAAACAAGACTTTCTGCTGTGCAAGCGCTCCAGTTCTTGACCCTAGTTTGACAGATAGTAAAAATACAGAGGTATCGTGGACGTTCTGTCATCCTAACGCGGAGTTGGCAGTTGCATATGTGAGGCATGGCAGCAAATATGGAGGATAACAAGGATGATTTTTTGGGACCGAATCGGCGATAGTTTGGATAAGCGCGCGTCTATGTGCTGGCTCATTTCCAGAATCATGTCTTTGGTTATTCGGTTTTGCGGGAAGCAAGATATATGTAGGATGCCGTATAGCAGCGGCAGTAGCAGAAGACTCAAGTCAGATAAACCCCACATACGGCACTCGGCGTGAAGACCTGATGTTGGTTCGAAAGTCCGAATTGCGAACAAACACGCATGGCCCCGACTGCGTGACGAACAAAGTTAGGGGAAGATGATACCGGACGGAATGATCTTCTTCCTACACTCGAAGTTGTTGTCGAAGATAGAAATTGAACGCGCAACGGTCACAGCAAATCTTGGTGGGACATCTCCGGAATCATTTGCACTAGGAGCGCTCGGAAACCAGATACATCCGGTGTCGACCCATATGTCTGTAAATTCTCACGTTCCTTACATATCTCGAAACTTGTTTGCTCTCTCTCACCTGCCATGTTTCATCTTTTTCTTTTAGTGTGAAGCATAATTAAAAAAACATGTATATTATGTAATATACCTCAAATATTGAAGGGACTCGAGTGTAAATAAGGACAAATAAGTAATGTGTGATCGGCGAGAATTTGTCTTCAATCAAGGCTCAAGCTGATGGAAATTTACATCGTACGGCGATTGTTGCATGATTAATTTTGCCTCGCGTTCTATCAGCTCGTTGAACATTTATTTTGCCGTTGCTTTGTTGTGCGGCGGAATGGTGGGGTGGTTTGTTCAGGTCCGCAGTGATGCTGATTGTCTAGTCATACCTGCTATAACAACACAGTGCGCATCCATTCCTTCGCCTCTCCTTCCTACTGATACACCAACGATCCAGCCCAGTCTCGGAGTGTTGTGTGTTCAATGGTGGTACGGGTATGTGCCATCTGACTTTTCAAAAAAAAAAAAAAAAAAAAAAAAAAAAAAAAGATCTTATCGGAGTCAGGCTGTATAATTATGTGCGTGGGTCATTTTTTTCACTGGCAGAGTATGGTTCAGAGTTCTGCCAAGTTCTGCCAGTCTGAGTTCGGCTGGCAGAACTGCTTCAAATAATTCTGCCCATAATACTAGTACTAAGTGCATTTTCCTTCAGACCGGTAGAACCATATAGTCAGTGAGTGCCTGAGATCCAGAAACATATCGCTCTTCCCAAAGCGTTTTCAACCAGTCCAAAGAAACTAAACTGGCGTATGAAGGATTCATGCGGGATGATATTTTGAATCACGAGCGCGTGAACCGGCGCTACACTGAAGGAAAGAGATATCCGAATTCAAGGACCTGGGCGGGTCATACTAATCTAGTTGCATGTTGGAAAAGGGACTGCATATGGACGAATTCTTCCTGCCGCGCCACCCGGACGATGAAGAATAATACCCGGCACACAGTATAAAAAGTAGTCTTCCTAGCGACTGTCTCATTCAAATCGTTTTGAACCCATCATATCCGAGTCATATCTCCAGTCTCACAAACAATGCATATCTTCTCTGTCCTCGCAGTTGCTGCCGCTTTGATGGCATCAATAGTATCCGCCGGTCCCGTCGAATTCGACCTCCGTGATACTGATCCTCCTGGAAACTGCACTGCATTCTGCAGATGGAGACCCTGCTGCTCTGACAAGAATTGTGAGCAACAGGGCAACCACTATGTATGTGTGTAGGCCGAATAAGTGTCATGTCGCGTCAGTGAACTATGGTGAGTCGTGCTTCTACTTCAATCAACATCGGTTGAGATCATGCCTTATGGCACGATATTTCAGGGCTACTACCAGCTTGGTGAACGTCTTGCTTCTCACTGCCGCTCGAGCAATCATTGGAGTCTTGGAATAGGGGAACTCTCAGATACTCGAATAATAGAATGTGATTAAAGAGTTTTGCAGTCGGTGTATATCGAAAGTTGTCATTGTCAAACTGCGAAAGTTTAAGGTCCAGAAATTTGGCACTTGGTCGCTGTAAGCCCATCGAGGGGCTCGCATGAGGCGCTGGAAATCTGGAAGATGAAACAATCAAAGTTAATTCGTTCTCCGAGTGTCCGCCCGGCTGACATGGTTAGTGCCAGTTTGAAATTACGGTGGGCGACATAAGGTAGAAGAGTATTCTTATTGGGCTAATGTACAGGTTGAACAATTAATGCGGCACGGGGCCGGCGTACTAGTATCTTCTGTATCGACATACTTGGAGTTGCTCAGACTGTTCATTTATGACATGATCACAGGAATCGACCTACAGTAATGGAGACTATGCACATGTGGCACGACATATGGTATGAAAGATCCTGACTCCTGCCAGGACCAGCGGTTGCTTGTAACTGTTAGGATCCAAACCTTTTGGTAAATAAACGTACACATGCTCACCGAGGTCACTCGCGCATGTTCTCACTACCTGCTTCCGCTACTCCAAGAGTTCTAAAGTAGATTCTGGCCTACCAAATCGACTGCGGGAATTTCTTATGCTTCAGCATTGCGGTGTCTTCGCACGCAGTTGACACAAGCAAACGTCTGGGTGTGCTTACCAAGTCGCTTCGGAGGTTTAATGTACAAGTTCGCGGACTTTGCTACAGCGCTGAGCGACCACCAAATTGATTTCTACCTTCCATAATCTGGGGAACGCACATGGTAGTATATTGATACAAGAACATCGGAGGCACAAGATATGGCGATACAAGAGTAGCACTACATAGCTAAAATTGAATACATGTTGCATGTCACTTCGACTCTATCAAAAAAACAAATATCCAAACCCGGCAGCATATACATTCACTTCTCATCTCTGCAGCGTTGGGTACCAAGAAACAAGTCGCAGACATTCAGGGCTCAGTTAGAGTGCCCGCTATCCTACTCGGCCTCCATCATTTCGATGGTCTTCTGAGCGGCAGCCTCTCTCGCAGCCTTCTTGCTTGTCGCCGACGCCTCACCGTATTTCATGTCATCGACTAAATGAACACGATAAGCAAAAAGTACGCCGAAGTATTTGTGAAGAACAAATACGCACTAAAACAAGTCATGGTCCACACAGTAAGGTTCTCCGGGCCGCTACGTTTTTCCTCGTACCTCATGTGAGCAGCGAAGGATGCTCCATGGCGAGCCTGCATGATATTGTTGAGCTGCATGACGGAGTCTGTTCATCGTGAATTATCAGCAAAATTTAGGCAGGGGCATGGTTGCCTCGGATGAAAAAGCGACGCACGGGAACTCATGATGAATGACTTGAGATTTGGACTTGTAAGAGTGTTTGTTGTTTAGGTGAAACTGAGTTTCCGCTGGTCAAGAACATGAGGTAGGATGGCTCATATAAATCCCCCCATGGACTTGTAGGCACCATTTAGCAGTGCTCGCACGAACAAGAGTTGCCATTCAAAGGGGGATAAGCCACTAGACGCTCTGCCACATCGAACAAGTAAAGATGTACAAAATACATATCGATCACTTACTGGTTTTTGCTAGCGTACCTTGCAGAAATATGATGCATCGGCGATGGAACCAAAATTGACTATCGATTTTGCTCCATGTGATCCTTATGAGCCACTCTGTTGGACCAGATGAGATGACCGGCGGAGATTCTTTGGATTTGATACTGCATAATCTCTCGGATGCGTACACTTTCGGATGTATCCACTCTCCGAGAGAACGCAGAGGATTGTGATGACATAACGGACACTGTGACACAGTGGAGCAGAAAACAAGACTGGCTGCAGTGCAAACGCTCCGTTCCTGACCCTAGCTTGACGGATAGTAAAAATACAGAGGTATCATGGACATTCTGTCATCCTAACGCGGAGTTGGCAGTTGCATATGTGAGGTATGGCGGCAACTATGGAGGATAACAAGGATGATTGTTTGGGACCGAATCGGCAATAGTTTGGATAAGCGCGCGTCTATGTGCTGGCTCATTTCCATGTCTTTGGTTATTCGGTTTTGCGGGAAGCAAGATATATGTAGGATGCCGTATAGCAACAGCAGCAGAAGACTCGAATCAGAGAAACCCCACATACGGCACGCGGCATGAAGATTCGATGTTAAAGACGCATTGAAGTTGTATTTGCTGGGTTTGGAAGTTCGAGTTGCAAACAAACAAGCAATGGGCCCCGAACACGTGACGAACAAAGCACCAAGGGAAAAATAACAGCCGATAGACAAAGACAAAGCTCCTCTTCCTACATTCGAAGTTGTTGTCGAAGATAGAAATTGAACGCGCAACGGTCACAGCAAATCTTTGTGCGACATCTCCGGAATGGCACCAGGAGCGGAGAACAGATACATCCGAGAATTTGTCTTCAACGAAACTGATGGAATCCACTGACAGATGCCCTGCATCGGGAGGCTCGCATGAGGCGCTGGAAATCTAAAAGATGAAACAATCAAAGTTAATTCGTTCTCCGAGTGTCGGCCGGGCTGACATGGGCTGACATGGACAGATTAATGGTTAGAGACACTTTTGAAATTACGGTGGGTGGCCATAAGGTAGAAGAACAACAAGCGTATTCTTATTTGGATACGTTGATGTTGATGTACAGCTTGAACCACGCGGACGGGGCCGGCGTACTAGTATCTTCTCTATAAACATAATTTGAGTTGCTCAGACCGCTCATTCATGACATGATCACAAGAATCGACCTACATTGGAGACTATGTATATGTAGCATGACATGGGGTAACGCCTAGTAGAGTATGAAAGATCCTGACTGCCCCTGAGGCCTGAAGATTCGCCGGTCCCAGCGGTTGCTTGCAACTGTTAGGATCCAAACCTTTTGGTAAATAAACGTACACATGTTCACCGAGGTTCACACGCACGTTCTCACCTGCCACTTCCGCTGCTTTATGTTATGACCGTCAGCGGTCGCTTACATGCTTTTTAATATCTGAACGTGACTCTGTACACCAGAATCTAGATACTAGGCGCCATCACCGGCGTTGACCTTGCTTACAAGTCACCTCACTGCACTGGCAAACACTGGCCTGCCTTCCTGAGTCTACATTGCTGCATGGGGAGCATGTATTCGTAGAACCCAGATCTGCAACCAATCACTCATCCTGAATGTAATTTTTGATACGCCTATAAGAGCCGTTTACAATTTAGACGCAGAGTGGATCAGAACACGATCGGGTTTTGCCATAAGGCAGAGTACTTGATTGAGCGCTCCGACTTTTGAATCGATACAAGGACGCCCTTAGATGACAGTTCGCCTCTGCAAATAGACACATTGTGTTTCACCTTCGTCGTGAGCGAGGAACTCGGGCGCGACATGTGCATGAAGTGTAGGAGAAGCAATTGCACCCGGTTCATGTATCTTTTCAACTTTGCAATTACTGTTTGGTCTCGACTGAAATTTATAACGAGCGTCAATTTTACAATAATATGGGCAGTCCATACATTTTACTTCCCCGAGCCCGAGCAGCAAACGATGAACAAAATCAATACTAGTAAATTATGGTGGTACTGGCACGCATATCCTCGCCACCCCCTTCGTATCAGGAAAGTGTCGCTCCCACAACGATCACAATGCATCTACTTGCGTTTCTTGACAGAGCCCGCATCCTTCTTCTCACCTCCTGCAGGTGCAACGGGTGTGCTGTCAGTCTTTTGTTTGTCATCGGGGGTAGAGGTGTCCGTTTTCTTTGCCTGGTGATCATATAATTCAGTAAGGGAAGCCAGAGACGTTGTAGCGCAAACCTTGGCAACAGGTTTTGCTTGCTGTGAGCCAACGAAACCAAATAGAAGAGCAAGCATGCCGAAAAGAGTGAAGACGACACCAGCGAGACCAACACCTGTCTCTGGGTGGGTTTTGATGGCTGTTAAGGGGTCCTCCCGAGCAGCGTCGAGGAACTGGGCAATTTTACCGCGGATATGGGAGATAGGATCCTCCAAGAAGGGAGGGATGTAGTAGTCGCCTTCGTCATCGATGTCCTTTTGAGCAGAGAGAGCCGCCTCGAGTTGTTTCTTGACCTCATATGTCTCAGCGGCCAGAGACTTCGCGTCATCAATAGAGTGACCAACGTAGATGTTGTTGAACAGGATGTCCTCGGTCATAGTCCAAAGTTCGATACCAACACCCCCCTGAGCGCATCAGTCAAGATTAACACGAAAGGGATAAAGCAGAAATACGAACAATGTTGTTTAGGTGTTTAACTGGCTCGAGATCCTCAAAGAAGTCAGGGTTGGGGATCTTGCGAGGAGCCCACTCGCCGATGTAGGCAGGGTTATCAATCATAGGCGCATACCACTTGCCCTTGTATGCAGGGTTAGCCTTGTAGGGGCGTTTCCATTCACCGCATCCAGGAGCCTCTTCGCAAGCCGGGTTGGGGACTGTGGGCGCGATCCAGTCACCATCTTCCTCGTCGTCCCACTCTTCAGGCTTCTCAGCATCCGGGTCAGGAATATTCGCGGGTGCATCATCCAACCAGCCCTCAGGCTTCACAGCATCCTCATCCAGAATCTCGTAAGGCTCAGTCTCATCCCAGTCCGCAGGCTGCGCATTAATGAGCGCCTTAGCTCAACCCTGCAAGGGGTAAACGCACCTTGACAGCGTCAGGATCACTAATTTTCTTTTCGTTAACCCAGTCTTCAGGCTTCTTATCTTCGGGGTCGTCGATCTCCATCGGAGGGTTGACAGGAGGAGTGAAGTCCTCAAGAAGGAGGCCCGATCGCTGACTTTCTCCGTTGAAAAGTACATCATACGTATTATCAGGGCTGGATTCGTACATGAGCGTCGACCAGGTAATAATTATGCAAAAAAAACTTACTTGACAATGAGGGTGTAAAGGTTAGTGTTCTTGCCAAAGGTGGGCTTCGGAGGGGAAGAAAGGTGTTTCTCCTCGTATTCACCACTAACAGGGTTCTTGTGACGGAAGATGAAGTGCAGCTATATCACAGAAAACATGGTCAGAAAGAAATGACAAGGGAACAAAAAATGTCTTACCTTAGTGCCAGGGCAAGTGTTGTCGGGTCCGAACATCACAACCCAAGGGGTGGTGTCTGAGAATTCCTTCCCGCTGGTCTGGAAGCCATCCTCGAGAAGTTTAATGTAACCACCACCGCAGTTGCCACCCTTCTGGTACTTGACCTCATACTGAACAACGAGGGGTTTGTCTTTGAAGTCGACAGGGGCGGTGAAAGGTGCAGAGATAGCGTGGTGAGCGGCTTTGGACTTGGCAACGAGGCCCTTCTCGCCCTCAATAAGGGGCGTCTCGGGTTCCTCGACCTCCCATTTACCGACGTAGGAGAATATCTCACCGCCGACCGGTGTCTTCTTGGTTGCCTCCGAAGGTGTCCAGCGTTCGGAATAGTCATCAGTGAATTGCTCGATGAAGGGAGCTTTAATCTCTGTTGCCTGCAGAGAAAGAGTCAGTCATCATGAGTTCAGACTGGCGGGTTGCATGTATGTCGTCATGAACACGCATGCAAGCAATATGAACGAACCTTGAATACAGGTTTCGAGTCCTCTGACGCTGACGCGCTTGCAGCAGCTGCAACGAGGATGACGGAGAGCGCTACGCTTCGCATTTTAAGAATACGAAGGACCAGAGACGGTAGAAAATCGAAAACGAGCGATGACGGTATGAATTGTGGCCAAACACAAACCACCAGCACGCTCTTATCCTTCCCGGCTAAATCCTGCCACGTATGCTCTCCCACGCCCGATGACATTCTTTGACCTTCCAATTCATAACTCGCGCTCAACTCGCATCGGCTTAAGCTTGTAGTTCATTTTCATTCAAATGTGTACAACAAGATCGATCATATACTAGCTACATTACATACGTACGCTACCCAAGTAGATCAGCATGCCCAGACGCAGATAGCGCCAACTATTCCACTCATCAGCAAACGCAAGTTTCAGTTTCACAGTAACACTCACCACAAACTCATCGTCCAAGTACTTGGACACGGCAATCTGGTCACCCAGACCCTTGCGCCGCCGCGTCTTCAACACAAGATCCCGAGCCAATGCTTGTCCCGATGCAGGCTCTAATGGCCGAAGTTTGATGCTCGTGTCAGTGGGATCACCTGCATGCAATTAATATACCTGCTTTGATAGGGGACTGTGCATGCACTTACCAGGAACTATCGACCAGTGATCGAATACCTGCAAGCAGAACGCCTGACCTTGCGTGGCAGTCCGAAGATCGGCCTCGAATCCATTTGCGTCTATCACAGGAATTAAGGCTTTGACTGTATATAACGGCGAGCCGGCCTTAGGGATGTCTTGCGTAACATGCCCTCGACGTCGGGCTAGGACGGTGTATACAGCTGATATACAGTCAGCTGGTGCCTGCACTTCAACGTAGTAAATCGGCTCCATGAGGCGTGGCGTGGCCTACCAACCCATTAATAACCACAGTGGTGCAAACAATAGGAGCCTCACCATTAAAAACGATGAGTAGCACACACGGCGCGCAGTAGGGACAATCTGTCCACCACCACGGAAGATTGGCTCTTGGGCTAGACTTGCATCCAGTATCCGGAACTTCACATTACGCATAGCTGTTGCCATAAATTTTGTGAGAGTACGATAAAGTCATGCCACAACTAATACGTACGTTCATCGCATAAAGGACCCTCACGAGCTCCCCACTGGAAGCCTTGCTTGATATGTTCCTTCACAGTTCCAAGCAATTTTTTATCAACCTGTATTCCAACAATAAACAAAATAAAGCAGTGGGAAGCCAGCAGACCTGACCTGAGAAGGCAAGGTATCGTCGAGCAAAATGTTCGGCCCGCTATCATCGGGACCGAATGCCCATATTGACCTTGAGGCCAATAAATCCCATTGGTATTTATCCTGGAAGAATGCACCACGTTCCTTAGGGGTCATCCGCATGGTGACCCTCCCACGTTCAATATCTTCAGCAATACCTCTCTCCAAGGGCTCCGCGATCATGGTAAGTTTGTTCCTGTACTCCATTAGAGAGGAAACATGACATGCATACTGACACCTACTTCTTATTTGGCGTATCCGCATAGCATTTCAGTGCACTTGTCTCCAATACAGTTTCACAGAACTTGGTGACTGGATCCGACACCTTGATCTCGATCTCAGCAAATAGCCTCCGAAGGTCATGCATGACACAGTCCAGATACAATTCGCCTGTACCAATGAGCACATGTTCACCACTTTCCTCAACCTTCGTGGCAGCGAGAGGGTAGCTTTTGTTGATGCTTCGTAGACCAGACAACATCTTGGGTAGCTCAGACGGCGCTATTGGTTCAATCGCAATTTTAAGCACTGACTCTGTCATGTGCTTAATAGGCCGGAAAATGTAGAGATCATCGTCGATGGATGGGTCAGCGAGAGTGGCGGTCTTGGAAATGGATGCGTCGACTCCTGCAACAAGGACAAGGTTGCCTGCGGGAACCTCGTCCGCCGGGATAAAGTATCTAAGCAGAAAAGGTTTACTCAATTGGAGTGATCAGATACAAGGAGCTTACCGAGCTTCGCTTATCCATATATCCTCCACGGTAGCCCTCGCCATGTCTTCCTCGTCTTCTGGTGAGTATCCTTCACCAAGTACTTTGATCGGTGTGCCCTTCCTAAGGGTGCCACTCATGACGCGACCAAAGGCCCTAAATGACTGGGCATCTGTTGTATGATACAACTTCGCGATCTGGACCATTACGGGCGCTTCAGTATCACAAGCTTTCATTGCTACAGCGATCTCAGATGTTTGTGGGCCAGTGTATGTCCGCTCGACCTATACCAGACTCAATTCGACTAATCAAAAGTACTGGGAAACCCATACCTTGTTGGCTGCTCCTTGCAAAGGTGACGGAATGTGCTCCACAATCATGTCAACTAGTCCAGTGGCTGGTCCAAAGAACTGGTCCAAAATAGCTTTCAGCAGAGGCCTCACATCCATCTTGTACATGACTGGCTTTAGAGATATGTTCAGCGATGCAAGGGTGCCTTTCAGGTCTTCCGTATCCTCGCTCAGCACGTGACTGTAGAGCTTATACAGAGGATCGAGGATGAAGTGCACGAATGTGCGAGATTGTTCAGGGTCCGCAGCTTTCCTGGTGAACTTCCGAGTCTCTGCGTTAAAGTATATATCGCCCCAAAGGCGGTCGGCGAATGCTGTAACGTCGAGGGAACCAAACGCGTCCGCATACATCTGGGCGAAGGAACGAAGAGTGAAGCACCAACTCATATCGGTGCTGGCGAACACAACATTTCCATTTTCAGGACTGAGTCGTAGTTCCGGGTCTGGATCAATCCCACTGTGAAGACTTCTGAGTCAACGAGAATTGACAAACATAGGGTAGATATAAACCTGATAAAAGTATTGATTTCTTCAATCGTGTGCTTGATTTTGTAGTAGGCGTCTGCAGGCTTGATGCGTAATTCGAGAATAAGCCTGTCAATTTTGTTCACAACAAGGGTGATTTTAATGCCTTCTTGCAGAGCATGTCGAATGATTGCTTCTGTATTGACCATCATCTGTTTCAGCGGTTCAGCTCGTCAATTCATCGTTACGCGTAGCACCAATAGAGCTGCTGACCCCTTCGACCACATCTACAACCAGCAGTATTCCATCAGCAAGACGCATTGCAGAAGCAACTTCGTCGACGAAATTCACGTGTCCCGGAGTATCAATAAGGTGCACCAGATGTGACTTGCCGCTTGTCGTAGATAGGATGAGAGACATCGGCGAAGACTTGATAGAAATTTCTCGCTCTCGCGACAAAACATGAGTATCCGTATATCTTGTCTGAGTGAACAAAAAATGAGCCGTTGTAACCCAAAGAACTTAACTCACAAACCGGTTTATCCGCATCCCATGCGAGTTTATGCGTCTCGAAAACCAGCATATCCATGAGCGCGGTCTTTCCGTGGTGCAGGTGACCCACCACAGCGACGTTGCGAATCATCTCCGGGAAGGACATCATATTCAGCAAAAAACTACATCTCTGTTGAGTGTAAGTCGCGTAAGTCCCCAAAAAGTGCGCACCCCTTGTCAAAGCGCGTCTGTGGCATGTCCTTCTCCTCCACCGTCCATTTCCGCACTTTGATGGGAGCAACGATGGGCTCCGTAAGCGGCTGGGCATCTTCTTCCTGGACGAGAGTCTCCACATCTGGACCGTAAACATCCTCTGCTGAAGGATAGTATTGCTTGTCCTCGTGCAGAATAACAGCATTATGGACGGGCTCTGGAAGGTTCCATGAGATACATACAGAGAATACGCTGCGTCACAGACCATCAATCTCCATTAGTGCACCCTCCGCAGGCGGCATGGGCTCATCATCGTATCCCTCCAATGTCGCGGGTTGCTGTTGGGGTACCTGACGAAAGTCCTGGTGCAGAATTTCTTCCTCCTCTTCATCCGAGCCCAGGTCCGCGCCAATATAGTTTCCAAACTCGTCATAATCCTCGAATGAAGCCATGATAGAGGAGTGATTTTAGTGCTTATGACGGGGTCGACGTTCAACGGACGCGCTCAAGTGAGAATAAATTTGGAACTCCGGTGCAGCTCTAAACTTCCTTACTTGAGGTGAGGCTCGATGATCATTCATGGAGCACAGCTGAGCTCGCACTGTCACTACCAAAATGTCTACCCTGCCAGATGACACACTACGAAAGGTATGTATACAATGAATATTCCTGTTGTACTATCAGATTACTTGACTGGCTGTTCGGTAGATCTTGGTCCAGATTCAACAGACCGCCGTCCAGTCACAGCGTGCTCTTAATATTTCTAAACAGCAATCTGCCTCAAAAGATCGAGAGCGAAGAATTCTCCAGCTCACCATTAATGAGATCCAGGGTATTGAAGGAGATGTCAACTTGTATAAGGGCGTTGGCAAAATGTGCGTCTAGTCTAGATAGGTCCTACAACAGGACCAATGATCAACTCGTTAAAGGTTCATGATGGTCCCCCGGAAAACGATGGAGCAGGAATTAAAAACCCAGGAGAAGGAGCTGACAGATGACATCAATAACTTGAATAAGAAGGTAAAGTCCTCAGTGATGATGCAAGGGTTGAGCTGATCTTATGATGCGTCAGGCAAAATATCTCGAGAAGCAATTCAACGACGCACAATCTCAGCTGCGCGACATAGTATGTCTCATTATCTACTCACCAAGATTTACATGTTAATCTTGCATTTAGTTCCACCATAGCCCGAAGCAATGAGACCTAATGTAATAGTTATCCAGCACCCACTACTGTAATATTAACGGGTCCGACTGTACAACGTAACGCATGATATGAGTCGCGCAAGCAGCTGAACGCTCGATAGTCGCATTCCTTCCCGCCTTAGCCTCCCCTAGGCTAACCATAGACGAAGGAAGTCAGTTTCATATTTTAATGCCCATTTATCCTCAAGATGTTTTTTTTACCCCAACCACGGTTGGAGGCCGGACCGGTATGCCATCAAGCCTGGGCGCAAACCTAACAATCTTCATGCTGTCACGAGCTTGCGGTCATTAGTGATTATACAGGGACTATGTCATGATTCGTTGAACCAGCTTGCTGTCTTGCTATCTTCTCGACTAGTTTGTTCATGCTATGGCCCTCGGGGATTTACTAACTGCAATCCACCCGTTTTTGTCTCATCAGGAAGCAAGCGATGATGGTGATGATGAAGTCAAGCTTCCAAGCATAGTGTTCCTGGTTATCACCTTTCTTTCTTCAAGTAAGATATCTGCGGCACGGGACGCTGCAACAGTCACTCGCATGGTCTGCTCGGTCCACGTATGTATCATTTTTCATGAACGCACTGTACTGCAGGCCTTGAGGGGAAAAACTACTTTATCTGGTATTGTCATCGGCATACTAACCAGCCCTTGAACTTTCTTCAATTCTTTTAACGCAGTGCAAGAAAGGTACAACCAGGTCTCTTCCTCGCATTTGATGGCTTTTTGACCTCGTCCTGTCATAGGTTTGTACAAAATGCCTAGTTGATGCTTTGCCATTCTAGGTCACTTCCTACGCTGTTGCATTGCAGGCTAACTTCTTATACCTGATTCTTGTTGGCTGGTCCCTTACTGGTGCATCATTTACTGTGTGCAAGCGGTATTGGAAGGACCCTCAAATTGTTAGAATCAAACGAATGACGACCCTCGTTGGTTGGCAGGTTGTCTGCCAAGGTTTGCGCCTGAGCCTTGGACCATTGTTTGGTGGATGGTTATCTCTCCCCGGGCGGTGTCGGAAAGTCACGAAAAAGAGCTTTGCTCGAGCTGCTTATCAGCAGATTAAGCACCTGCCGCAAGCCCTTTCACGCTCAAAGTCGACGAATCATTCAGAGCACAGCTCTCGCTGATCACGCTATTACAATGTTAATGGGATTGTATATGTGTGGGCTGATTCTCGATGGTCTGCTTTATTCGGACTCGTGGAAAGCTAACTTGCTTGTATTTGGAGCTGCCACTGCAAACCTCCGCTGGTCTCCATTTGGTGCAGAAAATTCCATCGCTCTGATACTTCCCCTTCCTCCTCGCCACGGATATGCAAACTCCTCGTTGTTGGGACGACTTTCAGTCTCGCAAGGCTTACCGCTTTCTTTTTCATCCTTTATCGCATTCTAACTTAATTCGAGGCACGAGAACGTACATAGAATTATTAAGGTCATGATGTGGCGACAAAGCTTTTCGGATTTCTCATCCTTCTTGCTTCATACCATCACGTAGCACTCAGAAGTCTTCTACTGCTCAACTAGACTCTCGTGTCGTCGCACCTGCCCTCCACGCTCTTCTAGCAGCAATCGTCACGTTCACTTGGATAAAATTATTGCCGGACAACCAACAGCTAACTCGACGCATCCTTTTCGACTCTGGCAGAGTCGTTCAATTCTGCGCCGTGAGCTGCTAGGGCCCACCCCACTCACCCTCACGGCTCATCATGGACTGTCCCCGCAGGTCCGAAACGATGTTTAGGGTCGCAAACCCTTTGGGTTTGAGTCAAAATAGCATCACAAGACTATTCCTATTTGTAAAAATCAGCCGTTATTACTTACTAATAAATCTGGATTTCTTGCCGCATCATCGCAAACACCGACAAAGTCAATTACGAATCAATGTATGTTAGTGTACTGTGGCTTTGCTGCGGCTCTCGGATTTCACCCTCAGTCTCTTCAGCAAGCAGCTCCCGCCCCAGCGAAACGGATGAGCTTCGGTAATTTCACTGGTCGCGTGACCGGCGCAATCTGGGCGATTCAGTTGGAATGATGAAATTTGTAGGATTGGAGATTGCTGTGGTTGATATTGGAAGTATTTAGTTGTGAAGATGAAGAGCGGAGGACGTGCCCAGGGAAAGAGCATTTTCTGTTGCTTTGCCACACTCCGGGCCTCCGGCTGTCAGTCTGTCACGGTGACACAGAGCCATGTGATTAACATCAGCTTGCTAAGCAGTTTCGTGGTGTCTTCAAGTTGCACAGCTCTTTCCAGGTTTTGCAATTGACCAGGTTTATCCGTTCGTTCAACGCTACAGATAGATACATGATCATCTAGCTAATCATTCAGCAGGGAGTTTTTTATGCCTAGGACTCGGACCTCTCTTACCTGAGTAGAAGGAACGTCCATCTTTGGCGGCGATCTGCCTTTGAATCTGCCCAGGAAACTAGTACGTACACGCATGAGCTATAATGGCACGGCATCCAAGTATGATTCCGGGTTACAATCATATTAATATCAGTGACCAGGGACAACAAAGCATTTCCCCCCTCAAATCCGATCTCGACTGGCGTGTTCGTGCAGATGATAGACTTCAAACTACTACTAAACCAAATCAACCCGTTCTCGTCTCGTCACGAGACGAGCGGCAATCATGATCAAGAGGAATTCAAGCTTCCAAACTTGCCGTCTCTGGTCATCATGATTTCAATGAATCTGCTTCTTCAAGTAAGACATCGTTGTCAAGCACTATGCAACTGTCACTCACGGCTTCGGCCTTCACAGGTCTCGTTTTTCATCGTCGTTTCATCCTCAAACAAATATGCAGAGTACTTAGGAGGAAATGCCACTTTCTCTGGAATTGTCATCGGCATTCCGACGGCTTTTTCTGGACTTTCTTTGATTCCCTTGACAAAGTACGATAGAGGTATGTTTAGGTCACGTCTTCCTATCTTTGGGCGGTATTTTTAGATATTTGTTCTTTCATCCTGTTTTTAGGGATGTACAGAATGCCACTTCATGTCAGTTGCTGCTTCGCCATTCTAGGTCACATCGCCTATGCTCTGGCTTACCGGTCCAACTTCTTATATTTGATTCTAATCGGCCGTTGCCTCAACGGAGTTGCATTCTCCATGTTCATGTACTGCAAACGGTATTGCACGGACCCTCGAATCGTTGGCATCAGACGGAGAACGACGCTCGCTAGCTGGTTGGTCATCTGTCAAGGCATGGGCATGACCCTTGGCCCATTCCTTGGTGGCGTGATGTACAACATCGGGTTCTCAAACCCAATTTTCAACGGTTATACTAGCCTGGGATGGATCATGGCTGGGATTTACGCTGGCTTCTGGGTTTTGGTCGCAAAATATTTTGAGGACATCCCTCAACCACCAACCATTATAGAATCGCAGTCAGCAAGCGATTCGAATGCTCTCATCCTTTCTTCAGACGTGAAAGGTGGAGACAGAGAAGCTTCTTCAGGTTATCGATCAGCGTCTGCCACACGCCCTGCCTCGCCCGTTGACGAATCTTTCAGAGCACAGCTCTCGCTGATCACATTGTCCCAGTGGGGTGTCATTGCATGCATGTGCTGGTTCGCGATGCTCTGTTTCTTCATCCTAGGCTCTTGGGAAGCCAATTTGCCTGTGTTTGGTGCCGCTGCTGAAAACTTTCACTGGTCTCCATTTGCTGCAGGAAATTTCATCGCTCTCGGCGGAATAACATGTTTCCCTTTCCTCCTCTTCAACCTCCTAGCTGCACGTCGCACACAAGATCGAAAACTCCTCGCATTCGGTACGGTTCTCGGCCTTGCAGGGCTTATCATCTTTATTTCCATCCTTCGTACCGGCAAGGTCAATTACGGCTCACTATTTGCATGTTGGTGGAGCGTGGCGCTCGGTTTTAACCTTGCAACCACCGTGACCCTGAGTCTCCTCAGCAAGCAGCTCCCACCTGAGTGGAACGGGCGCACTTCAATGGCAATTCAATACAGCAATTATACTGGTCGTGTTACCGGTGCAATCTGGGGTGGTTCGGGTGTTTCAGTGGGGATGTTGAACTTTGTGGGATTGGAGATTGCTATGGTCGGTATTGGAGCTGTTTTGTTTACCACATTGTGGAGGGATCTGAAGACGAAGACGGGATGACATACCTGTATGGAAAGCGGGAGTGATCAGGTCAACGACAGTGATCAGCTTGACTAAAACGGCAAGTGTTTGGTCCAGCCCCCCAATCAGTCATCAGGAAAACCCTCCCCTGGGTAATTACTCTAAACTATGATAAATCTCGATAATCCTCAAGTATTATCTCAAATTATGGGCTTTAGAATGATTAGTTTGTTTAGAAAGACTTTTTTACTCCCTTTTTTAAAAAGGATAATTATCATGAATTTGAAGCCAATATCATGAATTTCAGATAATATATTTCAATTGTTGCATAGCAGATCACGTGCATCAGATGGTGTTACAAGCAAAACATACTAATATTTGATCAAAGGATATACATAACACAAAATTGACTTGGAAGACTAGGCAAATTAAGGTGTGATAAACGAATGTAGGATTTTGATGGGTATATATCAGAGCGAAAACTGGACCTAATCATCTGCCATGCCATCTTGGTCGAGTAGGCCCATCAGCAAACTTGACACCGATAGACTTTGCACTGCTGAAGACTCCGTCGTATATGAGAAAGATCAGCAGGTCACCCTGGTAGGGTTTTTTTTGCCTACTGGCGAAGCATCATCATTTGACTGTTGATGAAAATGTTAGTTAGAGGCTAGCAAAGACCAACAGACGAATTTACTCACATCAAAACTCAATGCATATATATATGCATGCTGCTCCATCAATTTCTTCGCCTTGACCATGTTATTGCTGAGACAGAAGTAACTATCGGTGTTGGTGCAGGTGGCTACTTTCAGGTCATGGCACAATAATGGAATGCGTGGCTCATGCCAGGTTGGAATCTAAAGATTGTGTCAAGTTAGGTATGCAGCCTGAGTGCAGTTCAATATATATACACTTACCTCTGCAGCTTGTTTGGCATCACAGGTGGACTGGGTTTTGCCACTGAGAAGAGATTTAACTTGCATCGACTTCAAGTTGACTTAAATGTTGCCGACAAGTGAAGGGACCTTGAGTGACAATCATTCACAGGACACTGCAAATGGTGGGCAATGACTTCGATCAGCATGACTTGAGCTCAAATGAGGATTGACACACTCACAGGCTGTGAACGGCGGGCGACGACTTGGATCAGCATGGCTTGAGCTTGAACAAGGATCGACACACTCACCCACTGCGAACGATGGGCAACGCCTTGGATCGGCATGGCTTGAGTTTGAACAAGGATTGGCACTCACATTTTGCGAACAGTGGACAATGCCATGGGCTCAAGCTCAAATGAGGTTTGACATACTCACTCCCTGTGAACGGCGGGCAAAGACTTGAATGAGCATGGCTTGAGGATTGACACTCACATCCTGCGAACAGTGGGCAGGATCAGCATGACTCGAGCTCAAACAAGGTTGAACACACTCACTTCCTGCGAACAGTGGGCAACATCTTGGATAAGCATGGCTCGAGCTCGAATGAGGTTTGACACACTCACATTCTGCAAATGGTGGGCAACACCTTCGATCAGTATGGCTCAAGCGAAGGAGGATCAACGCACTCACAAGACTCAAACATGATGTGGTGGTGGTGGAAGAATGCGAGTGAAAAAAAAATGGAACCGTGTAAGAGTAAACAAGCATGAGAGTAAACAAGCACAAATATTCAACAAGGCTTTGTTTGTTTACACATGTTGTCCTTGTTGACATCATATATCACCAAGTCCATCAAATTGTCCTACTATATGGCAAAACATTGATTTTGTAATCCTGATGCAGGCTGAAAAGTATACCTATGATGTGACATGAACATTGAACTAACATCCAGATATACATTGTACATACATAATGGCCATAGCTCTTATATTATTTACAAAAGGTAACACTTTTTGGTTAAACTTGTATAAATACAATTTTTGTATTTTCAAATAATTCTCAATAATTACATCATACTTTATCATCTTTTAGCAGTTTTTATCCTAATAACTGTAATTACACAGAATTATCTAAATTACAGAAATTATGTGATTTTTGCCCTGGGAGGTTTTTCCTGATGCACCCTGCTCACCACATCACAGTACATCAAGGTCGTGTAGTAGTGACATCGCAACATCATAGATATGACTATTGATATATATATTATGAGGTTGAAACATTCTGTAGTAGCAGTAATATTTGAATCTGATGGTTAGAATTTATACTTGAATCCCCTCAAAAAGTACTGTGATCATTATGTATGCTGCAGAGTTCACCACCAATGCCGATCAACACTACTGCAAGTATGCAAACTGCTTTAGTGGTCAGCCTGGCACTATACCTGCTGTCACTTAAATTGAGCACAAAGACTCAAGGAAGCTTGGCAAATGGCTTTGTGAAAAATGCAGCCAATACCAGTGCTCCAAGTTCACCAAAAAAATAAGTGATGCAGGGGAAAGTGCTATGATTCACAAGCAGACTGCAGAGGCACAGCATGGAAGTGAGTCATTAGACTTAAGTAGAGTTGCATTGGTATATTGAATATCAAATTTCATTTATTGTGGCAGAATCCCAACTCATGGTTTGTGCAGTGGACTCCCTGCTCAAACACATGAGATGGGATTCTGCCACAATAAATGAAATTTGATATTCAATATACCAATGCAACTCTACTTAAGTCTAATGACTCACTTCCATGTTCCCATTTTAGGTCAGGTTCCATTCACCAGAGTAGTACAACCGCAGCTCAGCTACGGCCCGCTCCGGCTTGGCATTCATCGGTTTGCCAGTATTTTGGCTATCCTAGTGAGCCAGGCTACTTATATAGAGTTTGGTCCAATTTGTTAGCTGTTTGGAGTCCCATGAACCAACTGTGAGCCAAAAATCATCAACAGTGGCTCGAGCTGGCTTGAGGCCAGCTCAAGCTAATTTATAAATACAAAATCACGTCTCTGTTGAAGTCTCATTCCTGGTTAGTTTGACTGTTACTCCTCGAGGCCTCAAGGCTCAAGTTATCTCATAGTATACCCACCATGAACCATAAGGTCCTGATATGAGTTGATGGTAGATTCAGACTTGGAGATGTTTTGAGATCTGGTTCATACAGTGTGTTGTTCACAAGCTGACTATAATTCTACAAAATTAACATACTATGGACCCTACTTACTACTTAGCTGTTGTGTACCATGCTCAGAACATCATCAAAGATGATGCAGTTGCCATCAAACTTGAATTCATCACAACCCAGCCATCTTCTGTACAGCGTGAATACGACATTCTGAAATGACTTGAAGGTGGAGTTGGGATACCCTGCACTCTCTGGTTTGGTAGGGAATCAACATATCATGCTTTAGTTCTCGGCCTCCTTGGGCTGTCACTACATGATCTTTTCCTCACACATGGTCAAAAATTTAGCCTTCATACTGTTGTAAATCTAGGAATCTAACTGGTCAGTCAGTTCACGCTGGGTTGTTGCAGATAGGCTAACCCATTTTCCAGCTCTCACGTCTCGAGTACATCCACTCACACAATTATGTTCACTGTGATATCAAACCACAGAATGTCTTGGTCGGCCTTGGCCATTTGAAGCACACTGCATTTATAATAGATTTTGGTATTGCGAAGGAATACTGGGAGACTGCAACCAGACTCCATATTCCATTTTGTCAGAATCAATGTCTCACTGGCACTCCTGCCTTTGCTTCAATCAACAACCACTTAGGAGTTGACCCAGTGTAGAGACTCACATCTCCACAGGCACTCCCCTTGAATTCTCTCATCTTCCTAACAAACCCCAGCTCTAATCCAAAGGATATGTCTTGCGCAGTAGCGCACTATATTTTATTTCATAGATTCTGCGCGCAGCCACTTGCATCTCGCATGCACCATGTGTCCACCTTAGCATGGTCTGCATACCCATCTGTCTGTCCTCCCCATGTCCTTAGATGTTCATTAGTGCGTTTTCCTATCATATTCTCATTTTGACTAATTGTTTTCTGTTGCTAATACTCAGGCTTGCGCTACACACTGCAGCCAAGACCCTATTACCTACTCTGCATACTATATTTAGATTATTCGGCTTGCTGCATTGGACCTGCACACCTAGTGGCACTTAGCTATTTTACATATACCGTCCCTCTACTCTATATTCTGGGTTGATTTTCCGCCCACTTTCTCTGTGTCTCTAGATACTAGGGAATTTTACTCATTGTCTGCAGTGACTATCTAAAGTTGCATGCATAAGTTATCCGCCTTCGCCTTAACATCAGCCAACCTTAGTTGGGGTGTTAACACTCAGTCTTGCCTCATCTCTCCTTAGTCTCTTTTGCTAGTTCACCTTTCGCCTTCACTCACATGCACTATCTTTGTGTCGCACATCTTGTCCTTCACCTTTCATACTCGCATGTCATTGCACATGTCCACATACCACATCTCACATTGTTCTTGCCTCGTGCTTCAGTGCGTCTATTAGTTTTATTACTCTATTAGTAGTTTGGTGTCCCTCTTTTTACAAGAGAGGTTTCCCTTTACCCAGTTAGCTGCCCTTGGGACAACAATTTCACTTGCACCCAGGTCTAGCTGTGTTTGCTTAGCTTAGCACCAACTTACACCACAGTTTAGATTCCTCATCTTCACCAGGTTGTTGTGATGACCTTGAATCGCTTACATACATGTTGATC